ATTGATTTTTGCTGCATGAAATATTTAAGATGCGTAACTGAACATCGGACACTCAAAAGGCCACCACGCAAATTGGCTGTTTAAGGGTTGACTTTAAGTTTTGAACGCAGGATGATCGGCAAAATGGCCGGCTGCCCTCTTACTCGCAACTTTTTAAGACCCCTGACAATTTGAACTAGCAGAAAGTTCAAATGTTTCGCTGCTCCTGCACTTAGCAACACTTTAGCTGGCCACCAACCCGCCTTCCCGTTTTAGCCAACTTTAGTTAAGGTTCGTACGTACATACAATTTTTATGGCTACATTGTGCGTACTTTCCCCTGTTTTTTTCTATTTCTTTTTTTTTTTTGTGCAATTCTCGTAATATCTATAAACGTAATTGGATATGTGGCCGGGCTGACTGTTTGACTGGTAAAACTTTGAGCGCTTCATTCGCGATGCTGGACCTCCGAAACTCAGTACTTCAGTTGCCAAACGCTTGCCACACGTCTGTTTCGTCCGGAAATTGGCAACAATTGTAGCGCAGCCACAGAATGGCGGCCATAAAAAGTTTTTATGAAAATTTTCTAAGCGCGATCTGGGCTTTGTCCTCTTTCCCTTCATATCTTCTCTCTCAATTGCCGGATAGGCAATCAATTCGCCAATTACGCAACTTGACGCCGAGCGGAATGCATGTAATGCGATAAGTGGAAGCGGCGGCCTCTTTTTAACCCCTTAAGACCCCTTTGAATGGTATTTGCCATTTGGAAAAGTACACGAAAAAAGATATGAATAATATGCATAAAAAAATATAATTTACCGAAAATATATTGTAAGTTCCAATAGCTTTAACTAATCAATGCTGGAACTCCAATATAATTTAATTTATTTTTTTGTGAATAATTATATTTTTATTTTAATTTCCTGACGATATTTTCCTGCAGTGTAGCTGAGCCGCCTGTGAGCGGCACTGAAAACATTGACAGTCACTTGCTGGTTTTCCGCTTCAACTTTGGCAGCATGTCAAGTTCGTCAGATGGCTTCCGCCAACAGCTGCTGTTACTCTTAGCCCTGACCGCCACTTTGGGCCACTCTCGCCTCGCTCGCCGACCAACCGATAACTGGCATAAACTTTATGGCAAATTTCGTGCATTAAGCCTTTTGACAGCTGCACCAAATTCAAGTATTTTTCTTAATTTCCCCAATAGATTTTTCCATACTTTTGCGGCTGCAACTTGAGAGTAGCCACAGACTGAAGTAGATGGTAATGGCCAGCGGAAAGGGGGTTGTTCAAAAACTTCGCCTTAATGTTTGCGCATTTTATGAACCTGCTGAAGGAGCGTGCAACTCGACGACGAATACCAACAACTATTTTGCACTTAGTCGCAGTTGAAGCATAAAATTGATTTTTAATTGGAAATTGTTTGCATATTTTGTGTAAGGCCAAACAACCAACCCTCACCTGGTGAAAGTGAGCCAAAGTGCATGTGCGAATATCGCCAGCACTAAAAAATAGGAAAACAAATTTTAAAATCCCTGACCTCAAGAGAAAATAGCAGGAACTTCAGGCAGCATATACAGTGGTCACTTTCCTATCGAATGTAAAAATATATACATTTTTTTTTATATTAAAAAAAAAGGAAATTCCTTTCCTTTAGAGCTGGATAAATTCTTTTTACATTTAACAGCGGGAAAGCGTTGTAAAAAATATGACTTTAATTTATGTTTTATAAAATATTCTATAACAAACTTTTTGTTTGTTAAAGCTGCAGTGTCCACTGTAGAAAATATATATATATTTTTTATATTAAAAAAAAACAATGCCTTTCCTTTAGATCTCGATAAATTCTTTTTACATTTAACAGCGGGAAAGCGTTGTAAAAAATTATGACTTCAATTTATGTTTTGTAAAATGTTTTATAACAAACTTTTTGTTTGTTAAAGCGACAGTGTCCACTGTGGAAATAAACTTGCTGCACAGATATGAATAAATTGGTCAAAGAATGAAATGCTTTTGAGAAATTACTGCTTTATATTGGGTTTAAAAATGTAAGCAAAAACACATGTTAACTGCAAAATAAATAACTCAATCATAAGATAGTCGGTTGATGATTTTTGACGTAATTAACTAACAAAAAAAACAAATTTCTTGGAAAAGCTTTTGCTTTGTAAGTTTTATAGTTGGAAACTAAAATAAACCAAGGAAGACCACTGTGTGAGCTACTTAAACAGCATGTCCTGCTTCGATCGTGCCACTTTCGATCTACTTGAAGGGCCAGATGACAGGAAATTGAGCTCCCCCACCTATTCCTGATGTGTTTGAGTTTATTAAAATTTAAAATCAAACATCCGCAGAGAAGGTGAAACAAGCGCAATGTCTTCGAAGGGGAGGTGCATAAACAATGCAAGTGAGTAGCGCAATGAACTAGGTCATATCCACCGGCCAAATCGCGGTCGCCGATTTCGCTGCGGTTGCAACACCCACCGCCCACCCACCCACCGAAAGTGGTGCCAACTGTCGAGCATGCGCTCATTTTCAAGTGATTCCCCTGCGGCGAATTGGCCAAAAGCATTTCACTTTGGCACTGTAACACAAAACAACACACAACACAATCGCCCGGTGTTGTCTGCAATTTCCCTTTTGTATATCAATTGCATTTCGTTTTATGGCCTTTTATTGCTTCATTTCGGAATTTCGGTGTGTTTGCCAAGGGACCCGCCTTGCATCGCGTGTCCATGGCCCACGAGGCACCAAATACGTGGATTCGGGGCTACGGTTCACGGGTTACGGGTTACTGACTATGGGCTACGGGCTAATGATGCCACTTGCCGGCGGTAGAAGCGCCAAACAAAGCGGCGGCTACAAAGGCTCTGGGAAAGTTCGGCTCCCGCTCCTGGCATTCGATGTGGCGTGTCCTGGCACTGCCAAAAACCACAAAAGAAAGGGACAGCGGAATAATAATCATTTGTAAGTCGAATTTGAATATACCCTTATCACAACGTTCATGAATATATCACTTGAGTGCATGTAAAGACAGCTAAGATTCCTAAGGACATAATTAGAATATAAATATCAGTTGTTAAAAGATATCTTTCTGTTTTTCTAATACTTTTAATACTATCAGACACATCTTAAAGGTTGGAATATAACGAAGAAATAGTTCCTAAAATGACTTTAAGGTAAACAGTTTTAAACTTGTTCTAAGATTTCCACTACCCAACCACATTGGGTTTCGAAAAAGGACAGCTCATGCTGCGACCGCCTATCCCATGTCCTTTGTCGAGGCATGTCTTTAGTCATAACTTGTTGTTGTTCGTGGTCCTGGCGGGTCATGTGCATGTAATTATTTTAGCAAAAATATGTGAATGCAAATACTGTAGGCCTCACTCTCAGTGCAATGTGCATATTTTATGCACTTTTGCTTTTCGCTTGACAGCTAAATTTATTTGACCGAGTTATTTTTGTGTTCCCCTCTTTTTTTCCATTTTTTTCGGGGAGAGGGAGGCGCAGGGTAGGATAAGCGGAGTGGGGGACGGGGGGCGTCACACAACGAGAATTGCGACAATAACAGCGTTGACAACAGCAACATTGCTCTTGAGAATTACAGTTATATATTCGCAGTTTAAACAAAAAACTTTTAATTACATTTCGAGCCACGCACAAAAGCGAGCAAGAATAAAATTTCATATGCAAATTGTTGGCAGCACTCGCGGCCCAAATGAGCAAACTTAATGGCCAACAAATTTCAATCGAAGACGCAAAGCAAAGTGAAAATATTTGCTTAAAAACACATTTGTTCTTTTGTTTTCCCAGTAGCGTTTCTTTGCCTTGGCACACTTTTTAAAAACACAAAGAGAAACGTGGTTACAAAATAAATTGTTTAGCATTTGGCAATTTGTATTAATTTAAATTAGTATACAACGAACGAAATACAATAAATATAAGATATATAAAGTACTGTAGGAAGGTGTTTAATAATTCAAATTTTAAAATCATTCCGCTATTATTTTTATTTTAAGGATTTTAGGTTCCAATTTGTAGGAGTGCAAAAGCCCCAAGACTGCCACATGGCTAATGATAATTATCAGGCTAACACAGTCACACACACGTGTTCCAGGACTCATAATAAATATTTGAAAATATTTCTGCGTAATTTTATTTTCCAATTTCAAGGCAAATGTGTGAACAGTATGTGCAGGATTTTCGGTGAGCCAAGGGTGTTTCTTACGTAACTTTTCCAGCCGTACTTTCGCGCCTTTTGCAACTTTTGCGTTTTCATTATTTTATTTAATTAGGTAAATGTATGCAAAGGCAGTCAGCCCATGCATATGTATGTTTGTATGTATGTATGTGTCGGCTCACCCACATACACGCACAACGCAACATGTGCCTTGGTAATTACAATTACTTTTAATAATGCTACTTTAAATGGGCCAAAAGGGTTCAGGTTTCGCTCCTGGTTTCCAAAAGTTAAGCAGACGAATTAACTCCGCACAAATTTAAACCGATTTAGCTTAACGTCAAATCCGAAAATTATCATGTAATTTAATAAGGATAAGGATGAGATAATCTTTAAAAAAGAAACTGTTAGGATATGATTTTCTGCGCAAAGAATAATTTAGATAAACCACGATGTTACTTATTAATAAATGTATCACCTATTGAAAGAACAGATTGATTTTATATGTTTGCAAAAATATTATTTTAGAAATTTTTCCATTCTTAATCAGTTCTTAATTAATTAAATCTCTATATGTGCCAATATTAAAACCTTACATTAAACAATATCACAGTTTGAAAAACATTGTTACGAAGCGAAGTGTTATACCAAACACACAGTTTTAAAGCCGTGGGTACAAATCTCTGCCACAGTTTAAAATTCACTGTTCAAAACTACATTATAACAGAATTTAGAATGATAAAACACATTTACCTAACTAAAACTATAATATTTATGAACTATAATTTCTTTTCCTTCAAATGATTTTTTATTATTACCGCGTTTCAAAAAAAACATTTAAATTTATTTTTGTAATACTTTTTGCTTGTTTATTAATATTTTTATTGTTTTTGTATTTTTATACATTTTTTACTTTCGGTTTAATACATAATATACTCCCGCATATCCATTTGGTGATAAATTCTCCCGCAAATCTATAATATGTGTTTCTTCCGCTTGTACATAATACGATAAGAGTAGCTATACAATTAAAGATAGAAAAGTGTTTGACTTAAGGCTTACAAATTAGACGATGTCTTCCAGCAGTTAAATAACCAAATAGAGTTATGTCATAGACAGAGTGATAGGTATTAAATAGATACAAATGAAATAGTAAGAGTAAAAGTAGGTATAGCTGTAAACATATATCGTACAATTTGAAATCACTTTGAGCCTGGGCTCAACAGCTTAAGCTCGTTATAAACAAAAGAAAGTCTCAGCATAAAACGCAACCAAAAGTTAAGCTTGCGAGTTAATCCAAATTCAAATCCAAATCAAAACTGCATAGCATTCAGTAACCAATCGCTAATGAATTAAAGGCCATATGGAAAATTCTTTCCTTAACTTTCCACGATTTTTCCTTTGTGGGAGAGGATCAGCGTGAGCTTGGAAAAAGCAACAAAAATGATTTAGTCTAATGCACCCGGGGCGTAATATCAATTGGATCCGCTCTTGAGCTTTCATTTATTGTATATGGGTATCCAATATATCTTATTATTTCGCCCTGCTCGGTATGATTCAAGTAATTTGTGTATCGTAGGCCACTAATTTGTGGTTGCTGCTCGAGTATTGACTGTATATGCCGTCTTGCATAGGGTATAGAAAATATTTTATACACTTTATCAATCTTCCAGTGGGTAGCAAAGTTATCGTTTGTCATATCATTTTGAGTAGCTAGTGGAAAAGCGAGTCTACGCGTTTAAATATATATATATATATATCTGTATGCGTGTGTATATACATCAAAATATTTGTTTAATTTACGCGTACTTGGCATATGTATAGATTTCATTATGTATACTTGGTAAAAAAAGAAAATTTAGCTACTTCTCGTAGACATCTGCTCTACCGCAAATTAGAACAACGAAATCAATCAAAAGATACCAGCACATCTCGCTATCAGTTCTCGCTCCCTGATTCCTGATCCCTGCTCTCCCATCTAAATATCACTTTCCGGGCCAACAGTAACTAAGCAATCGAGCCGCACACAAAGCCTTAGTCTAGAATTTTACAATGTTGCATTGTTTTTTTTTTTTTTGCTTGCTGAATATGTTTTTGTTGTTTTCTTTTTTGTTTCTCGAGTTGTTTTTTTTTTTTTTGAGTGGGGTTTGCTGTCTGTTGTCTGCCGTTGACTAATTGGGATGACTTGGACGCTTGGACTCGTGTGGACGCTTAACGCACTCGCGAGGTGGGTCTGAAAAAGGAATATCGGGTGTTAATATGAGTTATATATTATAAGATATACTAGGGAAGCAGAAACCACTCAAAATGGCTGAATTTTCAGCTCTTTATTCAGCGATTTCAACCTCACAAAATCATCGCTTACCTGGGCGACTGGGCAACCGCCTGACGTTTGGGCGTATTTGGCGCCGTAACCGCCACTCGATTGGTGGGCGTTCGCGCCCTGGCCGAAGCTGGTGTTGCGGATGTGGGCGTGGTCGTGCCGGCCAGGCTGTAACGCTTCGGCTGCACCATCCTGCTGGGCGATCGGGTGCTGACCTTGGCTCCGCCGGCGGCTTCCTGGGCGCTGGTGAGTCTGTTTGGGCGGGGGGAGGTAAAAAGACCGGGTTTGTTGTGGCTTTTAGTGACAGTCTTGGGGGTGGCGGGCCGAGCCGGTGAGGGCGTGGCCATAACGGGGGCAGTGCGTGACGAGGTGGGCGTGGAACTTCTGAACAGCAGGCCCACAAACAAAATCAACATCATGCAAAATAATAATTTCACGCAAGGATTTTTCGGGGGGTTTCGGTATACCAAAAATGAAAAGAAATAAATTTTGTAAACATAACAGTTCCCAAAAAATAATTTTTGTAAATTTCATTGAAGGATTTGCAAGTCGTAATTACTGATTTGCACTTCCGTTTCCATTTGAAAATACTGACCTTCCCGCTGGGTAGCTCACTGGCCTTGGAATCCTTGACCTGGGCGCCGAATTGGAACCCGTCGAGTTGGCCGAGGTGGGCGTGGAGCCCCCGCTCTTGGTGGCCGCCTCGCTGGCCAGCTCCTTCAGCATGCTCGAGTCCTTGCTCATCAGCTCCCATTGGATCTGCAGGCGCTTGAAGCGATTGCTCTCGATCTTCCGCTGCTCTATTGCATCCACTGTTTCCCGTTTGAGTGCCACCGAGATGTTGGGTGAATTCGGAGGCGTGGCAAAGCGTTTGGCATGTTGTTGCAGTCCGGCCGCCACGCCCTCGTCATTGAAGGACACCTTCTTCTGCTGGCTGAGCACCCGGCTAACCTCCTTCTTGAGGGCGGCAGCATCGTAGGTCACCTGCTCGCCGGAAGACTCGAGAATGGACGCGATTTCGGCGTAATACTTGAGCTCGGAGCGCGGCAACGAGGCCAGGAAGTTCTCCGCCCGTGCCCTGGCATCCAGATCCTTGCGCGAGAGCCTCTGCTTCACCGGCTGCGCCTGCTGGCTGTGCTCCTCCTCCTCGAACACATCCGCCAGCTCGTCATTGGATCCCAAGCCGTAGTTGTGCGGTGGCTCCTGCAGACTGCGACGCTTCTCCAGCTTGGTCAGCTTCTGCGTCTGCTGGGCCTCGATCATGGAATTGCGCTTGGAGCGCGACTGCGCGGAGTGAGCCTTGCGCAGGATGCTCCTCGGCATGGGCTGCGGCGGGGTTTGGGTTTGGGTTTGGGTCTGACTGCCGGGACTCGTCTCCACGCCGGAATCCATACGCTGCTGATCGTACTGGTACACGTACATCTGCTTGAGCGGATCCACATCCAGCTCGGAGTCGGTGAGCAGCGTGGACGAGCCACGATAGCCGGAGCTGGGCTGCTGGCTGGATCCCGAGCTGGAGGCCTCGTCCATCTGGGTCTGCTGCTGTCCCTGGAAGTACTTGGCGCAGTCGCAGATGTGCGTGCGATTCCGGCGAAGCGGTGGCGACATGCAGAAGAGCGGTCGCTGCGATAGCTCCGCATCCAGCTGCCGCACCAGATGCTTCACCTCCGGAATGTGCTGCAACCGACGGCGGTACTCCGTCGGCAGCAGAGTGGCCAACGACTGCCAGTCGGCGATGTGCTTGTAGTCCAGCGTCTTGAGGATCTCATCTTCGCTGGCGCTCTGGCTGCTGCTGCGCTGCTTCTTCAGGGATCCTGAGCTGCTGGTGCTACCGGCTGCCCCATCCAGCGTCATCTTGTAGTTGAAGGGCGAGAAGATCACCTCGGTGCTGGCATTGGTCTTGACGAAACCCAAATCGGGCAGGGCGTAGTTCGGATAGATCACGTAGATGGGCGCCTGCCGCTGCTCGCCCAGGTTGTTGAGCTTCTCGAGGAACGAGGGCGGCACACAGCGATACCGATCGCTCAGGCTGCTCCGCGTGGTGCTCAGCGATCCGCAGGAGGTCTGCATGGAGCGTGTGATCATCTCCGAACTGGAGGCGCACGACAGCGGACGGGTGCTCGACCCGCAGCCCGCTTCCGCTCGCCTTGGCACCTGGGTCAACTGCTCCGAGCTCGCCTCCGAGGACATCTGACTGCCGGTGGAGACCTGCGCTGCCAGTTGGTACAGCTGAGGATTCCTCAACGGCATGCTGCGGCGACGATGTGCCGGCGAGTTGGTGGCCGTCAGCGAGCCCGTGGAACTGGATGTGGCCACGTCATCGTAGAACACTGCCTCGGATCGGGCTCTCAACTGACGCCTGGGAGTCTCCGTTTCCGGGTAGTGCTCCTCCTCGTCGTGTCGACTCACTGCCGATCCCTTGCCCGAGTCATTCATGCTCTTCTTGCGCAATCGCTGCTCCAGGGAACCACTGCTGGAGCTGGCCGCATCACTGGATGGCCAGCAGCCGGAGGAGACGTCCATGCAGGTGTGCGCACTCGCCTGGGCACCCAGATCCTCCTGGCCGCCACTGCTGTTAGTGCTCTTCTGCTTGATGAACAACTTGACTAGATTGAAGGCCGGCGGATTGGAGGAGTTGCCCGAGGAGGCCGAGCCGGAGATGTGGAAGTTCTGGCTCTCCTGCGAGCAGCTGCAGCGGTGCTTGTGGCGATGGTGGTGCGAGTGGTGCTGCTGATGCTGCTGCTGCTGCGCCTGCTGAGATGTGGGCGTGATCTGCTGGAGGGGCAGCTGCTGGTCCGCCTGCTGCTGCAGTCGCTCCGAGATGGACACACTGATCGATATGGGCATCTGGCACATGGGCAGCAGATTCCGCGATCTCGACTTGCACGACTCCATCGTGGACGTGCTGATCGCCTGGGAGACGTTCAGCGGAACCGCCTGCTGGCCACTCTCCTCCGATTGCTGCTCCTTGAGGCAACTGCCCGCCATGGACTCCTCGCTCTGCAGATTGGGCAGGCTGCTGCTCTTCCTCACCGAGCACTGCGGTAGATGCCTAGTGATGGTGATGGTCTCCGTGTTGTTGTTTCCCGAGGGATACCTGCGGGCGGGCGAAACAAGGAGTAACGAGCGTCTTTACCACAACAGACACGTCGAGTGTTTGGGATTACAATTTTGTCGGAGGAAGGTTTTCTTTTTTCTGGTTTTTTAGGTAGGAAGCCGTGTGGGTTTTCGGATTGGTTGCTGCCGGGATTTATGACTTCTTTACCTGCCGGCGTCTATCCCGGGTTTATTTGCATAATATTTTAGGGTTTTCTGTTGTCCTGCCCGCTAATCGTTTTGTGAATGAGTTTTACGGGCTAAACCCGTAATTGGTTTTCTTTTCAGGGATTAACTTGCCCGACCATCGTTCGCGACCCAAAAGCCTAAGCCCTTGAAGGTTAGCATATGCCCGCGTGGAATATACGCCAAAAAGACCCAGTTCCCATTTGAAATTCCCCTCCGATTGCTGGCATACGTTAAAATTTCAGCCGGCAGGCAAATGGAACTAAATTGAATTCAATTGAAATGACCCCACGCGATTGCAATGAGAGCAGAATGCAAAGGGAAGGGGAAATGTGTAACATCCGCCGATCTTGATGACGGCGTTTGCCATTCGGATGCTGGACGTAACCGCCTATCTATTCGTTATCTCATATTTAACTCTATCTTGAGAATTTTATAACCATCGCAGATAAACCTTAAACTAAAACTTCCTTAAGCTAGAAAAACTTTGCTTTTAATTATCACTTAACTCAACTGAAGACTTGGAGATTTATAAAAGTTATGTATACTTTTCCTGCATTAAATATTTTTATAATAGCAACTTCTTCCCAGGCAACAACCAATCCTTAGGTTCATGTGCGAATCTTGTGCAGAGTGTGGGTGTTGGTTTTGTGGACCTACCGTTGTAGCTTGGCTGCTGCTGCTGAGTTGGCTTGGCTTTTGGGCGAGATGGGGCAAAGTGGCTGGAAGGCCTGGGCCGAACGCGACATGGATACCTCCAGGGCCTTGTTGCGCTTCACAATGTCCTCCAGATTGCTGTGCAAGTTGATGCAGTTCTGTTTGTTTCTGGTGGTTATGTCACTAGGTTCCGCTATATAAAAAATATATATCCTTCATACTTGATTCTAAGTAAAGTATTCCAAGTACTCACCATAGAAACTATCGTCCGAGTAGAGCACACTGCCCTCGAAGGCGATCGTGTAGTTGTCCTTGTTGCAGGTGAGTATGATCTCGCCATCGTCCGGATAGGCGTCCATGTCCAGCGAGTCCACCGAGATGTGCGACTCCCTCACCGGCGAAAAGAGCAGCTCCGACTTGCAGAAGGAGTTGTCGATCAGTTCGTTGGTGGAGGTGGTCGACGTCTGGGACATGTTGTGCGGCAACATGTTGCTGTGGTGCAGCAACTGTTGCTGTTGCAGCTGCTGTTGGTGCTGCTGCTGGTGCTGCTGTTGCTGCTGCTGCTGCTGGAGGAGCAGCGATTGCTGCAGGCGGCTGTTGGCCCCGCCCAAACTCTTGCAATAGGCAGGCAGCTGCGAGAGCAGGGAATGTATGTCCTCGGCCCGAAAGCTCTCCATATCGACCTCGGCCAGATTGGCGTCCAGATTCTTGGCCAGATCTTCGTAGTAGATGAGATCGCCCATCGCATTGTACGAGGCCGAAAGGGAACTCAGTACACTGCGCTGCATTCCGCCGCAGCCATCTCGATAGCCGTAGTCCAGGAACCACTGATAATCGGAATTGTCGTGAGTAAAGTCATGCGACGAGGCCAACGAGCAGTTGAGATTGTTGCCACCGCCATTAGTAGTTTCCCGCATCCCGCCACCACCACAAAGCATCCCACCTACCCCAATTTGTTGCTGTTGCTGCTGCTGCAGTTGCTGTTGCTGCTGCAACTGCTGCTCGTTGCTGCGACCGCCCGGCGTGGTCGCATTGCTGTTGTAATCCGACTCCGGAGTGGCCGCCATCTTGCCCAGGAGAAAGTTGTTGTTGCCCTGACTGTGCTGCTGCTTCCTGGTGTTGTCGTTCTCGCAGTAGAGCAGCCCGCTCGAATCCTCGCCAAACAGTAGACTGTCGCTGGGCGTGATGAGGCTGCTGCTCACCTGCTCATTCAGGATAATGCTGCGCAACGCGTTGTTATAGCGATCCAAGTTGCTCAGCACAATGGCCACATTCTGCTTGAGACTCTCCTCGCTCAGTTCCTCACCGGTGGCATCCTCCTCCACATCGCTGCCGAGCGATTGCAACTGTTGCTGCTGGCACTGTTGCAGGTGTTGCTGCTGCAGCAGGCGATCGGTCAGCTGCTGTTGCTGGTACCGCTTGCCGATCGTCGTCAGCGTCGCGTTGTTGAACGGCGAGTTGCTGGGACTGTTCAGCGGATTCCGATAGCTGAGCGGGGAATGTGGCGATGATCCGGGCAGAATGTGGGCAGCCGTGTTGTTGCCGTTGCTTAACTGGCTGAAGGGCAGGGTCTGCTGAAATTTATGGGGGCGTTGGTGTTGCTGCTGCTGTTGCTGTTGCTGCTGCTGTTGGGCCAAGCGTTGAAGCAAATGTGGATGAGAGTTGGGATTGGATGGGGTGAATGCCTGCTGATGGATGGGTGAGTTCTGAAGAGGTTTCTGCTGAGATGCGGTGAAATGCGGTTTGCTGTGATCGTTGTTCGTTGAGAATTCTGTCATGCCACGTCGAAGTTTTGTTCCTGCAATAAGAAGAATAAAGTTTGTTCATTAAAAATCGATTCTACAAAGGATTTGTACTTCAATCTTAACAATTAAGTATTCCAATCATCAACTATTTCTTTCTCTTTTTATGCTACATCCAAGTTAGCTAAGGTGATTAGTTTTTTTTCCCCGATAATCCCCCATTGGTTCCTCCCAATGTTAATCGTCTAATCAGCATTGACACTGAACTTGGCTCAATTAAGATGCCAAAGCGACGGGGCGAAACTAACTCCGGCTAATGATCTAGCCCCATTTTCATTTGCACTTTCCTTCCCCTAATGGACATTAGCGTGCCACACATTTCGGAACCGTAAAACCGTAAAAACCTGACGGAGGCGCCCATCTATTGTTGGCATGTTTCAATTAATTTTTACGATGCCAGAGCAGCTCCAGCAAATAAGAATGACACTTTCTGGGTGACAGCCTCCCCCGCCGCTATTCGAAACGTAAAGTTGTAAAAATTATTTTTATACGTCTGAGAGATTTTTACGATTCAACACCCATGGTTTGGTGGATCGCTCAGTGCCATCGCCTCTAAAAAGTTCAATTGGAAAATGTGACATTTTCCCATCTTGCCAAGCGGATTCATGCAACATGCAATGCCCGTCCGCCAGCGGCAATTAAAGGTTAAACTTGATGGTATTGCATGTCTCAAGGCGGTAATTCAGTGCTTAGGAAAACCGCCACGTTTGCCGCATTGCTATCGATTTCAGTTGCCTGGCGACTTTCTTATGCAATTCATTTTGGTATCGGGAAAAGAATTTAAATTTAAAATTAACTCCGGGCATAAACAAATCAAATGAATGTAAAAGGGGGGAAAGGCGAGGCCGCCAACCTCCCAGAAAGTGCAGACACAAGAGATTATATTTTCCGAAAGATTTCCCTCCGTCTGAGGGAACTTTTCCTACAGCCGACAAGTGGCAAAGCACATGTTTTTCCCGCTCGACTATCTTTCATCCTCTCACTCCACCAGAAACAAATCTATGAAATGGAAAGTCATTTCATATTTGGGCCAGCGCAAGACGCGGACAAATAAAAATATTTTTTAATGCATTTTGTGTGTAGATATGGGATGCATATAGCAGACGTGCTGGGAGGGTGGTCCGATTCCATCGGAGCTTCAGAGCATCGGAGCAATGGCCAGGCCCAGTGCCAACTGCTGGCCTCTCGGAGCTCAATTAAAGTTAATTGAAATTACAAAAGCCCGTCTCGAGATGTTCAAGAGGTTGCATCAGGGCGGAGCCAAGAAAAAAAAATACAGTTGACGATACTTTTCACGAGGACAAACATTTAAGGCCAAAAAATAAATATAAAATCCTTAAATATAATAGGATTTGTCAAATCCTTGAAAAGAGAATGAATAATAAATCTTTTAATGCAAAATATCTTCTCATATAGCTTTATAAACCTCGTAACTCATCAATTATTAAGCAGCTGTACTTTTGTGGAAATTAATAAATTAAAATAAATTATCGGATGAATCAATAAACCTCATTACTCAGCTACTTATATGTTATTAGTATTTTTATTACTTAATAGGATTTTAAAAATTTAAATAGTTAGAAATGTAGTTAAATTGGTAAATCAATACCAATGATTTACTTATGCTTAAGATACCAAAGATAATGGGTTTACTTTAAAGGCTAAGACTTAACAACTGCGCACCTTGGCCCACAACTTTGCCATTGTTTTGATGGTTAATGTTGTTGTTCAGATAGTTGTTCAGATAGTCATTGTCATTGTTGATGTTGCTGTTGCTGTTGTGGTCCACATATCGCTGCTGTTGCTGCTGCTGTTGCAGTCGCAGCTGTCGCAAATACTGTTGATTGCAGGTGAGACCCGCTGATGTTGTTGTTGCTGTTGTTGTTGTCGATGGCACGCCCTGTTCGAGCAATTGCTGCTGCAGGCGACGGCGTTGCATCAATTGCTGCTGCAACAATTGCAATTGCTGTTGCTGCATGCGCTGATAAAAGCGTATTTGCTCCAGTTGCTGCGGGGTCACGCCAATGTTGCTGGTGGGCTTTGCCCTCTGTCGATATTGCTGCTGTTGTTGTTGCTGCGGCACATAGTAATTCTCCTTGGAGGAGCTGTTGCTGTCGCAGCCGCTGCTGGTGCTGCTGCTGTTGCTGGTTGCGCCGGCAACATGTTGCCAGCAGGCATTGTTGCCATTGGCATCGCTGTTGTTGTTGCTGTTGCTGTTGCTGTTGCCGTTGATGTTGCCGCTGTGGTGGCAATCAATTCCGGCCCTGGAGCAGGCGGCACAGCGTTTGGAAATGTCTACGAATCTCATGATGAAGGCGAGCAGCAGCAACAACATCTAGTTGCAAGCGAATGTTGCTGCCGGTTTATTTTTGGCCAGTCCGCTTTCGGACCAACGCTGCGATGTTGCCAAGTTCTTGGACAGAGTCTCTTCGGCTTCGGCTTCGCTTCACTCTTCTTTATTTTTAGTTATTGGCTCTTTTTTTTAAGGGGTTCAACTCCATTGATTGGTTGCACATTTTGTTTGGATTTCCTTCGGTTTTTGTTTTTTCTATACTGCACTTTTCGTTTTGATTTCTTCGTATTTTGTCCGCTATTTATAAATGTTGTTATGCTTGATGCGTAAGTTTTCTCTCTATACGACACATGGACCAAGTTTTACATATAAAAATAACCGAGAGTGTGTGCGCTACACTGTACAGCGCACAAAAAGTTTCTGTGATCTGTTTTCTGTTGATATAATTTCGGGGTGGGAAGCATATAAAAATTATTTACGAGTTTTCTGCAGTCGCCTCGGAACTTTTATGTTTCTCCCAAAATTTTAATGCGGAGTTTCGACGAAAAGCGCCTAAAATTATCCCTCTACAATAACAATGTGTGGCATAAACAAAAGCTGCAGTCCTGTTGCCATCGGCGATTTATGCCCCTGCGGTTCGGACCAACCTCGAAATGCAATTCCTTTCGTTTGCCTTGTTAGCGCGCAAATTAACTGCACTCGAGGCTCGTTAGCGAAAGCGTTAGACGCAAACCCTCAAGGAGCCTTATTTATGGGCAAACATTTCCGCCAAATAGCATTTTGCGGCCCGAAAAACGGAAATGCTGAACAGGGCTTTTGAAGCCTTGAAGCTTTGGCCAGGCTCGCAGGCGTCTAAATTTAAATCGCTGGTCGAAAAACTTAGCCAAGTTCATTATTATTAACTTGTCGTTCGACTTTTAGCGAGCATGTGTCATAATGTTTGCTATTGAAATCTATCTAGAGCGCACATGAGCTTGCCAAAAAGGCAAAATAAAGATCTACCAGGTGCTTGGCATAACGAGATTATATGGTATATCTGGCATACTTGATGCCTGACATCAGCAAAAGAGATATTTTTTATATTTTGTTTTCGGGGGTAATGCAACTGCGGGTAGATAAACACTTGCATTCGACTTGGACACGCCCAAAGTTTGCTAGAAAGTTGGAGTTTCTTGGCTACACTTAGAAAACAAAACGAGAAACCAATACAAAATTTACAAATACTTTTAAAAATTTAAAGCATTGATTTATACTGACTTAAAATGTTACTTTAAGAAGACTATTATTAATACTTATTTTTCGGATCCCTGTTTCTGTATTTTCTCAAGCCAAATTTTTCCTCAAGTGCAGAGTTGCAGACAAAGAATCGCAAAATGGCAACCACCCACAAGGGCCAAATGCGCAAAAAGAAACCCTCAGGACTGCTGGCTAATATCGAAAAAGGGAAAGTCAGGGGGGCGGAGTGCCACCGAGGAGTGCTCAGGCGCACCAAGGACCTGGCTCGGAAAATGCCAAACGGCTTTCCACATCCACATCTGGCAAGCGGCCAAAATACAAAAACCAACACTCCGCCACAAGGAGGAATATGAAGAAAAGTGCTCTCGCATCGAAGCGGCATTTAAGCAGACCCGATAAACACGGCGGCAACTTGTCCACGACCACGCTCCAGCTGCCTTGTATTTGCCATCAGCCATGAAGTTCTTGAAATCATAAACATATAGTGGCAAAGAAGCCGACGCACTGCGAATATAGTGAAAATTGCAGATGCGTTTCGATTTCGCACGCAACACATTTGGATTTCTCTTTGCACCTTGCAATTACGGCCGGGGCAAAAATAAACAGCGCATCGTTGCGAATGCGATGCGAAAGTACAGTTTTCCCCGCCGTTTGGGGCAAGGTGTACGTGGAGGTTCAATCACATTTTGAACTTCTCTAAAATGTTTACTTCAAGTGTTTGCAGTACACAGCAAAGAATTCGATCGCAACGGATAGCTTAAATCATCAATAGCCAGTTAACCAATTTAGAATCTGCCAGCGCAAAGTTAAGATATTTTCTTTTTGCTTTCTAAACAAGAAGAATTTCAATTCTAAGTTGCAAATTTCGTCAGTTGTGTCACACCCCTAAAACCACCGAACAAGCAAATCCTCCCTTGCAAGTGCATATACATTTTCCCCATTGTTCTAGAGGAATGAAAACATTTTACTTTAGTTCAACGTACTTGCTGGCCTACATTGGGCCTAGAAAATGCCAGCGGAAAACTCTTTCTGTGGAGTTCGTTATGCCCGCCAATTAAATGAGGCAGCCCCAGAAAATGCATCTGCAGTTGCATCTTGCCGAGATATAGACACATTGTCGATGTTGTTTCTATTTTGTGGCAATTGTAATTACGAAATCATCAAACGCATGTGTGCATATCGACGCGGAAGTCTTTTCCCTAGCGAAAAGGTCAAAACTATTTGCGAAGCTGGCTAAAAACAGACCCACATGCAGATACAGATGCAAAGATACAGTTGCTACTGGCAGGTGACAGCAGCTTATCAGCAAAACGCTTTGATTCAGCGTAAATAACTCTTTTTGGCATGCCAAAGTATTTTCAGGTAATAAGATAAGATAACCCGTGAAAGCTGGAAGAAATGCAACTGACAACCTGAAAGCGATTAGATATGTATTTGCACCGACTCCGGATGATCTCATTTCCTACTGCAGAAAACTCATAAATACTCGTTAAATGCTGGCGTTACTTTACCCCAAACGGATTGCGTATTAGATAATCCAAAAAATTCGTTGTCAAAGAGAACTTTTGTTTCTTTGTTCGTATCTGAGACACTAGACAACACACACACACACACACTCTCGGCTACTGATGCACTTAAGATGGCCAATCTAACGAGCGTTTTTTCGAGATTATTCAGTGGGGCTTGGCCCACGCACAATTAAAGCCGTTTAAGTGATTCCACACTTTGATTGAGCTGCTGCGTCACACAAAGTATCTGCGATTTGAGTTTATTATTCACACCAGACGAGAACCAGCGAACAAACGAGCGAACGAGGTACGCGTAAACAAATTAAGCGAAATGTGAAACGAAAAATAAAATATATATGGAAATAATCAAGGCTTTCACAACCGACACGGTCCGCACATTTTCACAGTTGCACCAGCCCAAGGAGACTGACTGAAAATGAAAATACGCGAGCGGCCACGACAATCTGAAAGGCGAAAGAGGCGAAGCGACGGCTACAAAGCGACGAGGCCTCTGTGTGCGAGAGTATCTGTGAGAGGGCACCTCCCAGAGTATCTTCGGGGTGTATCCGAGTGAAAAGAATGAAAAGCGCCCGAAAACGCACGAAGTGCCGCACGGAATAACATTATACAATGTGCAACGCAGAGTTAACCCCAAAAAAAAGAATGATGGGGGGCTCGGGCGAAAAGTGAAAACGAGAGCGACAAGCTTCATGGATACGGATAGGGGTAATATCACCATCTGGGGCGCAGCAAGTGCATCCCGATGGGTATTATGTTGTAGTCGATACATGATTTTGGGGAGCAAAGGGTTAGCTGGAGGTTAAACTGTAAACTTGTTCACACATCTGTACATTTGAACAATAAACAACTTTTATGTAATATACTGATAGATTTACCACTTTTCGTTTATTAATTTAAATGCATTACTTTAGCAAATCAGAAAATAAATGCACTTTAAGCTATAAGTTTTCAAGCAAGACTGATTTTATTTTCTATAGACAACTCAAAACAAGGCTCGAAAAATCTTCCGATTTCCCAGTCAAAATTCGCATAAATAAATCTAATCAAAGTTCTAATTATAAATGCCAACAATAAACAAATTAAAAGTCATAGGAATTGATTGATATTTGCGATTGTTATTTCATAAAAAAAAAAAACATACACACATACAATAAGACTTAATAAATGTAATTTTCATGTTGTAATTTGTCTTTGGAATCCATTTATCATAATACCTTGTCAAATATAAGAGCCTCTTTGATATGAAACAATTTCCGAATTGCTGAAAAATATTTGTAATATTTTTTTCCTCACTCGAATAAATCACAGAGATAAGCGTCGACCATCTGGGAAGTAAATCAGCTGCAGATTTTGATTTATCTCCCCGACTAATGAAGCTGTTCAAGTGGAAACCAAGTGCCTACTTTGTCGTGGCAAATAAACAACCCTCCATCTCAACGAGGGTGGTAAATAGACCAAGAAGAGCCTGAAGACGAGGCTTCCGGCAGGATGAAGATCGAGTTCCCCAGATATAACGCATATGCGCGTGCTGCAACCAAAGCAAACACATGCCCCCTCTTGAAACTGAACACCAGACATAAAATTATATCATAGAATCGGAGTTCGAGGGGGGTTAAAGTGCGGGGGCGCACACAAGTGCTCATTAACAATTACAAACGAATGATCAGTCAGCCGAGCGTACTACATTTTCCAATAAAACTATTATAAATGCGCATAAATTTACCCCATGAAATTCGATTCGTAGACAAAAGCAAGGCATGAATGAGTTGAATACATTAAGTAATCATCGGCATTCCCAGCACAAACACCCTGTAAATACATACTATAGTATATACCCTATATCTATTATCAGCTGTTTTGGAAAGCCAATCGAAATTTGACTTAGTGTGCGCTGATTAAATCAACCTCAAACAGGCAGGGAATGTTGAATACAAAAAATATATACAAATATCGCGCTTTCAATGAACAACAATTGGCTTGTTTACATGTGGATACAAAAAGCATAAAACAAACGCAAAACTTGTCGCTTTGTGTTTGCAGCTACTTTTATTTGTCAATTAATTATTGTCGGCTTCAAAAAGCCCAGCGGATGCCAATGTCGTGGGCGTTGGAAAGGGGAAAATGAAAGGCGAGTAGGTCGTGCTCATAATCCATAAATTAAAATACCAGACACAGCAGCCCCGATCGCAATGAGAGAGTATTATAATTGAAAATCATCTGGCGAAAGAGATAGAAAGTAGTGAATATCCACAATTCAAGGCATACTTTTAGGTGGACTCCAGAATTTCACTTCCCAATTGATTTTGCTCTGGCTTTATTCTAATTGAATTTAGTTGTTTTTCCCAATTGCAAGGGCATGACTCATCCACCGATTTCCAAAGTCAAGTATGACAAATCCATTTGCCCCCAACTGCTGATCCAATTGTGGCAGCGCCAAATTAGCATGAAATAGTCCACCCTCCAATGTGGAAATATATAGGTATATATATCTTTTGTGCATGGCTTGACCTCCCGCATGAGCGTGTTTTAATGGTCTTGCACAAAAATAAGTTGCCAAAGTAAACAAAAGTGCAGCTCGGCTCTTCCTTGCGGTGGGTCCATCACCTCGGAACACTGGATGATGTGGCTCCCCGACGCGGGGTTGCACTTTGCTCCCGAGCAAGGGTCACCATCATCCCATACCATTCTGCGCGAAAATCTGCGCACAACCTGAGACGCAAAAAAGAGAATTCTGCGATACTGGCATGAGGTAGCCATAAAATTTAAATGATATTATAAATAAAACATGATAATAATGGCTTCTTTCTGTTGCCTAAACGGTTGAATTTTCCCTTCAACAGTTCATACATATTGTAGTTTAGTTTAAAATAACAGAAATAATTCAACATTAACGTTTAATAAATTAAAAGAAATTGTTTTCCTTACAATGACAGCAATCCCTTTTTAATTAATATTAAGTTGGAGAATATTGCATTTGCATATAATAGTTTTTAAAGTCGGCAAATTATAATAATCCAATATATTTTATTGTAATGACCTGAGATGCTTGGATGCTCTGACAAGCTTAAGCTCTAATGTGGTTTAAGTAAAGTAAATTAATGTGGTTTAGGTAACCACAACAATAAGGAATTTAATTTGTTATAAGTTATTACACACCTCATTCCATTCAGCTTTACGTTTTCTGCGCAAATACCTAACTTTTTGGTAAGCAGAGAAGCCACAGAGGTTTCATATTTCCGATTACTTTCCCTGATAGATGCCCCAATGCCACTGGTCATTTATCATTCTGCCAACAGCAAAGGCAAATATTATAGAAGCGTGTTTAATGACATATTTAATTTCCGAACAGGCCGTAATTATGTCGGTCCCGCGATGACAAATCTCGAACGATTGCAGCGAAAAGGGTGTCGCTGCAGAACGCCACATGTGGCAAACGAGCTAATTAAAGACTGGAGTCGAAAATGGAGGACTCTTTGTTTACTCAGCCCCGAAGAACATACTCGAAAGAGGCTCGGTTTTCAGGGCAGAAATCAATGAGGAGGAACCGACACAAAATTGAGATTTACATGGGTTTTGATAGAAAGCTGGTTCGATTACACAAACCAGCAGGCGAATCGCTTCCTAGTTTGACAACAAACCAGCGGGAACGATAGAAACATATTGACAATTTCACAATCGGCCGAATGAAACCGAAACAGATGGGCGGAGGCCAGGGCAAATGTTGCAACATGGCTTGACAACCACATGGATGTGTTCCTGATGGTGTTTTTTTTTTTTCTTTTCGATGTTACTGCTGCCGCCGCAGACCTTGGCAACAGCAATATGTCAAATGTCAATTTAGTTCGGAGGCGACCGAAAAAACAAAACCGAAAGCATGCCAGACATATTTCACATGCTGAAAGAAATTGCGTCAAGTGAGGCTTTTCTTGTCATAAAGAGAAAGTCGAAATCACGCGTAATTACCGCTCCATAAAATGCGGAATAGTCTACTCGCGCCATAAGATAAAACCGATCGATCAAGTGCGCCACGAGCTACGGAGTTATAAAGACAGGCGACAAAAAAGCAAAACCTACGCAGCCACTCGATGCGTGCAACTATCCGCATGTCTTCTCTCTTCGCTTGTCAGCGGCGTTTTACGCTTGTCCGTGTACAAATTGGTAAATCTTGCCAATGACAAGACACAAAAAAATTAAAAAATTACCAAAACCAGCTAAATCGAACCTTAAATGCTCTTCCTGGCAAAACAAAAATATGTAACAGTAATACAATCGTGTTTAAATAAACTTGTTCGACTTTAAACTAAGCTAAAACAACATACAAATTCTTTACCCATTCATTTGCTTTCATGGAGAAACCACATTTAAATCCCAGTAATAAAGGTTGTAATAATTAGTTTTCAATTGATCTTGAGATTAAATTATAGTTATAAGCATAGTAATTGATTAAAACAAAAACAAAATCAAACAATAAATCCAAAGCTATGAGTAAGCCAATTTGGATGTTGGTTGCAAGCCACATCTAATCAATTTAAGTCAAATACACTTTATTCCACGCTTAACACACGTCATTAAGAAAACCTATAAATAAGCCTCGAGGCTCACTTTCCGTTTAACCAGTTTTACCTGCCGACCGACCATCTCTTTGTGGGTTTGTCGTTGCTTAACGATGTCATTTGCCAATGCATAGATAACTGGCCAAGACAACACTACCAATTGCATGTGAGGAGCCTTAAAATTTACAATGATAAAAAGCAAAAACACATAAATTGAATCTCCGTTGCATCGCTGAGTGGCCAAGTTGCATAACCAAGCTGTCCATGTCAGTTTTCTCCCTGGGAAAGGAAATATGTTTATGTGAAAGCTTTTGCCATTATCTATGGATGAATAGATTTGTTATGCAGATAATCACTGAAAGACACTTTGAAAAGCAATCAGCGAGTGGATATCAACTAATAGCGGTTTTTCGGAACCAAATCGATCAAATAATTATAGCATCTGCAAACGTATATACTCAATTAGTTTCCAATTGATCCAACCCTTGAATTATAACTGACCTTAAGAAATGCAAACTGATAACGTAAGGGACTGATCTTCTGGGCCCTTCTATCATTTCATCACGTTACGATAGGAAAAGCCACTTCGTACAAACAATACTTGCTCATAGTTTTATCCGGATTTGATTGCCTCCCTCACATGTGTCACTCTTGATCTAATCGCTTAAGTAACACTTCTCAAAACTCCATAACTTGATTTATGCCACAGATCGGTCAGAAATTAACATACTGCGACAAATATTGCGGATGGCTCACGTGCTCGTGACGCCGTGACTAAGTAGGCAACGATGCCGATCCGCCGACACCCCGTAAAGATCTTGGGTCTCCAGAAGTTGGCGATTAGCGGCAAAACACCTGAGTGACCGGCGGTTAGTTCCCTCTGCGGCTCGCGACTTGCCGGCGTTTTGGCGGGGAAATTTCTGATGAAATTCAACGGCGGTCGGTTACCTAAGCGCTGGCTAACTGGCTAGCCTCTCGTAAATTACCAGCTTGGGCCCACAATGAAACCGCTTTTGGCACGGGGAAATCGCCCATTTGTTTACGTGCACACCGGCTGGCGGCGGCGACTGGCAAGCCCCCGGGCGAGTGGGTTGACTGAACCGCCTCAAAGATTCTGGCCCTGACTGCCACGATGGCTAACTGACCTAGAGCAAGCGTTTCTTTATTTATCATCTTTATTGATTAGATTGTAGTATAGCTCGGGATAGATAGATAGATAGATATAGGTAGATAGTAAACGTCATAAAATTTCGGACTTAGTTCTAGAGCTCTTTCACAAAAGACTGGAAATTTCGAATATAGCTTCTGCGAAGGGATAACATATCATAGTAGGACTAATAGGATTAGGCGCAGTCCCGCGATTGATAGAACAGTATGTAGCCCGTCTCAGAGGACTTGTGGATGTCCGAGGTCAGACCGTAGAAGTCCTCGATGGTGGAAGCCTCGATCTTGTCCACCATATCGTCGTCGAAGAGCAGCCACAGGCCGTGGCTCTTCACAATCGATATATAATGGCCCCGATTAGGTCCGGAACCGCAGTGAATGACCACAGCGGTCAGATCGTACAGTCTGTCCGGATTGACGGCATCGTCGGAGGTGTTGAAGAGTCGGAGCTCCAGTGGAAAGACCACCCTGTGCGAGACCTTGATGTGCCTGTTGAACTGCTCCATGTACTTGAAGCGCTTGAGGTGCAGAGCCAGGATCATGGGCAGCTTCTTGACCCGCATCCTCTTCTGCGCCTCCTGGTAGCTGCAGCAATTATCGCACTTGAACTTGTTGTCCGAACAGAGGGTTTCCGTGTTGCTGAAGCACCGCAGACAGTGCGTGATCGAGGTGTTCTGATCCACGTCCACCTGGAGATCGAAGAAGTTCTCGTCCTTGCTGCTGACAGTCTCGCAGTTGAGGCACCTGGTCTCCGAGGTGAGGATGCCCTGGAAGATCTCGTGCACCCAGGTGGGCTCCGAGTTGGCCCCATTGGTCCCTGTTCCATTGCCCGAGATGATGGGCGTTGTGGTGGCCGTCAGACTGCCACTGGCATCCAAAACACTTGTGGTGGCATTCAGCGAACCCGTGGAGTTGCTGCTATTGCCATTCGAATTGGTCGTCGAATTGGAGTTGGAGTTCGAGTTGGACGTCGAGCTGGACTTGCTAGCAATGCTGCTGGCCATGGCACTTGTGGCTCCTCCGGGATTCGATTTCGGATTCCCGTTGCTGGGACCCGCATTCCTCTCGGCCAGTATGATCTCGTTGATGTGGTTGATCAGGAAGTTGAGGAACTCGTGGGCATCCTGCTGCATGTAGTTGTCGAACTCCTCCTTCTCCTTGCGCAGCCGCGTGATGAACTTCTTCGGGGCAATCGAGCCCACCTTCTTCTTCTGCGTGGCAATGCTGTAGAAGAGGTCCGCCAGGCAGGAGAGCAGCGTCTCCTTGGGCCGCTTGTTCTTGGCCTTGTACTCGAGGACCTTCTCGCGGAACGGCTTGCAGAAGTAGAGGGCCTGCAGCACCGAGTTGCTGTAGCAGGTGTTCCCAAAGTTCACCAGCCCGAAGTAGTGCTCGTTGGGCGGGAACAGGTCGGAGCCGATCTCACGCTCCAGCTGCGAGACGTTGGCGCCCATGCCGGCACCAGGAGCTGCAGCGGCACACCGGTACAGAAATGACCACACCGTGGTTGCTTAGTGCTTTGATTCGTATTTCCTCGTACTTCGTCGATCGTTCGGCGGGACTGCGCGATTCTTTGGTTAGAGCATTTAAGATCTTGGCCTACAGAGTTTGCTTTCACTATTTCTTTTTTTTCTTGGGGGGCAGAGGCGCAAAACACTTTTATTTCTGTCTGAAAATAAATAATTTTGAAGAGGGGATACACGTGAGTTTGCTTCGCATAACACAAACAACAAAAATTAAAATTATCTTTAATATTTACTTTGCTTTCGTTTTTAGTGTTGTACTCTTGGTTCGATTTACTTTGATTTCATTTATCAGAAATTAAATTTTGTTTTTTGCGACACTAAAAAGTAAGCAAATAATTGTAAAACTAAAATGCGTAAGAAAAGCAAATGAAGATCATCAAAGATTCAACTCTCATATCCCCTCTCGAAAATTATTTGTATTCGGGTGTTTTGCACTATAATTATTAATTACACAATTTATATTGGGAGTTCACTGAGAAAAAAACGTTTCCAAATCACTTAATTTACCAAAAGATGATGCAGAATTTTTAACTATTAATAAATACACATATTCAACATAATAAAAATGATGATAACATGGTCTATAATTTAAACCTAAACTGGCCAGGCCTTCTAAGTTAACTTAAACTAATAGACGTTTCTTCCTCAGTTTTTGGAATTAAGAGGCACAGAATATATTGCGAGATCAGATAGAATCGACCATGATTTTTAATAAAGAACCAAATTTGTCAATTTTGTTCAGGCTTTAACGTTCGCTTTCATGGTCGTCTTCGAAAATTCCAGCAATATTTATTGCGTGACTGAAAGCTTACTTAACTCACGATGATCAAGCACAATTTTTTAGTAAATTAATAATCATAAAAAATTTTATGTGTAGTGTCCAAAGTCCCAGTGTGAATATAAACTCAAATATGCAGAAAGTTCTCATGTAATTTGAACCCGAAGAAATGCAAACAATGGGGTGAATCAGCACGAGCGCCTCATTAGATTTCGTATTGGCCAAGCCCGCTTACAGGGCCAAATGGATCGGAAGCGGTTGTCTAGACTTAGAGATGACGCTACTGCTAAATATAGTGCCAATTTTATAGACCTTAATTGGAGAGTTTGGTGCTTTTTCTGTGAACTGGTAGATGTTCAGTTCAATGGGAAAATTCCGCATGCTACGCAACGGCCGGCGTTGCGAGTGCCGGTCGTGTGCCACGGGCGATGCACCCGCTCCACGCTCGCTGAGAATAGTATAAAAGCCAAGCCGCTCGACGCTGCAAACTTACAGTTACAATAAGCAGACAGCAGAGGAAACATCAACTAACCAGTCAGCAAGAGAGCCAGCCTTCGAGACAAGTCACCTGAACTGTGGATAAGCAAATCCCCCACAACTCTTGAGTTTATCGAGGAGCACCGAAACACCTCTACTCGGCGCCCTTGGAAAGGATTTTTTCTTCTTGGTTAGAGAAACAGCCGCGTTGGAGCCCTCATATTTATTCCTGTGCAAAAACAGAAATGCCGGCAAGGGATTAGAAGCGGAACCAGTAAACAATCTATCAGCAAAATTGCTGAAGATTTTAGCCTAAGTGTCCTATAAGTAAAGTAATTTAACTTAAAATTCTGACTGACCTTTCCTGTGATACATTTTCAAAATGTCTGAAATCAATGTATTAAGCTGCACTAGGACATTATTCCTTTAAACCTAATACTAATAGAACTCTTATATAAGTTTTAAGACTATTGTTATTTTACCAATATAAATAAATTTGCGGTTAAAAAAATTTCAAGCTAAAATCAATTGTGTGGTTTTTATTGCATTACGAGAACTTATTGCTTTTGACCCAGTTTCTAAAGGGGGTTTTTCAAAACAATTTTAATAATTATATCTTCGGATAACGACCGATGTGGATCACACCTGGTTTTGTAACACAAACAGTGACATAGGGCCATTTTTCAGGCCACCACTATAATAATCAAGTTTGAGTTCTTTAGAATTCCCTATATGCGGCAATTACACAAAACAAATTAGCTTTCTGCGACTTATTTTCGCATTAAAGTATGTAAATAAGGATTATGCATTACTACTACCGGAATACAAAAATACCGAGAAAGGAGTTTCTAACAAAACTAATTATTGGGATTGGGTTACATAAAGTAAAAATGCAGTTAGAAAAAGCCTTATCTGAAGCCAGCTAAAAGAAGTTCCAGATTTAAAAGTGGAGATCCAATTAAAGTTTCTGATGGAATCCCTAAACAAACTGTTTAAATATTTAATTTCTTTGAAGGCCGAAATTTATACTGTTAATGTCAGATATTTTTATGGTTTTGCTGGTTTAGAACCAAATAGTATTATACTCTTAGCAAGAGTGTAAAAAACGTGATTTGATTGTTTACTTTTAGAACCAGCTTGAGCACGTTTATAATGACTAGTCATAGTAACTCTTATGAGTCATGGCGCGTGCCATCCAATGGCGCCAATTACCGTGAAGTAGGGTTTGTCGTACTTATCAATGGACTTATTAAGGTAACATATTAAATTATTACAATTTATTCGTAAAGCCCATGGAATGAATCAGCTTTAAGAACTAGGCGTTCTGTGGTAACAAAATTCATAGCACCTGTTAAAACATCTCATTCACAGTTATAAAAATAGAACAGATCAATGATCGATGATAAAAGTGCAAGTCCTAAATAGATTTTCCCAGTTCAACCAACTCCCACACAAAAGTACTGGACGGTAGCCCCACTATAAAAACTTAATGTTAAACAAACTATCTGTCTACCTGGGTAATTTTATGCATTGCTCACGAGCAGCGCCACGTCGATATAAAACTCGTTACCGAGTGGAATTTCATAACAGAACCGAACTGAACATGCAAGCGATTGTAAGTACCGATGACGAGTAACCCTGTAAATCCACAGGATAATAAAGATTTCTTCCATTACAGTTCATATTGTGCACCGTCCTTGTATGCGCTATTGTATTGCTGAAGCTAAGTTGGGGAGGCGGAAGTTTGGATACCCAAGGCATAACCAATTCGACCACAGAATCATTGCTGCAGAAGAAAACATATTCGTCGTCCAAATGGTTTAAAGACGCAATTAAGTACAAAGCAGAGGATAACGAATTAAATAGCATTCCTGACCAAGAACTTGCGACATCAAAGGCCAGGCATCAAAGGCTTCTGAATATTTTAAGACGCCAACAAGAGCAGGACATCTTATCAGAAGATTCAACATTTAAATCAAAAGATACCGAAGAGCCAGCTAATACCGAATATACGACTAACAACTGTGATCCAATTCTTCAGGATGACTGCCAGCCAGAATCCATAGGACCGAGACTAAGTGCCAAGTTACTAAAGATCCTTGCATAAATTCATTGATGTATTCTTATTTATTGCGACTAACTCAGATAAATATTAAATTAGTTAAGCTCATATGTACAAATTATAAAACAATACTATGCATTAACTGGACTTAATTTGATTTATTCTTCTCGAGAATTGATGCGGTTTTAAAAAATAAATCAATCAATGAACTGGAACGTAAAGTAAACTTCTATAAAATGAACTTCATTTGAGATCTAGCATCAGTATCACAGTGAAAATGAAATTGATTGTAAGGTTTAAAATAGTTTTGAGTAAAGAAATTCAATTTATCCATTTCTCTGTTTAGTATTTTGTCATCCTCCTTGGGCTGGCGGCGGTGGATAAGAGCCAAAAAGGTGGGCTTAGTCCAGGGGTAGTAAGTTAAGATTACTAACTACTCTTCGATACATCAACATAATATTGCCAAAGGAGTTGGTGAACGACTTAGCGCAACTATGTTAAATATGGCTTGACATGTAGATTGACATAAATAAAGTTTGCAATTATTTATTTTTCTGTGTTTAGTTTAATTTTTTGAAACGCCGGGAAGTATGTTTCAGAATGCACCTGGCAAGCTAAACCAGTTTCCATGAACTGTCTATATAAATGGGAAATTATATGCAAGCTCAGTATAAAACCCAGTGTCATAGACTTAAAGCTTCAGTATCAAATCAAATATGCAACTGAGTGTAAGTTTACAAGTAAACCGGATTGACAACCAGTATTAACCAATTTATCTCGTATAGATTTTGTTCCTGCTGCTTGGCTGGGTCGCCGTGGCACATTCTTTTGGGCTAGGCCAGCTCTTTTTAATCTCATCAAGGAAACCATCTTCTAATGAAAACAATGATCAATCCGCGTCGAAGGGGTCAACACAGCATTTTAAGCGGTGCAAGCCTGTTGAGTCAAGAACCATCACTCAATATGAAACCACCACAAGACGGCTTGTTCCCCTGCCAACTCTTGCACCCAGTTCTATGTCGAGTTCAGAAGAACCCAATAGTATAGACTATTATGATGATATCCCCTTTTTCAACGGAAGAAGGCTTGTACCATTACCAACTCTCAAGCCGACTTCAGAAAGTCTAATTAGCAGGGAAGATGATATAACAAGTCGCCAAAGACGAGGCATTTTAGTCTTGCCGTCAAGTATCATCGAATCTGCTTTGGGCACAGCGGGAATTTTGAGAGAACAATTCCATGAAAACGTGGCTTACCCCATAAGAAAACTTGTACATATGCCAACTGTTGAACCGTTTAGCTTGCCAGGCACTGATCAAAATGGCGATGATTGCTAGTCCCTCGAACTAAAATCTTATGTTTAACCCAAAATACAACACAATACAACACTCATTTCCAAGAACTAATAAATATTGCAAACTGGCTTCGATTGCTTTCTTTGTAACTTCAGGAAGTATAGGTCAGAAGGCATCTAACAACCTGAACCCGTTTTTATTTTCCACATATCTGAATGAGTAATTCAATAAATTCTAAACGAGCAGCGGGTTCTGTATAAAAACAAACGCCAGTGAGTTGTGGCTTCAGTATCAAAGCAAAATGCAACCGAGTGTAAGTATTAAAGAACACCTGATATCAGTGCGGTACAATAACCAACCCTCTATTTAAAAAATAGACATTTATAATCCTGCTTGGCTGTATAGTCTTCGCTAGCTCCGTTGGTTCCAACCCAACAAGGACCTCTGAGGAATTAAAAAAGGACTCTAAAGTACCCAAGCCAGCGGTGCCTGAGAAATCAGAAGGTCATTCCTTGTCAGTTGAACACTTAAAGAGTGCGAAGATTAATCATGGAGAGACAAGTACAAAAGGTCTGGTGCCTTCATCGACTCTGGCCCCAACATCCCCCTTAACCCCAACGAACGTTACCCCGAAAACAGTGGATAAAAATGTTACTCCCGAAGAAGTAGAACCCCTTCCCGAGGGCATTGGATCGCGATTGAATGCACAAACTCTCAAAACCCTCGTTACAAAGACGTATAAACCCCAAACACAAAAAAAAAACGTACCAATGAACCCAATGTACCAAATAAAGATTTGAAATTGACTCTAATGGTTTTTTTTAAACGTCATGAAGTATGCGTCAGAATGCATCTAGCAATCTGAACCCGTTTTCATTTTCCACATATCTGAATGGGTAATTTTATGAATTAGTAACTAGCGGATTCGATATAAACCTATCGCTCGTGAGTTGTTGCCTCAGTATAATAGCAACAATGCAACTGAGTGTAAGTATCAAACGAAACCAGAGTTTCACAATACAATAAATTTATCCGATATAATAAAAATTGAATATTTTTTATGTATAGATTGTGATTATCCTGCTGGGCAGTGTTGCCTTCGCTAATTCGCTTAGTGTTGAGACAACAAGGACCTCTGAGGAGTCAAAAGTAGATTCTAAACTATCTTCGCCAGCAGGAGCTAAAAACTCAGAAATGAATTCCTACCAGATTTCGTTAAGAGAACAATTAAACAGTACGCCCATTAACCCTGGACATGACGGTACTAAAGGAATAGTACCTCTGCCAACTCTGGCCCCAACTTCACCCTCAACCACAGCAAAAACCAACCCAAAAAGGGATGATACAAGTGTGCCTAGTCCTCCGGTTGAGTGCGAGTCCCTTCCCGAGGATATTGGTACACGATTGAGTGCACAACTACTTAAAGTACTCACAGTATTGGGATAGAACCGTCACAGAGAACTATTACATGTTGTTGTATATAAGATACCCTTTAAAACAAAGAAACAACTAATACCGATAGTATTTCTATTGCTGTACTTTATAGAGGTTGCTCTTGCCTAATTAGGCTTGATTTATTGCTCTCCAAGTGACACAAAAAATGTGATTAACAAAGATTCCTGATAATTATTGTTATTAGCACCAAACCATTAACACTGTTTAAATTCAGCACATTGATGTATGATAACATCTTTGTTTTAATAAAGAATACGGCTATGAACATTTCTGTTCTCCTTATTTAGTATTCTCAAAATGAAAATATTTCCAGCATTTCCCAGAGATTTTCCCCAAGACATTGATGACTCGAAAAACCCCCAAAGACTAGGAGCTCCAATACAAACAATTACTGTCAATCAGCCTCGCTGGGGGGGAAGGCAATTATTAAATCCAATCAATAATCACAAACTTAATACCGATGACTAAAGTCACAACACGAGTGGAGGAAACCCGTTTCGATCGTGCACCGACAGCACATCAAAACAGTCTGAAACATCATACAAATCTCTAGCTTTATATCTGTCCGAAGAATAAGTGGTGCGAAATCGCCAGATCGAAAATTCTCAGTTGCAATGTTAGCGACCGGTTTAACTAGTTACGTATTAGATGTATTGCACCTACTGCAAGAACACAAACTAAATAAATATCGTATTCGCATCAGGGATTTCATTCATTCGGTGTTTCTCAGCTAATTGAATTAGAATGATCAGAACCCACACGGTGAGTCAAAATCCTGAGGTAAACATGGAGTAAACAAAATAAAGTCAAAATATTTCCAGTGGCTGTTGGTGTTCGTACTGTTAAACTTATATATCAATCTTAATCATGGCGCAACCAATGTGCTCTATGAATTCCAGTAAGTATTCTCTGTTAAAACATACTTAGAAATCAACTTATAATTTGATTCCAAACTTAGCATTAAGGAGGTGTACGGAGACCAAGAAGAAAAGGGCGAGCTCAAAGATTCTTCAGAGGGTTCTGGCGAGAAACCCGAACTGATCATCACGGGCAAACGCACCTCTTCGTATGTTTTACCCGGCAAGGAGAACAACTATGTTTACGTGGAAACAGCCACATATGTGGCAGATAACAGTGGCTACCGTGTCAAGTACAACATTTCCTTGGACCCCCTGGAGATTGACCCACGCCTTAGTGGACAAGCACTTAAAAGCACTGTCGGTTAGACAGCTTCTTACGTATTACTTAGTGACTAAAACGTAGTTGTAGCAAATACTAAAATATTTATTTAAAATCAGTGCAGAAGAAAAGTGACAAGTTATCCTAGCGCCATTGCAAATAATAAACGGAAACTTTGGAAACCAAGTTTGTGGAAAACATTTTATGGATTTCAGCCGGATGACAGTGCAGTAAGTTATGGCTGTCAGTCTTGGCTTTTTTCCAAAACTTCCACTTAGCCTATATAATTTATGAGTGCAGAAAATATACATTTATACGATTTACAGTTGCGGTCAATAGTAAGCACTCCATTTTGAAACTAAAGATTACACAACAACTGATTCTAAACACAGAAACTAGTTTGAAAGTGATGGCATAACTTTTTGAATTGAAAATTGTAGTATAGAAAAAACCAATTCAATTAAAAGCACAACGAGTTTTAAATATGTGAATCTTTTCATTGCTATTTTATTTTAACCGCAACTGTGTTTGCTTTATAGGAAAGGCAGTCCTTACCGTGTGTGAAGTTTCCTTGATGGCTGTTGTCTGGTGATGATTGCTGGCTGCAATTTCTAGTCAATTTCCGTGGTAAAAATGTTTTTAGAAATCTAGCTCGAGGAAAATTTCAATCTGCAATTAGAGGAAGATGTAAGAGGGGGAAATCATTAGAATTACGGCACGAGCAAGCTAAGTGGGCACAAACAAATTTTAATTACACGCTACAGGATGATGATGAGTCGGCCCCAACCTTGGGCTCGGAAAAGTCATTAGCTCATTAACTATACATATACACACACCGTATTATAAGAGAGGGGGAGTCGAGCTCTGCGAGCAACTACCTTGGGGGTCAAGTGCGAATAAAGCCCACAAAAAACGAGATTACACGATGCCAAGTAAAGAGAACCGGGATGAAAATGAGCACTCGAATTAGAATTTTAGGTCAGTCGCGCAATTGAGAGGCTGAGCAAATTCACTGCATCGGTTAATGGAACTAATTAACCAATCAAGCGGTCCCGGTGACGATAAGCCTCTGTTTTCAAGTCAAAAATCGACGCATCTCTCGATTTGCCGCTCAGTTTTGTTTCGGCAATCATTCGGATCACACGGAAAAAGTCTACGGTTAACTAAAGATGACGGTTGATAGGCTGCGACTCCTGCTGGGAGTCATCCTTCTCTTCGTAAGCCTATCAGATGCTTCCCTATCGGATTCCATGGCCACCAACTACTCCATTGACATCCTGCGCCTGGCCAAAGCGGCTCACATCAAGGCTTATATGGCCGGGGAGGACCAGGAGAAACCTTGCTCCAATTTCTACAACTATGCCTGTGGAAACTGGCCTCGTTTGCATCCCGCTCGAGTGTCCAAGCAGCGGACCAACTACCTCGAGGAGCTCCAGGAATTATACATCCGAAAGAGCGCTGACATGCTCAAGAGTGCCACAAGGGGCGCTGAAAACAGCGCCGATCGGCAGTTGAAGAACTTTTTCGGATCATGCCGTTCGCAATCAAACAACACCAATTCTCTTTTGAATACTCTGCTAAATGTGGCGGATTTCCGAGGCGGTTGGCCAGAGATTCGAGTTCCATCCTGGTATCAGTACGAGTATGATTGGCTGCAGGTGGTGGCCAACCTAAAGCGAAAGCTGGGAGTGGACATCTTCATTGGACTGAAAGTGATTCTCGACTACAAGGAGGAGAGAATGCATCGCCTGAAGATCGGAGCTCCCGATTTTCCCATGAGCCGTCGTTACTATTTGCATGATCACTACGATGGCACTCGGGAACTCTACGAAGATTCAATCTACAAGAAGCTAAGGCTATACTTCCCCGGCCAATCGGAACACTGGCTGCGAGAGGTGGCCGATCAGGTGCTGAAAGTGGAACAGCACTTGGCCAAGGGATTGCCACACAATCCCGCTCTCACTTTGGAGCAAACCACTCGCCAAAGGACCGCCGCCGAAATGAAGACAGCCTATGGCAGCTATGTGGATGTAACTCGCTATCTTCAGTTCATTTTCAACGATAACCTCTACATGGATTTGTATGAGTCACCGGAGGATTACTTTTCCAACTTGGTGGACGTGATTAGGGAAACACCCAAACTGCATTTGGCCAATTATACAATGTGGAAGGCCCTGGAAGCTTTGGATGCCGCTCGAGTGCCGGCAACGCAGCAACAGGATATCTGGTGTGTCCAACTGGTCCAGAAGTTTTTCCCCCAGCAACTGGAGAGCCTGTTCCATCGCAACTACCGCAACATGCAGATGATCAACGAGATGCAGTCAACGTGGTCGGATATAAAGCGAGTTTTCAGGGAGGATCTGCAGGCCTCGGAGCGTTTACTTTGGCTGACTTTGGAGACCAGGCAGAAGGCCATCAGCAAACTGGAGGCCTTGAAGCTGCAGTTCCGAAACCATGACGACAATCTGTTGATTCGCCAGATGCACGGATTCGATCTGCATCCTGAACGATTTTACCCCAATTTGGTGGCCGTTCTGCAGTGGCACACTCAACGGGGACTGGCAAAATTAGTGGAGGAACCCGTGCCCGAAGAGGAAGTTTACAAGCTGCCGCACTACGAGATTCAGAAGAACCGCATCCAGGTGCCGATCACTTTCCTGCAGGCGAGATTCTTCTGGGACTCGGCCTATCCAAATGCCTTGAAGTACGCAACTTTGGGTGTGCTCCTCGCCCGCCAAATGCTGCATGGATTTGATGGCGTGGGCAGAAGGTATGATGCGTATGGCTATCAAAACAACTGGTGGGATCACACGTCGGAAAGTTCGTACTCACGAAGGAGTCAGTGCTTCCAGGAGCAGTACGCCATCTTCGTGGAATACAAGGGTAAGCCCGTTCAGGATAAGGATCTTCTGCGTCGAGTGGTGGCCGATAATGGAGCTTTGGATATAGCTTATCGCGCCTATCAACAGTGGCTGAAGAATGCCGCCGAAACTCCGGTTATTTATCAGCGGGAAAGTCTGCCTCTATTGGAACACGATCACAATCAGCTATTCTACTTGGGTTATGCACAGCTCTACTGCACCGACTATCCTGAATCTGTGGAGCGATTCGACGAGCTGCCCGAAAACCTGCGCGTTAATGCTGCTTTATCCAATTCGCAGCAGTTTGCCAATGCCTTCGGTTGTTCCAGGGAAGATAAGTTGAATGCCCGGTACAAGTGCGCCCTCTACTAAGAGGATATTTTGCCCTCCATTTATAAGATATAAATGTATTTCACCAGACTAAGAAATAAAAACCTGCACTTTATTCACTTTTATGTGAGTTTCCATCGATCACTTTTTTATTAACTTAATTAAAGTCTTTTTGAAGTCTCAACAATTTAGAAAACAGATTAACCTTTTATTTAAAAGGCCAATTAATGTCCATCAAAAAATTCAATTTCCCATGCACAAAAAAAAAGCTAACGATTAAATATTCTTTATCCAATTAAAGATGTGCTTTTGAGAGTTGAGTTTTATTGAGAAGTTTATAAATTCATTTTATTAACTCATTAACTAACTCATTGGCAGACAGACTTTTTTCAATACGAGTGCAGCAAAAAAAAGACAGTCCAATGAGTTTAAGTTACACAAGTAATTTTAGTATTTGAAAGACTCTAATAGAAAAAGAGTGTTGCTCTTTAATTTTTACAACGTTCCAATCAGTTTTAGGAGCGAATCTCTTACTCTGTCCGCTCTTTTCTCTCCTTACTGATAACCTCAACTGACCCCCAGTCATATCAATCTTGGATTCTCGGCTGCTGGAATGCGATTCGAGTGGGAAAGGCAGTCGATAGCTTCACCGAGCTCCGGCAACATGTCGGACCCGGGTTGGACGACACTTTTACTGTGGCTTCTCTGGTTACCCCAACTGCATGTAGTTTCTACAGAGGATGCACCACCTCCATTCCAGCGGATCTACCAAACGGAGCAGACAGTGCGTCGATCAAAATCCCAGGATATGGGCAACCATGTGGACAGCAACATTGATCCCTGTGTGGATTTCTACGCCTATGCCTGCGGCAATTGGAAATCAACTTATACGCCGCAGGAACAACTTAAGCATCAAACGGATCGAGAACTTCTTCTGCTTTTGGAGGAGGCTGTGAAGCGGGAGGATAGCGCTTTAGTTCGGCAGACCAAGGAGTTCTTCAAATCTTGTGTGGCGGCACAGGCACAACAAAGTCAGCAGCAACAGCAATTTCTCAGTGATTTCATCAGTCAGAATGGAGGATTTCCAGCGGTTCCTGGATCCCAGTGGGCTGTGCATCATCACGATTACGACTGGCTAAGAGTTCTGGGCATCCTGAGATTCCGCTATGGAATGGACATACTCATCGGACTTCGAGTGGGTTATAATTATGAAAGTGTGAGCGAGAACAGCTTGTATTTGAGCGAACCCAGCACTATAATCCCGAAAGAGCTTTGCACCCAGAATAGACTCGATATCAGGGACTCTATTTACGAGCCGCTAGAACATCAAATGGCTTCTGAACTTAAGACTTGGTTGGCCCTGGGAAATGAGGAATCTGCTCGCCTGGCAGCCGATATTCTAAGTTTTGAGCATGAGTTGTGTGGTGGAATGCGAGGTGAACCCTTCAATCCTTTCGATGCCGAAGAACAGCTTTACCTGGCTAACTACACCCGTAAAACGTTGCCTGAGCTAAAAAATTTATTTGAACTCGATCTGGAATCTTATGTGGCAGCCAGTTATGGCAAGGATATCTTTAAGCCAGTTTACATGGCAGCACCGGAATACTTTCGCCAGCTTAAACGCACTGTGACTGCTCAGAATATGAGTTTAGTGGCTAACTATATCATGTACAGAGCGGTTTCTGCTCTAAATTTTCCTTTAGAGGATCGTCCGCAGCTGAGGAAGGGAGAATGTCTTGAAAGGACCAAGGACCTGTTGCCCTCCGCTTTGGGAGAACTTTATGCCCGCCAGTTCGGAGCGGAGGATAACAGAAGGGATCTCGACAATCTATATGATACATTAAAGGGAGCTTTGCGGAAAAGTCTGGGTGCAGAATGGCTGGAGGAGGGCAGCCAGCGGGTGGGGCAGGAAAAACTAAGGAACATACGACTAGAGGTTGCCAGTTACGACCGTCCACTGATCCTCAAGTTGCAGCTGGAGCGTGGCAACTATTGGCAAAATCTCCGCCAGATTTTGGGAGCGGTTCAATCACAAAAAATGATCCGCCTTTTTGAAGAATTTATGCCCGCTCCCTCCGATCCCGTGGAGGCATTTGAGGCCAGGGTGCGACTGCGACCAGTTCAGCGTCGCTTGGATATGGGATTGGCCCTGATGCAGCCTCCTGCCTACGATCGCCACTATGGCCACGCCCTCCGCTATGCCACACTGGGCGTAAAGTTGGCGCAACAGCTGGTCTTGGCTTTCGACGATCCACACTGGTCGATTGGACTGCTCGAGCGGGACAATTGGGACGGTTTAACCGCCTGGCAGTATCACATTCGCAGTGAGTGCTTTGCCCGCCAAGTGGAGAACTATTTGAGGGCCAATTCAAGTGCCACCAGGCAGCTGATCACGGATAGTGCAGCTCTGAATGTCGCTTTTCGGGCCTACCTCACTTGGCTGGGATTCCAGGAGCCAAACAACGACTTCGCTAAGCTAACCAAGGAAACGCTGCCGGATCTTAACTACTCGAATACGGCTCTCTTCTTTGTTGCGTATGCCCAGCAGCATTGCAGTCTGGAGGAGATTCGACCCAAGGATGGAAATTGGACACCGGGGGGATTCCCCTACAGCGCACGACAAAATCACACCTGGAATCGTTTGGAGGTAAATGGTCCTTTGAGGAATTCAGCTGAGTTTGCAAAAGAGTTCCGGTGTCCCATTGGTTCTCCCATGAATCCTGCCACCAAGTGCACTACTTACTAATAATATTTGTATTAAAAACTAATCATTCAATTTTCTAGGAATGAAATATATTATACTTGTCTGATTGTAAAAAATAAAACGTATAATTGCTGAGTTAAGGGGGAAATACAATTAGAAATTTTTTTTTTCGAAAAATTTTTTTTTGGGGTAATGTACTCTAAATATGTCTGAGAATAAGCCTTTAAAAGCATAAAGCCGTCCGGTCCTTATTTTCAAAGTTATACACAATTTAGTGAGGGTGTGTCATATGGCGGACATGCACAAAAGTAAACTTTAAACGCTTCTCCTGAAAAGTCGTGTTTTCAAAGTCGCCGTGCAATGTACAGGTCAGAGATTTTATTTTAATCGAATGCGGTTTTTTGCATTATGTTTGAAATTAAATTCTCCACACCATGAATATAACAGTTTTTCATACTTGTTTGTTATAACATGTTTTTTTTACAAACAAAGTCGAAAAAAAACGTTATTTTTAAATTTTTTTTTAACTTCAAATTTTTTAATGGAAAAATAATTTTTTCAAATATGGAATAATTCATGGTGTGCGCTGTACCTTTAAGTTTAAAGCCCAGTTGCTGTTTTTTGTTTAAGTCGTGATCCTGGACCTGGAGACTGCACGGCGCAAAGTCCTTCCCTAAAAACACGACTCCACTTTATTGATCATAAATGGGCTTAATTACAATATTTTTCAAAAAACTTGACTGATTTTTATTGCTCAATAATTACCTAATAACATGCAAAAAGAATCGCTAAGATTCATTTAACACCCTACTTGCAATCCACTCCCAAAGATAGCCCTCATTTCAGGCCTTCTAATTGTATTTCCCCCCTTAAGTTATAGACTATATGTCGGAAATGATTCCCTTGCTAGGAGCGGTTGTAAACCTTTTCGGAATGAGGAATTACAACATTCGTCGGCTTGATAGTAAAATAAAACCTTGTCACCAAGCGGCTGGTGTTGTTTTGCTGGCAATGCCAAGTTCTCGGCTGGCGAGGCCGAGTTTGTTTACTTCTCTCGCAGATCGCAGATCTTCAGGGAGTGCGATAACCTCCAGAGACTGGGAGCGAACTTGACCCAGTTCTCCCAGGTTCAAGCCCAGCCAGGAGAACCTTCTCATCCGAGGCTTATCAATCAGCCTAACAGCTCGATTCAGTCGTCTTTTCAACGCCAAGATGAGAACAACCAGAAGCGCTTGGAAGAGTTTTCTGCTCGGATTGCTGATCCAGCTGGGAGTTCAGCTTAACGCCGTGCTTGGAGTCCGGCCAAATAACATGGGTCGCATGCAGATGATGGGTGGAAACTTTCCGGACTCTCGAGAGGAGCAAATGGCGCGCCAATCAATGGCAGCGGATATGCGAAAGTACATGAACCTCAGCGTGGATCCCTGTACGGATTTCTTCGAATACGCCTGCGGTCAGTGGGGTCAGCATCACAAGCGGCAACTTCGTCTGAGTGAGTTGTTTACCGCCCAACAGCTGATGGAGACCAAAATCTCGGAGCAATTGCAGCAGCTCCTCACGCAACCACTTCCAACGCAACATCATCCAAATAGCTTTAGCGGTCCAAGTATGGCGAATGTCCGGAAGGTGCGAGCTTTCTACGAATCTTGCGTCGCAGTGGAGGCAAATGCTGGCGAAAGACGTCGTTTTCTCATGAAGATCCTCAAGGATAACGGAGGATTGCGAAATGTACCCAACTCGAACTGGCAGCACAACCGTCACTGGGTGCAAACACTGGGTGAAATGAGGAGAAACTACGGACTGGACATTCTTCTGGGTTTGGAATTCGATTTGAACCTTCAACAAATGCAGGGGAAAAGCATATACTTCGGTGAACCCAAGCTCACCATTATTCCCAAGGAGCACTGCAATTCGTTGGCCACTCAAGATGCTCAAGTGAACAATGCGGTTCACGAGCAGATTCAGCAGCAGGTTGCGGACAATGTGCGCGATTGGTTTGGCATCGACACCGGCGAGGCGGCTCGTTTTGCCGGCGACATTATTCGCTTTGAGTTTGAGCTCTGCAAGCAAATGGGAGAGCAGGACATTATTAAGAACGAGGACGAGCCGCAGGCTCCGGTACAGGCTCCCCTTTATGGAGTTCGCTCGAGAACAGGTCAAGACCGATTGCATCGCCACAAGGATGGAAAGAGCCTAATCGAACTCACCAAAGAGTTTGGCAATCAGCTGGACTTTAAAATGCTGGTGGAAGTAATCCTGGAGGAAGAATTCCCAGCTGACGTCTACCTGCGCTCCCCGGAATACGTAAAGCATCTGGTGAGGACCGTGAGGGCCAACAATCGTATTACCATAGGCAGTTATATTATTTACGTTGCTGCAAATGAACTGAATCAACCGCCGGAGGAGGTTCCTTCGCAACGTGCTCGCCAATGTGTTTTGGTAACACAGCGACTATTCCCTCAAGTTCTGGGCGAGTTGTTCCAACGTCACGTGCAACGTGATAATGCCAAACACGATCTGAATGCAATTTTCAGCGATGTGATCAAGGCCCTCGAGGAGCAGTTTCATGTGGAATGGATGGACGAGAACGATCGCAGGGCGGCCAGAACAAGACTTTCGCAATATCGAGTCCTGCTGCCGGATTACCAGAGTTTGGATCTGTCCGGGTTGCAGTTCCAGAAGAACGAAGACTATTGGCATCGCTTGGAGGTGACCCTCAAATATCGCTCACGGCAGCAGTTTGAAGCTCTGAGGGGAAACGACTTTAACCAAGATGGAGATGGCATTCTGGATGCTTTTGAGGTGCGAGCTGCCTTGTCGCCCCGTCAGCAAACGGTCCTGGTTGGATGGGGCCTGCTGCAGCCTCCCTATTACAATTACTACTATCCCAGGGCACTGAAATACGCATTGGTGGGCCAGCGATTGGCCAGTGCTTTGGTTCAGGCCTTCGACGAAGAGGAATGGAACCATCACCCTCAGGCGACGTCTCTATGGAACGATTATACCATGTCTGGTTACCGAAATGTCAGCGAATGCCAGCGGGCTCAGTACAGTAGTTACTTGTACAACGAACCTGGCGAATTTCGCAATGCCACCAGACTAAGGGAGATTATAGCCGATAGCAGCGGTCTTAACTTGGCTTTTAACGCCTATTTGGCCTGGTTGGAGCAGCAGGACCACAAATTGCGTGTACTTTTGTCGAAAGAAACTCTGCCGGAGCTGAACTTTACCAACACACAGCTTTTTTTCATATACTTCGCACAGACGCGATGCTGGGCAAAGAATGACCAGCAAGAAATCCTGAAATCGATGCCTCTGATGCAGCACACACTGGAGAGATGGGATGTGAATGGACCGCTGAGCAATTCCCCGGAGTTTGGACGAGAATTCAATTGTGCTCTGGGCACTCCAATGAACAGTGGGGACAAGTGTTTGGTTTACTGATGATGACTAGTCGGAAATAAAATACTTGGAAAGTATGTTAAGAGTAGAGTTTTTGATTGGAGTGTTAGCAGTGGGGCTGTTTATAACGTAAATCACAACCAATAAATAAAGTACCTTTAATGAAAAAAAAAAACAAAATACAAAAACTGCCTACATTTTTTATCTGGAAGAACAAGTCTTAACAGGCTTAAGCTCGCGTGGTTGGCCTGAACTGCAATAAAAGATCTCTTTAAATAGCGAAACCCCTTGTTGTTCTTGCTGCCGCACAGTTTTTGTGTCAATCGAAGCTCTTGAAAACTGCTCGACGTGTCTCCAGCTTGGGCTGGGTCTTAAGCACTCGAGCACGCAGCGCTCAATTCAAACCGATTCCGTAAGAGATATGGGCACTCGTTAATACTCAATCATCGGATGTGGGCAGATTCCTCGACCTTGAACCGTCTGACAATCGATTGCAATCCATGGCCATATGAAAAGTGAGACGCACGCATTTCCGCTTAGTTTAACATGAAGCTTACCTGGAATGACAAAAAGTTGGGAAAAAATATTAAAACATTTTCAGGAAGATATACTCATATAATGTAAAAAAGCTTATAAGACCCATTTAAATTCTTAAGGCGACACTGTTTCCCATCTCAATTGAATGTTTTTATTGAGCTTATTAAGCTAATTTACCGATTCACCTTTAGTGATCTCAATTATAAATGTTATGCAATAATTGCACCGAGGAAACTCATTGAATGTGGAATATCATTTTTTTAGAAGGGGATACAAAGATAAAATAATAAAATTGCTCAAAGCGTTTTTAAAATTAAACTGCAAATTGAGCCTGCAGAACCATATTGCGACCCCATTTGCTACCTCGTTAGTTAAGTATGGCAGTCAAGCATCTCATTGACTTCAAATGGAGCGGAAGTGCACCATGGCCAGTGCATAATATTCTGTAAGCTCTTGGAGCGTATCATCAATTACAGCTATGCAAAAATGGCATACAATTTTTCTATGCGTCATGGGAGAAAAAGAGTCTATCGCTATAATTAATGGTGGAAGTTTTGTAATCGCTGAAAAGACGCCAGAGACAAAAAGAGAAAACCGAAAACCTAATAAAAAAGAGCCAGCAAAGTAATGTTCAATTCACATTCGTAGGAAAAAGATGCCATGGTCTTGGGTATATCATTACGGTCCACACAAAACAAATGGGGAAAAATGTTCGCACAGCGGCCATTAAATGACGCGGAATTCCACTCAAATGTCTGCCCTCTCTGCAGCCACCAAAAAGAAAAATAAACCCCACGTGGCCCCCAGGCACCTTAAAGCATCACGCTTCCCCCACAATTATTAAACTTTGGCGAGACAACCGCCATCAAATCGGCGTCGTCGGCTCCGTTTATTGCCGGCTAATCAGCAAAAAGAGGGAGAAATGCAAGAAACGGAAGCTGTGGAATAGCCAATAACAATAATTACCAGATAATCCATAAAAAATAACTATGGAAAAGGGGCTTTTCCATCGTAATCAAAGGGAATGTTAGTCAACAGCCACCGGTCAACAGTATTTACTGGATTTTGTGGGCTTAAAGAATGTTATTTATGAAGCACAGCCTAGAAACTCCTACACATTTAAGAGGATTATACAAAGGTGCGGTTCCCTTCAGATCCTTCCCGTTTTCTGTTTTTCAAAGCGACTTAATGAAGCTTTATCTACGGACACAATGCCAGAGATTGTACACAACTTATGCAACATAATTCCACAATATCATCGCGGGCAAAGACTCTAAAGGGCCATAAATTTGACAACGCAACCCAAACTTAAATGAAAATGTGAGAAAAATACCCAAAACTGCAGCGGACAAAAACGAAACCAGAAATAAACAGTCGCGCACGAGTCAATTTGATTAATCAACTTTACAAAGTCCCCAATAAATCAGGCGCTAGTATTTAAACAAGACAGACGCTAGGCAAATGACCCAGTTTCCTGCTCCCTATCTATCTATCTATCTATTTGACTGTCTGCCTGTGGGTTTTCGAGTGGCATTACCAATCTATGCCAAGTGACTCCAAGAAATAAAGCGGACGAAAAGACTCCGGACTACAGATTCCCCCGGGCACGTCTTTCTGCTTGTTTTTTCGATTCGATTCCATATTTCATTCACACATTTTTAACCCAAATTCGAAAATGACTCTACATTAGTTTCATAAAAACAAATAGCAGGGGACGAGTGGAAATACCCTAACTAAGTGGTTCTACACATGTCGAGCGGCATTCCAACAAATTGATCTTGAATGTGGCCAAGAAAACGGGCCGAACTCATATCAATGAATGGCCAGCAGGTGTGCCGGCGATGGGGAAATTCTTTTCAGATAAATGAAAACTCTTTGCAAGCAGTAAAAGTGATGATATCCAAAGCACTTGATGGCATGGACAGGTTTCGGTATCTGAACCACTTCTCACAGGCAGATAAAGGGAGTTGGCTATGGGATCTCATATATCAGACAAATCTGGGTACAAACACTTCTGTAATTTAAAACTGTTTACGTTATGCCTAAGACAACAGAAGGGGAGAAACGAGAGCGAAGCTTGGGGAACGCACATATCTCGACACATATTGCTTCAGAGTTATTATTATATCTCTGCGGCAACTTCGCATGTGGGCGACGCCTCTGGGTTGTCATATATGGCCTCCATTTATTCGCTGTGCATATGTACGGGTTATAAATACTTTACATGCGACTTTGGCAAGCCATAAGTAATGAAATTTATTTCTCAGTCAATTGAATTCTTGCTCACAGTAGGTACAAAGCTTGAGGTGCGCCCATATATAGACTTGTCCAAAACAATTTGTCATTATTCTAAGGCATTACGAATTTAAAGGCAAAGCCATGGGCTGCAACGACTAAATATGTCATAGAAATTGCTCATCCGTTTTGTATATGTTGCAAGAAAATCTATAGTTTCATTGAAAACAATAATCAACTATCCCAGAAAGTTATTTGGGTTTTATCGTGGTTGACAGTAATTGAAACTATAGAATCTCATTTTTCCAGACTAGAAATATCATATCTGATTTAGATTTTTTTTCTTCAGTGTGGCAATCTGATGAGTACGATAGCTCCATAAATACTGCATACGTGTTTAATTAACAGGAGACATCTGACTGCAATCTTTGGGGGTGTTCCAGGGGCTTAGAAACCAATAAATAAGGGCCAAATGGGTTGGCTTGCACAAAGTTTTCCGGCTCGGAGGGTGGCCAATATTCATATCGCAACGACCGCATGGAACAACCCTCTTCCGCCAGCTGGCAGATGGTGTTTCAACATGGCCTTTTGGATATTTGCCACCGAAAAACTACATCTTGAAGAGTGTGGGCCAGTGACTCAGTGGCGATCCATTGGGGAGCGGAATCAATTGCACACAGCACGCAAAAGAAAAGTATCTGCGGGTAAAGGTAGCGTGTCAAGGAAAAAGGGGCTGGAACAACACCAGCACCCACCGCCCCTTCAACACCGCCCACTTCCCCCCCCCGACAATCAGCTGAGAGGCGGAAAGAGAGCAGCGCCCTCTCTCTCTCTCTCTCGAAAAATCGATTTTCCAAAACAAATGCAAACTTGTGGCTGCCTTGGCAGAGATAATTGCTAAATAAAAACTCATTTACCTTTGCAAAACATTAATCTTTGTCGCTCCGCGTAGGAAAATCCATTGTAGAAGTACATAAAGTGACTGTATCCATTGTATATATATTATATACTATGCGTAGACCTTGTTTCAGCGATAAAGCGTAAACAATTGATAATTTCATATGCACAAAAACACAAAGCGTAGCACTTGGCGACCAGTGAATCAGTTAAACAAAACAGCCACATGAAACTCAATTCTCACATGAAAATTGTTTCGAAATGCACTTCTACGCACTGCTGGAAATGGGAAATACAGCCCGGAGAGATACGAGATTCCCCGATTTAAGTGGGTGTGGTGAGTTTCCCTTGGGGGGGCGGAGATTCCTTGCCCTTTCTTAGGACTTATCGATTCGCTAATTAATCGCGTGGAAAACAAAAGCAAAACAAATTCAAAACCAGCTTTATGCGATGTTCACGATTTAGGCACTCAAATAATTTAATGGACTGGGTTAACTATATGTATATACGCATATACGAGTATGTGTACACTTCCAAATTCAATTCCGCAGGGGGATACACACGATAAGGCGATTTTCGACCGAACCACGAGTCACTCAGCCAGCGAGCAAAGTGAGGCAAATTCAAAGGCAACGGCAACGGCGAGCGAACGTCGAACGTCGACCGTCGATGTGTGGCGCTGCTTTGTAACTCATTTGGGCGCTCGGCTCGCCAGCGCTCTCATCTCACTCCGCCCGTTATGCTGGCGCTGCTGCCTGCGCAGCATAAAGCGGTGGCGGTGGCAGTGGCAGCAGCAGAGACAGTTAGCCCATAGGCCTTCTGCACACCGTGGGCCACCAACTCTTCCAGTCGCATTAGGCTATCCAGCATTGGCCAAAAACGAAGCACGCAACCCTATTCATAAGTCAATCCAAAGCTTCTAAATTGAAAAAATTTAATTTATTCTGAATAATAATCTATAATAAAACATAACTACTTTGAATCCCCGGCCACATTAAATACAGTGAGGCTTTTTTCGCAAAGCCATATTTAAAAACAATTTCTAAAAAAAAAAAATATTGGTTTTTTGAATGAATTACAATTTTGGAGGCAAATCATTATGATATTCGATTACAACGCACGACTGAAAAAGAATATAATAATTTAATTGGTAAACCATATAAGGTACCGTTGAAAATGAATGATTCTAAAGTTGTATGGTAGTTTTGTTTGAAATTTTACTGGGACAATATTTAGCTGTAACTAATTGTTTACTGGCATAAAGACAAATTGCTAAAATCACTTAAAATCAGTGAGTACCCGCTGTTAGAGTATTCGGAACTAAAATTTCCGACGGGCATTCCGGAGAGCGATATTCAGCAAAAGTCGGAGAGTGCCTGCGGAGCTCAGTCAGAAAACTGGAGCAGTGTGTTCATGCTGATAGCCGTTGGCTACATGACACACAGCCCATGACTAAATAGATCCGCAGTATTAGCTGTTCCGTTGTGTGCGTGTTGATAAGCGGACGGAAAATCGAATCGTGCGCTTTCCGATCAATAACCCAAGAGTAAACAACCGAAGGAAAACAAAGCCAACTGTCGAACGGTCACGCATGCGCCCCGAAACACAGCGAATTACTACCAAACACGATTTGGCCCACTGGCAATCGGAGAACTGGTTTCTCTGGGGGAGTTGACATTTCCAAGACGCTCCGCATTCTATGCAGATTAGAGCCGCCGCCAAACGCAAGCGTTTTTTCAACCGCGAGCGCAGGAAACCCGTTCCGAGGTTAATGACACAAACAGATGTATTACTTATGCAGTTGCAGTATCATCCATTAGCTAACGATGAGCTAATGATCTCGTGGCGGTCAGTCTGCATGCAAGCAATATGCTCATACTAAATTATCTACGGACCGTCAGTTCCAAAACATCAAAGAATTCCAAAGAAGCTGACACAGCTGGACACATGCAATGCGCAGCGAAATGGATATACTTTTCTTGGCAGCCCAACTTTCAAACGCCACCGAAAGAAAGTGTGCACAATTGAATTAACAAGACGGGGAGAATGAAAAATTCCTAAAAAATTATAGTCGTTATCTCTAGAAATCGTATTAAAATAAAGCAAAGAAAATTGATCAAGCTTTTGAAAATGAATAACCAGCAAGATTATTTGAAAGTTAAATATGTAATATATAATAATTCAAAGTGGTAAAATCCTGTCTGTGAACAATTGTGATTAAATCTGTTAGTTTTTCTCCAATGTTACAAAAAATAAATCCAAACCCAAAAAGCAGTATGTCAAAATAGACTCTCCAACGGATGGGTTTGCCCAACCCTGATAATTACAAATTCAACACACTTCTAACATAAGAGTTACCGCTCTGGAAAACGATTTTCCAATGCGCAGGCGCACTTTCGGCCAGGAAATGTCTGAAAAATTGAGAGCGAGAAATTGGGTGCGAGAGCGAAGCATAATGAAAATGTGTTACAGCCACTTGGCTGACATAAAGGTAAAGAATCTGCATAAACTGCCTACGCCAAGTTTTGATGAATCATTTGGTTGGGTTAGGCATGCAAAGTTTTGGGGTGAAGTGGGAGTTTTGTGGAAATGGGTGCCTTTTGGGCGGGGGTTGAGTCATTTGCCTGCCCAAAGGAATACATAATTGATGTATGGGCCAGACTGCGTGACTGCGGCTAATGGCAGCTGTTAAAATTGGCCACTAACCAACGGAAGCAAACCAACTGGCAGACGTCCGTTTACAAACATTCTAAGACCATTATCAATACGTAATCAAAACAAGAATTTCCATCAACTTCCGGTATTACACAAACGAAAAGGCTACCCAGAATGGAAATCAACCTGGAGTCATTAAAGCCAGGGTTCCACGCCATTGATATGCAAATGAGTCGTAGTTTTTCTCCCAAGAACCATTGATTGGAAAACTCATTCTCCCAGATAGTGAGGCCCTCAATCGCATCGATACGTTTCAATGCGCAGAGATTTAAGTGTGACTTCAGAGTCCAAAGCTTAATTATGACGATATGTATTTCCATAAACAAAGCGAAGCTTTTGTCAGCCGCCAAGCTCGGATTACTGTGTTTATTTTGTTTTTTCAGTATTTCGATATGGTGTTCCAAACGAGTTTAACGAAAAGACCTCAAGATATAAAAGTTATTTCTTAGTCACTGCAAGATACAGTTACAGTTATACTTCCGTATATTGCACAAAAGCTATTTCTGTTTTAAATACCTAAATTGAATGCATCTAAGTACCTTTTAAAATAATTGTTTCAAAATTGTAAAAAAAAAAAAATAGTCGCTATTGCTAGTTCTATTTACAGAGTTTTGGTTAGTTAAAGACACGGAAGTTTCCCTGTAATGCAGAACTCCCGTAGAGCACCTCGCGCTCATGGCTAGCGATAATTATCAAGTTAATAACTCAACACTAATTAGTCAGGTGGTTTGATGGGCAGGCGCCCGAGGGGGAGGGGCGGTACGACCCTAGGTCGCGAACTACAAAAAAAACCATTATAATGCCGTCCAATGTGAAAACGAAAGCGATACGATTTTGGGCGAGGAAAATCCGGCAATGGGAAACCGAAAGCCCAGGTGGAATTCAACGGAATGGGAAACTGGAGCTCGAAAGCAATCCAAATGCCAGGCGAATGAGTTAAATTAAATCGCAGCATCAGCGGCGGTAGCAAATCAACTTAATGACGGCTGGCAACTTTTCCAACGGCTTTTTTATTTTTGCTTTTTATCTGACGATCAGATCGTGAGGTGAAATGAATTTAAGTTGCTTTTTTTAAGGCCCACTATAAAGGGGCTAAAAAATCGATGAGTGGTCAATTAACTGTTATTCGTAGTACGCCCACATACACACACACGAACACCTTTATACACTTGCAAAAATAAAACCACAATATGTATTACCTTTTTCATCTGAATTTTTATGGCGTTTTTGGCAATAGTCTCAACAAAACAACAGCATTTCAGCAAGTGCCACTCCCACTCCAATTGGCTTTTGCAATTTCCTTTTTCTTTGTATTCGTTGCCAAATGTACTACCCGGGATTAATCGGGGTTTTGTTGTTGTGCCCACCACTGTTTAGTATAATTTACTTTTGCAGTTATGTCAACTTCTCTCTTTCAGCGCGGCGTCCTTTGTTGTTGTTGTTGCAAAAATCTTCGTGTAAATTATGTACAATGGTGGTTGTTTTAGTTGCAGGTGGTCTAAAACACTCGCGTTCGTTGGGTTTACGTGGTTTCGATTGCACTGGGTGCCGCACGCATAATTTGCGTTTAGCAAATCGTCGTTTTCGTTAGTAATTTGGCTATTTAGTTGGTTTTAACACGGAGAAAACTTTCGACGTTTCTTGTTGGTTTTTTATAATGGTAGTAGCGGCCAGTGTATCCACACCGCGTGGAAAAGTAAAATTCGGGGAACAGTTACGTGGTTAGGGTTACCACAACTTTGTGTGCCATACAAAATGATATACATTTTTAATCGGCTTCCCACTGAAAAAATAGACATGGTCACTTTAATTAAATAACAGTTGAATCACTGATTTGTGAACAGGGCTGCAACACATTGGATTTTTCTATTGAATATAAGAATTATTTAAAGTTTAATTACTGAATGCAACATCAATTTTGTTTTATTTCTTATTGTTATATTATTTAGGTTAAAGCTTAACTAAGTGGTAGTAAATTGTTGCCTATCGATAATTGTTTTATCATTAGGCAACCCTACTGCTGACGCCGTAATCGAAGGCCTGAAAATTTGTTTACCTCAAAAGAAATGCTCATAAAACATATAATAATCACATTTTTAACTATTTTTATAAGAAAAGGATATGCAGAGGATGAAGGACTATGCAGTGCCGAGCAAAAAACCTGCGAACAAGGTCAACCTGAGATAAATAACCATGATGAATGTAAGCAACTTGTTGCCGGCTTTGAAATAAGTTTTGTGTTAATGAATCCCTCTTAGTTAGCTTCAAGATACTTAAACAAATCGAAAAAGCTAATGCCGACTTTAAGCCGTGCAGCAGTGATCCAAAGGACTCCGATTGCTCCTGCCACGCAAATGTTTTGAAGCAGGATATGGCTCCCTACAAGTCAACAGGTGTCACCCGTCAAATGATCGAAAGTTCGGCGAGATATGGCACGAAATACAAGATTTACGAACATCGTTTATACCGGGATGCCAACTGCATGTTCCCAGCTCGTTGTCAGGGCATTGAACACTTCCTCCTGCCTCTGGTGGCGACGCTACCCAACATGGACTTGATAATAAACACCAGGGATTATCCGCAACTAAATGCCGCCTGGGGAAACACAGCAGGCGGACCTGTGTTCTCATTCTCCAAAACAATGGATTACCGCGACATAATGTATCCTGCTTGGACATTCTGGGCCGGAGGACCAGCCACCAAGCTACATCCTCGTGGCATCGGACGCTGGGATCAGATGCGCGAAAAGCTAGAAAAACGTGCGGCAGCTATTCCCTGGTCGCAAAAGCGGAATCTAGGATTCTTTCGGGGATCTCGCACCTCTGACGAACGGGACTCTTTGATCCTGCTTTCTCGCCGCAATCCCGAGTTGGTAGAGGCTCAATACACCAAGAACCAAGGCTGGAAATCGCCAAAAGACACCCTAGATGCACCGGCTGCCGATGAGGTTTCCTTCGAGGATCACTGCAAGTACAAGTACTTGTTTAATTTCCGCGGAGTGGCTGCTAGTTTTCGACTGAAGCACTTGTTCCTTTGCAAATCACTGATCTTCCATGTGGGTGACGAGTGGCAGGAGTTCTTCTACAACCAGTTAAAGCCCTGGGTGCATTATGTGCCCCTAAAGAGTTATCCCAGCCAGCAGGAATATGAGGAAATCTTGTCTTTCTTTAAGCGAAACGATGTCTTGGCTCAGGAAATCGCACAGCGGGGATACGAGTTCATTTGGCAACACCTGCGCATGAAAGACATTAAGTGCTATTGGCGAAAGCTACTAAAAAGCTATGTCAAACTGCTGAAATACGAGGTGAAACCAGAAGATCATCTAATTCATATTGGTCATAAAAAAGATGAGCTGTAAATTTAGGTAAAATTAGGTTACTTCAGAATCTCGTTAAGTTGTCCACATTCCATTTTTTCAAGTTCGTAGTTACTGAAACATTTGAATATTTTTTATAAAATCAAAAGCCATTTATTTGCAATACTCAGAAATATTTAAAAACATATTTTTAGTGTTTAAAATTAAAATTGTGACCCCGCCAAGAAGATGTCTTTTAATGGGAACCATGCAGTGTGACCCCCCATAATTCAGAGCCTGTGGTCAACTGTTACGTCACTGCGTAACAGCTGTTTTTTGTTTGGAATTGAAATTGGTAGCTTCGTATGGATTTCGCATCATGGCAGCTCAGCTGAATCCCTTTCGAAGTGCCTTTCGGTTACCAGCAAAACAGAGAATCAACTGGTTTCCTGGTCACATGACCAAAGGCATGCGACAAATCCAACAAAAACTGAAAAGTGTGGACTGCATTGTAGAAATTCACGATGCACGCATCCCGCTGGCGGGCAGGAACTCTCAGTTTTTCGACACAATCACAGGTGGGTACACCTAAAATCAAAAATTGTGTTTATCCGGAAATATTCCATAGGGAGTGGCGTTAAACCCCATATTCTGGTGCTCAACAAAGTTGATTTACTCGGAACAAAGCAGCAAAAAAATGTGCTTCAACAATTAAGACGACAGCAACCGGAACTTAAGCACATTCTTTTCACCAACTGCAAGGATCAGAGGAACCATGGTGTGCTGGACATCCTGCCTTTGGCCACTCGTCTTGTTACCGAAAGTAGTCGATTTAATCGAACCCAGACAGCGGAGCACAATCTAATGATCATTGGAGTGCCCAATGTGGGCAAGAGCTCTGTGATTAATGTCCTCCGGAATGTTCATCTCAAAAAGAAGAGCGCCGCTCGTGTGGGAGCAGAAGCGGGTATTACTCGCGCCGTTGGAGAGCGCATCAAAATCCAGGAGAACCCACCCGTCTACATGATCGACACACCTGGAATCCTACAGCCCTCCGTGAAAGATGACGAAATGGGCATGAAACTGGCCTTAGTGGGTTGCCTACCCGATCACATTGTGGGCGAGGATCTGATAGCTGACTACCTGCTATACTGGCTGAATACTCACCGCAGATACGACTACGTGGAGAAGCTAAAACTGAACTCCGGACCCAGTGACAATATCAGTGCCGTGCTGGCGGAGTACGCTCACCGAGAGGAGCTGTTCCACAAGGTCAAACAATACGATGGAAGGGTAGAGGTTATGACAAATTTATTGGCTGCCGCACGGAAGTTTATTCACTTCTTTCGCTCTGGACAGCTGGGTTACATAAATCTGGACGAGCCAAGCTAGTTTTATATAAGAGTTAACTTAAGATATAATATTAAACGATGAGCAAAAGAATTTGCTTGCGTCCTTATTGATTCTCGGTCATGGGCACATCGATGCCAATGTCACCGACACCGGGCACTGGAATCGAGTAGGAAACGCTGGCCAGATCGTCGGGATCATCGGCAAGATCCATGTGCGTATGGTGCTGTTGCACCTGTTCAACTTGCGGTATTCCCCCCAGTTGCCCGACCAAATCGGCTGACTGATCCACCTCCGGATGAAGTTCGACGGGAGCTGCGCTGGTTTGCGGATAGCTGGTGGTGGAGACAGCTAATCGCAGCTCTTCTGGCACACCCTTCATCCGCTTCGCAATGTGTCTGCTGTACGGAGCCATCTTCTGGAAGTAGGCAATCAGCATCTGAGGATCCTTTTCCGACAACTGGCTGCTGGGCACCAAATCAAACTCATCGCAGTACTGCCAGCGCACCAGGTATTTGATGTCCCCCGTAACATCCGTGGCGCCTACGATCTCGGCCAGCTCCAGTCCGCGGTCGTAGCCCCGCAGCTTTTGAATTTCCTCACACTTCGGCTTTTTCTCGCCGCGTTTTTTCGATTTGGCTCGCGACTCCTCAAATTTTTGGATCAAATTGGGGCAGTCGCAGTTTTCTTCCGGCTCCCAAGTGTTATCCGCCGATGTATAGCCGCGCCACTTGATGTAGTACTCCACTTTGCCGGTGCTGGTTATCCGTTTGTCTATAATGCGCTCTACCACAAAGTTCGGCTCGTTTTTGACCATTTTTATAGCTTTATACAAAAATTGTTTACAATTTTTTCAGCTTGTATTTTTTCAAGTGTGACCGTTTCTTAAATGTTCAAGAATTCCCTACGCTGTTACTGTACGTACCATGACTCCTGTCGATTGCGCGATAGTATCGTCTCTAATGTAAAATCACAGAATTAAAGAATTACAACAAAAAATATATAATGTGCAATAATTCAGTTTTGTAGCCAGTGTAAAAGCTTTCCTATTGCGATTTGAACTTCAGCGGTGGGTAAAATTGCGCTTTAGCGGCTTTTGCTAAAAATGGACTAGGAATTTATTTTTTTTTTTAAATGGCGGTGTAAACACGGCATAAGCTTGTTGCAGCTTTTTTCTGTACTTCAGCATTTACAGTTATTAGTCAAAGATAATTTGGACTTCGGGTCACGGTCACTTTTTTTGCTACAGGCGCGTGGAGTGAAATTCGAATCCAGGTAAACGTACAGGTAACTTAAAAGTTAATTTGCGATGGAGGATCCTCAGGACGACTGGCTTGATTTCAATCCAATGGCCAAAGATTACTACGACGAGGCACATAACCAGTACATCAGCGAATCGGGGCAGAATCTGATCGAGGTGGCTCCTTTACCGCCCAAGAATGAAAAGATAGATCGTGCCGAAAGACAAACGAAATATCCATATCTGGTAGTCCCCAAGTCCAGCCCCTTTGTGACCGAAAGGATGCTTATCAACTTCTTTGGCCGTGCTCTGATCCACGACTTGGAATTTCGCAAAGTATCGCGTGTTTACTTTGTATACTTCCTTAATATCGGGTAGGTTAAAACACGTTTATTCACGTTAAAAAATTACTCAAATGCACAGAAAAACTTCTTGAAGATCTCTAGAAGCAGCCCGACTGCAGGTGGAGCGACACCCGAACCTGATCAGGTGCGTCACTGGGCGTCCCCAGAAGGAGCGAGAAAGCGCTATCCCTGATATTCTGAAATCCACTGAACCAATGCCTGAACCGTCTCCTGCTTTTTCGCCCACTAAACGTACGCCCGTTAATCTCAACTCCCGTGAGGTTCCTGTCTCGGCCGGAAGACACAAGCATCCGGAGTTTTTTCGACCCCCTCTCGTTACCAAAGAGGATTATAAAGCCAAAAGATCACTGTTGGCCGAAAGCGATCCCATTCAGCGCTATCTTAATGTAAAATACGAGTTCGCCTTGGAGCGCTACGATATCTATAAGCTAAAGGACGAAACGAGGATTTCGCAGGCTATTCTGCACTTTCGTTCTGGAAGAACTATTCCAATGTAAGTTTACACCTTTGCAAGGTGTGCAATTTTATTGGGCTAAAACTTATCTATATTTCTCTTAGATCAAAGATTGCCTGCGATGAGGCAGCTACATCTGAAAACCTCTTAAAATTTGAAGTAAGCAAGTGCGTGGTCTGCCAAAATTGGACAGATAATTTCTGTAAGTTTTGCAAGATGCCCTTTTGCAATGCCTCTTGTTTAGAGTATGTGGCTGATATGCACACGGAAAGCTGCGGCAAAGAGAAGCCGCTCGAACTTGGCGAAAAAGTGTGCCGCATGTTTCCAAAGCCCGGACTGCCACCATCGGGATCCAAAGTTAGAATCACCGCCTTTGAACAGACTAATGTGGTATTCGTTCGCTCGGCTGACATTCATATGGACATTGCTTATTACTCAGTCCTAACTGAGGTATCAACTCAGGGAAAAACTGCTCCAAAACTGCTTAATACGCCAGTCTGCGGTCAAATTGTTCTGTACAAGTTTGAAAATGTAATTTTTCGTGCAATGGTGCTCAATGTTGATGATCCCAAGGACATCTATGTCGTATGCATCGACTATGGCAGCGTTGAGGTCGTGCAGCTGAAAAATTTATACGAATGCAGTTCCGTTTTGGCCAGTTTGCCGTGCTATCCCATCGCTGTGCAGTTGCGTGGAGTTCCTAGGCGATTTCTGGGTCCGAACATTAGGGAAATGATGTACGAGCTCGACCAAGCTTTGGTATTCGATATGAAATACTCTTTGCGAGAGTACGATTATAGCAAGGGTTTGCAAATTGTTGTGCTGACTGAGACGGAAATCAATAGCAGCTTAAATCGTCTTTTTAAGACAATAATGACACCTGTGGAACCGTCTTTATCAGAGCCAGGATACAAGGAGGAAGTACGCATAACGATTCTGACCTTTAAAGTGTTTTTTTCTTAATAGCATATTCTGTCTTAGTGCCTTCCACATGTTCCCTTGCCCACAGGCAAAAATATCGACTTGATTGTGATGGACAACACTTTCCTAAAGTACGGTTTCTTGCACTGCACCACCAAAGAATTGGCTTTTGAGATCACCAAAATGCAGCGAGATATTCAGGAGTATGGCGAGAAAATTGCACAGTGCCCAACCTACGCTCCACCGTAAGGATCACCAGTTTACTTTCAAAACATTTAATAATTTTTTTTTTTTAGAAAAAGTGAGCTATGTATCGCCAAATACGAGGGGAAATGGTGTCGGGGACTTTCCTTGGAATTGATTGGGGATGGATATCCCAGCATTTTGTTTATTGATTATGGAAACATAGTGCCGACTCATGTCAGTGATATACGTCGGTATCCGCCACAATTTATCTTCCCCATTATGACCGCAGAGCTGGATTTGGTCGGTTAGTATTAAAAAATTATAATGAAAACTTATATTTTCCATGATTTGTTTAGGTTTGCCTGAAGAACTCACTGTTGGGCAGATCAAATATTTGGAGGACTATTTTCCCATTGGAGCGAATGTGACCTGCAGCGAAATCTTTTACAACGAAGATTACAATAACTATTCCGTTCGCATTGACAAACTGCAGGAACATTTAAATTAAACCTATAGTTTGCCAAAGAAGTTTTCTTCCATTCCACTTTTTTAAAGAATAAGTCAATGGATTTATTTTTGTCATTCAAGCGTTAATTTTTTTTTTGAATAAACAACCTGAAGGTTTTCGACACTATCGTCTAATGCCGTTTCCTGTAAAATAAATAAATAAATTTAAAGGGGATCTAGGAGGTGAAAATTGTAATATTTAACGCACCTGCAGAAATTTTTCGCTAAAAGGTGGCTCATCCTTTGTCCAGGATGATAGCTCCTAAAGAATGATGTTAAAATTCAAGTTTTTTTTATGAGAACTAAGCTTTAAATACTCACATATGTTATTCTCGGTGCCAGCCCATTTCTATAATTTTGAAGGTCTTCTACGATATCATCATGCGTATTTAGACTGAGTTGTCTATAGAATTGCACTTCTTCAGGACAACCAGCAGATGTGATTAGCGTGTATATTCTGTTGTCCATTTTTCCAGTTACAAGCAGTTTCCTGGCTTCCTCTGTTGCATTGTGATTATAGATGACGATGTTTTTGCAGCAGAGAGAGCGCATATTAGGTAAGTTCCTAGTTAAAACCAAGCCAACCATCTGTGTCATCTCCTCACAAGAGTTGAAGGCATCAACATCTTGGGGAGTTTCCAGCTGCACATGGCCTATATCATAGCTTTGGCAGTAGCCCATTATCAGCCTCAAACAATCTTGACTGTTGGCCAAAATGCAGCATTTCTCACCATGCTCTACCACCAAATTATCCAAAAATTTGTGCACAAACTCGAACTTTGCGGAGTCGTAAATGCCCATTTCTGACCAGGAAGGTATTTGAGGTTCCAACAGTTGAAATAGATCACTGTATTCTGTTTGTTTGATTAAGGTTTTAAGCAACACGGGATGATCACAGACCACTTGCACCATTTCCCTCATAACGGGAGGATCCTAAAATATAAATGGTATAGCTGTTGCATGAAAAACTACTAGTTCTAGCATTAAAATCCTCTTACCATTTTTAAATTTCTAATGTGTTCGGCCAGAAAGCGTAATATTTTTTCTTGCAGTTCCGCCGGAGCTAGCATGCACAGATATTCCACATGGGTGAATGGAGCAGGACACTTCGCGAATGGAGCACTGGCTTCATCATTTTGGTTGAGTTCCGAGGTTTCTTCCCGCATTCTCTTTTTAAGAACATGAGATCTGAAGGGAAGACTAGCCACATTAGGTGGTGATGTGTCCGTATGACCGTTCTTTGCATCTATTTTCTGGCACCAGCTGGCTATCTCCAACTTGCGTTGCGCCACGCACTCCTCTAGAGTCTTAATCTCCTCCTGGACTTCCACATCTTTGCTACCGACTTCCAGTTGATCGTTCTCGTGGAAATCCCGCTGTTTAAAGCATGTCATGGTGTCCACAACTTTACCAGCGTCATCCTTTAGGATAACGTTTGTTCCGGTGACCACAAGGGTTCCGTTGCCAGTCCAAGTTTTGTGCTTTTTGGTGGTCTGATTTCGCCAGAGGACATGGAAGATGCGACTTTCCTTGAGGGGATTTTCGCCGGGCTTGATTTCTCGTGGTCCCAGGTTTTCGGAAACTTTGGAAGAGCCCCATTCCATTGAAGGAGAGTTGCTGGGCCAGGCACAAGGCGATTCTGGCTCCTCCGGAGGTTCGGGATCCGCGTTTCTTCGCTTGGCCGCTAGGCGCATTGAAGGAGCCTTCGAACGTCGCATTGGAAGTCTGCAGTAAGGGGTTTAGGGTAACTATGAGACTTATGTATCACGCCCTACGATTTACAGATGTAATCTTCTTAACAATATTTAACAATGATACCTACTTTTAAATAAATTAGATTTAAATAAAAATAATAACAAGGCGCAAACTTCTTTGAAGAGGCAATCCAGTGTGACCATAGAAAGTAACCGATATTATTGAACCCTTCTCGTGACCTTATGAACCGGTCACACTGGCATACAGCTAGCCGGCTTTGGGAGATTATTCGCTGCCGAAATCTTCGCGAGGATCAAGTTTCGTGATTCCCCTCGCCACGATGGCGTTCCACTGGTGCGACAACAACCTGCACACCACCGTGTTCACGCCTCGCGACTTCCAGGTGGAGTTACTGGCCGCCGCCTACGAGCGGAACACGGTTATCTGCCTGGGACACCGGAGTTCCAAGGAGTTCATAGCCCTCAAGCTGCTCCAGGAGCTATCGCGGCGCGGACGTCAACGTGGCCGGATCAGTGTCTACCTAAGCTGTGAGGTGGGCGCCAGCAAAGAACCTTCATCCATCTACACGATGCTCACTCACCTCACCGATTTGCGGGTGTGGCAGGAGCAGCCGGACATGCAGGTGCCCTTTGCCCACTGCTGGACGGACTACCACGTGTCCATCTTGCGGCCAGAGGGATTTCTCAGCCTTCTTCAGGGTCGAGATATGCTGCTGAGCAGCGTGGAGTTGATTGTGCTAGAGGATTGCCATGACAGTGCGGTTTATCAGCGGATAATGCCTATCTTCGAGGAGTACATCCTGCCGGCTGCACCGGCGAACCGGCCACGAATCCTCGGGCTGGCTGGACCACTGCACAGCGCCGGATGTGAGCTGCAACAACTGAGCGCCATGCTGGCCACTCTAGAGCGGAATGTGCTCTGTCGAATCGAAACAGCCAGCGATATCGTCACCGTGCTGCGATACTGTTCCCGTCCGCGCGAGTACATCGTGCAGTGCGCCCCCTTTGAAACGGACGAATTGTCACTAGTGCTGGCCGATGTTCTCAACACCCACAAGTCCTTTCTTATGGAACACCGCTACGATCCATTTGAGATCTACGGAACAGACCAATTTATGGATGAGCTCAAGGGTGAGTAATTGCAATGGATGTTGGAGACGCTATATAGCTCGATTGTCTTCCTGTTTCAGACATTCCCGATCCCAAGGAGGAGCCACTGAACGTCATCAATTCCCTCCTGGCCGTGCTACACGAGATGGGTCCCTGGTGTACGCAGCGGGCTGCCAACCACTTTTACCACAGCAACGAAAAGCTTAAAGTGAAGACGCCGCACGAACGTCACTACTTGCTCTACTGTTGGGTGAGCACTGCTCTCCAACAGCTGCACACGCTCTGCGAACACACTTTCCAGCGGCATCAGGCAAACAATGGCGGAGATTCGCGCCTGACCATCGAACGCTATTCCAGTCCCAAGGTGCGACGTTTGCTGCAAACACTGCGTTGTTTCAAGCCGGAGGAGGTCCACACTCAGGCGGATGTGTTGCGCAGGATGCGACACCAAGTGGATCAGGCTGATTTTAACCGACTGTCGCACGTGCTAGAAAGCAAGTGCCGCGCGGTGGACCAACTGGAGCAGAATCCCACGGAAACGCAAGCGTTGGTAGCCAATCTCGAGCAAATTCTGCAGACGTCAGTTGACAAGCAGTCGTCCAAGAACGCAGCTCGCTTTACTCCTGCTCCCGGACAGGCGAAAACTAGGTCGAACAATGGATCGAACTCCACCCAGCCACGAACCCGGAGAAGAGTGTACACCAGACGACACCACCGGGATCAACATGACGGCAGCGATACGCTCTGTGCACTGATCTACTGCAACCAGAACCATACGGCTCGAGTGCTTTTCGAACTGCTGGCGGAGATGAGCCGGCGTGACCCCGATCTCAAGTTCCTACGCTGCCAGTACACCACGGATAGGGTAGCCGATCCCACCACGGAGCCCAAGGAAGCCGAACAGGAGCATCGGCGGCAGGAGGAGGTGCTCAAGAGGTTCCGCATGCACGATTGCAATGTGCTGATCGGCACTTCGGTGCTGGAAGAGGGCATCGATGTGCCCAAGTGCAATCTGGTGGTGCGCTGGGATCCGCCCTTCACATATCGCAGCTATGTCCAGTGCAAGGGACGGGCTCGAGCGGCACCAGCTTATCATGTCATTCTGGTGGCGCCCAGTTACGAAAGCAAGGCTGTGGGGACACAGCAACTAGGCAATCGTTGTCATCGCTTTGTTTGTGGTGCCTCGGGAACTGGAGACACCACAGAGGCGGACAGTGACTCGGATGACTCGGCGATGCCGAACTCCTGCGGCTCCGATCCCTATACTTTTGGCACGGCCCGTGGAACGGTCAAGATCCTCAACCCTGAAGTGTTCAGCAAGCAGCCGCCGACGGCATGCGACATAAAGCTGCAAGAGATCCAGGACGAATCGCCCGCCTCTGCTTTGTTGGACACTAGCAACTCCAGCGACGAGGCCGTCAGCATAAGCAACACCACTCCGAGTGAGAGCAGTACGGAGCGCAAGTCCAGGCGATTCCAGTGCGAGCTGGCTCTATCTGAATCGGAGGACAGCATCGAACCGTCTGTTGAAGTCAACACCGTTGATCTCTTGGCCCACACCACCAAGGACTTGGTGCATCAGATGGCACAATATCGCGAGATCGAGCATATGCTGCTATCCAAGTGCGCCAACACAGAACCTCCGGAACAGGAACAAAAGGATGCGGAGCGCTTTAGTGCCTGTTTGGCCGCATATCGCCCCAAGCCGCATCTTCTGACCGGAGCCTCCGTGGATCTCGGATCTGCTATAGCGCTCGTTAACAAATACTGTGCTCGCCTGCCCAGCGATACTTTCACCAAGCTGACGGCCCTGTGGCGCTGCACTCGTAGTGAGAGAGAAGGAGTGACTGTGTTTCAGTACACACTTCGGCTGCCCATTAACTCGCCATTGAAGCACGATATTGTGGTATGTTAGAGGATATATATTAAGTCTAGTTTTTATCTGAAACCTATCGTTTGCCTTCTTATTTTTAGGGTCTTCCAATGCCCACTCAAACTTTGGCACGACGGCTGGCTGCGTTGCAGGCCTGTGTGGAACTGCACCGTATTGGTGAGCTAGACGATCAGTTGCAGCCCATTGGCAAGGAGGGATTTCGTGCCTTGGAGCCGGACTGGGAGTGCTTTGATCTGGAGCCGGAGGACGAGCAGATTGTGCAGCTGAGCGATGAACCCCGTCCGGGAACGACAAAGCGACGACAGTACTACTATAAACGGATTGCCTCAGAGTTCTGTGACTGTCGACCGGTGGCCGGCGCCCCCTGCTATCTGTACTTCATCCAACTGACGCTGCAGTGTCCCATTCCCGAGGAGCAGAATACGCGCGGTCGAAAGATTTATCCGCCCGAGGATGCCCAGCAGGGTTTTGGAATTCTCACCACCAAACGCATCCCCAAATTGAGCGCCTTTTCGATATTTACCCGCTCCGGAGAGGTGAAGGTTTCGCTCGTGTTGGCCAAGGATCGCGTGGTCCTAACCAGCGAACAGATTGTCTGCATCAACGGGTTCCTGAACTACACATTCACTAATGTACTGCGTCTGCAAAAGTTCCTAATGCTCTTCGATCCCGACTCCACGGAGAACTGTGTTTTCATTGTGCCCACGGTGAAGACGCCTGCTGGTGGCAAGAATATCGACTGGCAGTTCCTAGAGCTCATCCAGGCCAATGGCAATACGATGCCACGAGCAGTGCCCGATGAGGAGCGCCAGGCGCAGGCGTTCGATGCCCAAAGATTCCAGGATGCCGTCGTAATGCCGTGGTATCGCAACCAGGATCAACCGCAATACTTTTACGTGGCCGAGATCTGTCCGCACCTTTCGCCCCTAAGCTGTTTCCCTGGCGACAACTACCGCACGTTCAAGCACTACTACCTCGTCAAGTACGGACTGACCATACAGAATGCCTCGCAGCCGCTGTTGGATGTGGATCACACGAGTGCTCGCCTGAACTTCCTAACTCCGCGGTACGTAAATCGAAAGGGCGTGGCTCTGCCCACCAGTTCGGAGGAAACCAAGCGGGCCAAGCGCGAGAATCTCGAACAGAAGCAGATCCTGGTGCCGGAGTTGTGCACTGTGCACCCATTTCCCGCCTCTTTGTGGCGAACCGCTGTGTGTTTGCCCTGCATTCTGTACCGCATCAACGGTCTCCTCTTGGCTGACGACATTCGCAAGCAGGTTTCTGCGGATCTGGGACTGGGAAGGCAGAAAATCGAAGAGGAGGAGTTCGAGTGGCCCATGCTGGACTTCGGCTGGAGTTTATCAGAGGTGCTGAAGAAATCACGCGAGTCTAAGCAAAAGGACTCACAAAAGGTTTTAGAAAATGGTAAAGATTCGATGGAGGATCAAAAAGAGGCGATAAAGGAGGAAACCCAACAAGCTGAGAATTCCAAAGACGATAAAGTTGAGAAGAGTGCCGTTGAACTCATCATCGAGGGCGAACAAAAGCTGCAAGAGGCGGATGATTTTATTGAGATTGGTACTTGGTCAAATGACATGGCTGACGATATAGCCAGTTTTAACCAGGAAGATGATGACGAGGATGAAGCCTTTAACCTCCCAGTTCTGCCTGCTAACGTAAAGTTTTGTAAGTTTAAAGTGCTTTTAGAGCTGTAAAGAAAAAATATATATATATTTATACATTGCAGGTGATCAGCAGACCCGCTATGGATCGCCAACATTTTGGGATGTGAGCAATGGCGAAGGTGGATTCAAGGCTCCGAAGCGCGGCCAACCTCAACAAGGTGGAAAGGGCAAAGGAAAGGGTCCAGCGAAGCCCACCTTCAACTATTACGACTCGGACAATTCACTGGGCTCTAGTTATGATGATGACGACCATAATATGCCTCATAATTACATTCACCAAAAATACAGCTCGGATGACGACGATGTGGAGGATGACATTGATGCGGGACGCATTGCCTTCACTTCCAAGAACGAGGCTGAGACCATCGAAACCGCCCAGGAAGTGGAGAAGCGACAGAAACAGCTCTCCATTATCCAAGCAACGAATGCCAATGAACGGCAGTACCAGCAAACGAAGAACCTGCTTATAGGATTTAACTTTGAACAGCAAAAGGACGATGTGCAAGAAGTACCGAGTGGCAGATACGAACAATCAATAGCCAAGCTGCAGGCTGAGATCGAAAGCTGTGGCATGCTGGTTCCTCACGACAAGGAGCTGGCTCTAAAACGAAGTGATGCCGCTGAAGCTCAGGCAGCAAAGATGTCGATGATGGATTTGCTCAAGCAACTGTTGCCATATGTTAAAGAGGAAAACTTGGCAGCAAAACTGGGTAATAGGCGAGAACTGTTGCTGTCGGATTTGGTCGAGCTAAATGCGGATTGGGTGGCTCAGAATGAGCAGGAGACCTTTAGCGTGATGGGATGCGGTGACAGTTTTGATAACTACAACGATCACCATCGACTGAACTTGGAGGAAAAGAAGCTCAAACTTGAGTTTGAGCGAAAGAAAATTGAGCCGGAATCTTCCCAGAAAGCCATATCATCATCCATTTCGCCAACAGGCTTCAGTTTCGATCGCCAACCGGATCTGGTTGGACATCCAGGACCCAGTCCCAGCATCATTCTGCAGGCCCTCACCATGTCGAATGCCAACGATGGCATCAATCTGGAGCGCCTGGAGACCATTGGCGACTCCTTTCTCAAGTATGCCATCACCACTTATCTGTACATTACCTACGAGAATGTCCACGAGGGTAAGCTAAGTCACCTGCGCTCCAAGCAGGTGGCCAATCTTAATCTTTATCGCCTGGGAAGGCGGAAGCGGCTGGGCGAGTACATGATAGCCACCAAGTTCGAGCCTCACGACAACTGGTTGCCACCCTGCTATTACGTGCCAAAGGAGCTGGAAAAGGCTCTAATTGAAGCGAAGATTCCAACGCCTCTTTGGAAACTTGCCGATTTGCTGGACATCAAAAACCTGAGCAGCGAGCAAATCTGCGAGATGGTCCGCGAAAAAGCCGAAGCCATGGGCTTGGAGCAGACCAGTGGTGCCCAGAATGGTCAGCTTGACGACTCCAATGACAGCTGCAATGATTTCAGCTGCTTCATTCCATACAATCTGGTCTCACAGCACAGCATTCCGGATAAGTCCATAGCCGATTGTGTAGAGGCGCTCATTGGAGCCTATCTCATTGAGTGCGGACCTCGAGGAGCTCTTCTCTTTATGGCCTGGCTGGGGGTCAGAGTGCTGCCCTTCACCAGGCAGTTGGAACTGGCGAATGAGGAAGAGCGGATTCCGGGCAGTACTAAACCCAATCAGGAGAAAATGGTTACTGTTTATGGTGCTTGGCCCACGCCACGAAGCCCGCTACTGCATTTTGCACCCAACGCCACGAAGGAGTTGGACCATTTACTTAGTGGCTTCGAGGAATTCGAGCAGAGTCTGGGCTACAAGTTCCGGGATCGATCCTACCTTCTGCAGGCCATGACACATGCCAGTTATACTCCCAATAGACTGACGGATTGCTATCAGCGCTTGGAGTTCCTGGGCGATGCTGTGTTGGATTACCTGATTACACGTCATTTGTACGAAGATCCCCGCCAGCATTCGCCAGGAGCTCTAACGGATTTGCGATCCGCGCTAGTGAACAATACAATTTTTGCCTCCCTTGCCGTTCGGCATGGTTTCCACAAGTTCTTCCGACATCTCTCGCCGGGTCTCAACGATGTGATCGATCGCTTTGTGCGAATCCAACAGGAGAACGGGCACAGCATCAGCGAGGAGGTAAGCTATTGCACATCCTGTAACCGCATCTTGTATAAAGTATCTTTTGTTTCAGTACTATTTGCTGTCGGAAGAGGAGTGCGACGATGCGGAGGACGTGGAAGTGCCCAAGGCTTTGGGCGATGTCTTTGAGTCGATTGCCGGTGCCATCTTTTTGGACTCCAACATGTCCCTGGATGTGGTGTGGCATGTCTACAGCAATATGATGAGTCCGGAGATCGAACAATTCAGCAACTCAGTGCCAAAGTCGCCCATCCGGGAGCTCCTCGAACTGGAGCCGGAGACGGCCAAATTCGGCAAGCCTGAGAAGCTGGCTGATGGGCGACGGGTGCGCGTCACCGTGGATGTCTTCTGCAAGGGCACCTTCCGCGGCATCGGACGCAACTATCGCATTGCCAAGTGCACCGCGGCCAAATGCGCTCTGCGCCAACTTAAGAAACAAGGCTTGATAGCCAAAAAAGACTAAAAAGTCGTCGCTGCAATTGTGTTTCATTAGGCTTTAAAACCTTACTGTGTACTTTACAATTAGATTTAAGTTAACCTTTTTTATTGTATATGTCGAATCAAATTGTAAAATAATTTTCACTTCAAATTTTATATATTTAAATTATATTTTAAAAATAATAAAACTTAAATTGGAACCAATTTGTGTAAAAATAAGTATCAAATTCCATAAAATACTCAATAATTTTTGGATAAACTCCAACGCGATTGACTAATCGATGGTGTAGATAAGTCCAATGCGATCTTAACTTATCGCATATATGTAGACTATTGCCGAACTCAGTGATAAGTTGGCAGGTGAGGAAACATGACTGCGGCAGTTGAGTACATACCATATGAGGAGTTTACGTTAGGAGAGGTAGTAGCAAGCTAAAAAGAAAGATTATGACTGCAGATCTTTATTTAATGTTTAGCTTATAGGCTCTGGGACTTTCGGCAGCGTATCGAAAGCCAGTTGGAGGGATCGGGAGATCGCCGTGAAGAAAATACGGCCGGGATGTGAAGACCAGCAAATTGAGAGGGAGATTAACCAGCTCTCAAGGGTGGACCACAAAAATATCATTAAACTCTACGGGATCTCCAAACACGATCGCTGTTTTCACCTCCTTATGGAGTACGTAAAGGGTGGATCTCTAGACAGTTTTCTCCATGCTGAAAGCAAGCCAACTTATTCGCTAGCCCACGCCTTGAATTGGGCCCTCCAGATTGCTCAGGTATGACAGCGATAAGTAAACTTAAATATAGAAACAGTACTTGTGCACTTTATAGGGGGTAGCTTATCTCCATGCCATGAAGCCAAAGCCAGTCATTCACCGCGATATCAAGCCGCTAAATTGTCTTTTGGATCAAAGCGGCCTCAGTCTGAAGATTTGTGATTTTGGCACAGTTGTCGACGTGACCTTATCCATGACAACCGGACAAGGCACCTGCATATACACAGCACCCGAGGTTCGTGATCTCATATCCACAGGATGAACTAATCATTAGCTTTTCAAAGGTATTTCTAAGCGGTCACTACAATGAAAAGTGCGATGTGTACAGTTGGGCAATTACTTTTTGGGAGACGTTATCCCGCAAAGCACCTTTCAAAGATCTTAGCTTTTATGATTTGAGTATGGCCATTCCAGGAGGTAATATTACCAATAACAATAATTGTACTCTTGAAGTAAATTCCATTTTAACAGGAGATAGGCCGAAGCCAGAAGATATTATACCAGGGTGCCCGGACGATATAGTCAGCGTGATGACCACTTGCTGGGACAAGGAGCCGAAAAGAAGACTTTCGATGGAACTGGTCGCATATATTGTACAGAAATTCCTCAGAGAAGCCGGACCTCTTCAACATCTAGATTACAATTTTGGAAATTAGAAAGAACATCCATTCCACCCGATCGGTATTAAACAGATATGTATGTGAACGTTAAACACTATTTTATTTTCTTGAAAACTCTTCTCAAATATTTACATTGTAACGGATACTGTAAGGAATATGAGGACGGGTTGGGATGGGTTTGGATGATTATTGGGGATTGGGGGGCGCCGAATTCGGTTCAATTCAAGGTTACATCCAGTGAACTGTAGTATAATTTGCGGAAATATATAATTTGTTATTCTCGTTAGCTGAGGGTATAGGTATGCATATAGGGAATTTATAAAATATGATCTAGGCATATGTTTTACAGTATATGGATCACTAGCAATACGTTTGATAATTTTACTTATTCTCTTGATTTGTTTTTTTGCTCTAGCGAATGTAAATTTAAAAAATTAAATGTTAAAACGTTTTAATAAATATATTCATATGTGTTTGTATGTATATATATTTTGTTTGCTTGTCAAAACAAAATGATCCTCGCTCATGTGTTTGGTTAGTTACACAATGGAAAACTGTAACGTTTCGTAGAGTTTCGTTTTGGAGTATAATTGTTTCGTAATTTATATGTTGGTTTTTGCTTTTTCGTTTTTAATAAATGTTACATACTTTAACTTATATATATAACTATATATAAACATGCGTGTATGTAAGCATAGTTTAATTAATTCAATTGGTTTGGTATAATTGTTGTCTTTATACTCGCTATAATTGTTTTCGTTTCGTCTTTTTTTCACCGCACGTTCCTGCCTACGATTTGTTCAATGTCTTCATATATATGTATATATGGATGTTCAAGCATATATATTCCCTTTGTAATTTGTTGTAATTTAGGTCGCATTTAATTTTGTTTGCATTTGCTTCACTTAATTTCGGCGTGTAATCAAAATGTTCTCGTTAAAAACAGAAACGAACGAACCCAAATTCAAAAACAGGCGACTGATGATCCGAATGCGAGATATAGTGGACGAATTTCGAATGATTAACTGGTCATATAAAAACTCCAGAGATAACATTGAATTATAAGAAAAGATGGCTTAATTATAGTTGCTGCGTTATCGCCAATACTCATACCTTATGCTGGTTTTGCAAACAAAAAAACGTACATGTAGGTGCAAAAAAAAAACTTAAGCTATCCAGGTGCAACCTTAATAAAATATACAATTAAAGAAAATAATCTCTTAAAGTGTTAACAAAAGGTGTCATAAACGTTTTATTGAAATCGTTTGCATGTGATATGTTTTCAAGTATGGTAAGAACACAAATATCAATAAATTATTAAATCATAGGTGGTTACAAAGGATACGTTTGCTAAAACGAATGCATACACTTAAAATAATTAAACGGCTCGGGGACATTCAAGTACGATTTCAGTACTGGACAGCTTGCTGGTTAAACTATTTTACAAAAGGTAAAAGAGCAACACATATATATTCGAGTACAATGGGTGTTAGTCGCACAATACACTGGGACAAAACACATAATTTACAATATTCGAAACGGATTGATAGAGTACAAAAAAGTATTTTGAAAGCGTAATCGGCATGAAACGTTGACAATGACGATGACATTGTGGATTAATCTTTCGTGGTTACCTAGTCCCTCGATTACGTACATATAAAAATTCTAATTTGGATTCTGCTCACGATTAGGTTTGAGATACATGGGGAGTACATTGCTATGTATATGTAGCTGAGTATGAGTACAATATTGTAAGAGGTCTAATTTCAACTGCGACTTGCTCTCAGTTTTCTACAGAAAAGCAAGCTCTAAAAGTCGACTACTACAATGTTTGTGGAACTGAATGGGCATGCATTTGTATATACGGGTGTGTGGTTAATGCGAATAGCTTTCAGAATTCCTAGACGTACATGTGACTACATGATAGAGATGTGGGTCGTGTGTTTGTGGCTTGTCTACGATTACCTTTCGAAACGAACACAAAATAAACTGATTGGGGAAACCTCATCTAAACAAATGCCGAGTACTATGAAATGGTGGGTGTGGGTTGGCTGATGGCTACGGATTTTTGGTTTGAAATGGTCATGATATACACAATCATAATTATAACACATTCGTTTAGCTGCAAATTGCTTCTGTTCTTGAGTCTGATTTAAATCGAAATCTATGTGTCTGTGTGTGTGTGTTGTTGTTTTTGTTGTTGGTTGGTTGCTATATACTTAGTCTACAGAACGACGTCAGGCAGGTCGTGCGGCCTTGCCTAGGCGCGCATTTGGTTTTCATGTACGATTTTCCTCTCCTTATAGTAGATTTCCTCCGACTCCTTGTCGCAGAGCAGCAGGACGACGGCCCCGAACAGGAAGATGGCCGCGCCCCAGCCGACGCCATAGGCCCAACCGAATTCCCAGACTCGCCGGTTAGCTAAAATATGACAAAGATTTAAGTAAAGTAAACTTTCAAGAGCGGTGGACTAAATACCCATGGTAAGTTCGCCGGCAAAGCACACTGGATATACGATCAAGGCGGATAGAACGGCTAGCACTGCAATAGAAATGAATACTCAGTATTGTCGCATTCTTAAATCTAATTAGTTACTCACAGGAAACAAGCATCACCAATACCGCTATGCGATAAAACTTATATTTTAGATTGTGGTTCTGCGTCCTGAGGCCAAGACCGGTCAGTACTGTGGCTATAACATCCGTCACCAGCGTCAAGATGCAGAGTGCAGCTGTGGCCTTGATGTAGCCTGTGTATAATAGGATAAATGTTTGATTTAGTTTTAAACTACACATTTTAAGCAAGAAATCCGGGCGTCATCTCCCTCATACGTACCGACATCGCGGGTCCAGTAGCATCCTGGTGGATCTTGAATGTTGAACGGCAGTGGCGACAACGAATCATCCTCGATGCAGTGCACAAAGAGGCCTTGCCGCCAGTCGGAAGCCATCAGCCAATCTGTGGATGCCAGGGCCATGATCATCAAAGCCACCACGATGACGCCGCAGATAAAAGCAATCACCTGTGGAAGCGGAGAAATCAGTAAAGCAAGCGTCACAGTCTATAATTTTGAGCCAAGTGCATACCTTCAGTGGCCTTGTGATTGTGATGGTCTCAATCGTTGTTGTCGGCGCCATTTTCTCCTCTGGTGGACGTAGAACACTGCATATAAGATAATTTTTATAAATTGTGGGAAGACATTTTGTACTAGCTTCACAAGCTAAACAAAAACTCACCTTATCGACTATATGTGCAGGCAAAAGTGCTGCCCGCAGCTACTAATTGGAATGCGTTTTAATGCGTTTCTTGGTTAGTTTTGCTTAATGGGATGTTGGAAGGGGTTTTTTTTTTTTCGGGGGAGGCAGGCGAGTAAATGCTACTCCGGTTGGCTTTAACAATCTAATATAAATGCTTCAATTGGCGTTTTATTGCTTTTGGTTTGCGCGCTGAGGTTTTTCCAATGCGGTTCGAATTTCAAATTGCCGGCGGAAGCAGCCCGTTCAACATCTGTGTATTACCAAAGGGGGGATACTTTGTTAGCGGGGCAGGAAATAGAGAAATTGGTGACATTCGATTAGAGCGACGGCTTTCAACTTCGTACAACATGTGTGTTTAGAACAAGGCAGTTAAGTAAGCAGCAGCAACATGCAAAAACAACTCGAGCAACAACATCGACAGAGACAATGGCAAACGATTATGGCTTTTACGGGACTATCAAAATCAACCTGTGGCAATTAAACTGACATACAGTCGTGGTGAAAGAAATATGTAGTTTTAAATTATATTTTTCAGTCTCTTTATGTCTAATATACCAAGAACAAGATACAAATAATATTGTGTATTCCAAATAAATTATCAACATTATAAATTCGAATTTAGTAGAAAATAATTACATTCTTCAATTTGACTGAAAAGCAGAATACTGCCATAGTGCTATGACCACAATTGCACGCTGCGATGTATGTCATGGATTAACTGTCGCAATTTACAAAACAATGCGTTGCCACAGTTGAATGAGTTTGGGATTGTTTAAATTAAAATTCGCTCTATTGTGACAGACAAAAAGCGCGGCGCAATATTTGAGTCTGGGAAATGGGAAGTCGAAATGACAAAAGACGGAAGCTTGGGTGCTGAGGTGCAGCCCCACATAAATTATGCTGCGAGGCAACTGCAACTTAGCAATTTCAAAGCTGTATACAACGGAATGTCAATTATCCATTCGCATTCCATCGTTACAGTCTTATCTGATGGATTTATCCATCTATATGTTATAAACAAGGATCTTTCCGAATACCCATAACGTTGTTGTTTTGAAAGCTGATAAGGATTTATGTTTTATCTTTCTTAAAAGCAAATTAAAACATCAAATCTGTTCAAATTAATGATTTGGCCATTAAACGTAAGCTGCATGGAAGGGTATAGAAACATCTACTTGATGAAGTTTTCGCAGGCTTTCGTGCAAATTTTTAATATCTTCAAGATGCAGATACGCAAACTGAGATAATCGTATGTAAGAATGTATATAAATATAGCGTCTAAGGAATCTCGAGATATGTTTTGACGGGCCAGACGGAGATGATTTTGTTATATTTATAGCGGCTAGAAATTGAAAACAACAACAATAATTTCGCAGATGAGCGACTACACGGACAGTGTGTGCTGACATGTGTGTCTGTGTGTGGGTGAGTGGCATGGCAACAGGATCATAACGGTTAATTGCTATATAGAACGTAACGGTAACGGCAGGCAAAATTGGGGCAAACGGCCAAATGCAAAACAACAACAATGACAAGGGCGAGAGTATTTCTATGCATAAATATGTGACGGTGTGTGTGTGTTTTGGGGGAAACGGAAGCAAAACAAAATGCAAATTGCTCAACTAAAGGGCAATACCTTTCCTTATAATAGTCCAGGGTTACCGATTCGGAATCAAATTCTGAATAATCTGGCAGCGATTCGGCATCAAAGGAACTCATTCCGCTCATCGTGTAATTGGGCAAGATGTTCATTTTGTTGTTGTAGCCAACAAGGTTACCCTGCTGCTGTTGCTGTTGTTGTTGCTGCTGCTGCTGCATTGTTGTTTTTACTTTTTTCTACGTTTGTTATTTTTCTTTTTTACTTTTGAACAATATGGCACACGCACACACACATACACGCCCACAAAACTGACTGCTATATTTTTCTCTATTCTCTTTTCGCTGCCTTTTCACACTCTTCGCCGTCTACTTTGCACTTTCGCAAAATTGTTTCGCTCTTAACAGATGTGCACTTACTGTCTGCTTAGAAAGCTGTGTCACTTTCACTCTCTCACATGATCCTCGACCACCGACTTTTCTATATAATCAAAAAATAAAAACGACGAAAATAATAATGTTTTGCTTCCCTCATCACAAGACAACAACCGAAAATAAGTGTGACCGAAGCGCGTAATAGAGATGGCTTAACCACTTAGGATGGTATCGATATAACTAGTATGCGACAACCCATCTAGCTTTTTGAATCGGCTATATTGAATATTTACATGGAAATAAAACAAATTTCTTTTTATTTCTGTCCAAGTATCTACTAGTTTTTTTTAAAGTAAAAGATTTGTAGCTTTTTAAATATATCGGAGTAAAATCACTAACCGTGCCTGCCGTGAAAGCAAATCCCAAAAATCAGTGTGACCGTTTGTCAAAGTACAAGAACGTAAGAAATCGGCGTCGCGTGGCTTCGACAGATTAGCGAACAAAACAATATCCTATTTAAAATCAGCAGATCCATTTTATACTCCAAAAAGTTCGTGGTGGAGCCGAGTAATCTATGGCCACGGACACGGTGTCCAACGGCGAGAACTTCGCCCAGCATTTGTCCGGGAACGGGGACGACGACGTGATCTGTCCCACATGCGACGTAAAGATCAAACGCAGTCAGGTGGCCGATCACTGCCAAGTGGAGATGGAGCGGTTGCACAACCCGATCACCGTTAGCAGTCCACTGGCTCAGTCCGCCGGTTCAACTGCACCACCCTCGGCTCAGGAATCTGGATCGGTACCGGGAGCGGGGGGCAGGCAGCCGTGGAGCGTCTTCCAGCGGGTGCAGCGCAATCGGCAGGCCCGCCAGCGCCAGCGTACTAGGAAACGTCCCTCGTCTCCAGGTCCGCCACCTCCTGCAGCACCTACTGTTCCCGCACCAGCTCCTCCACCTCCTGCTGCAGTTCCTCCTCCGCCGGAGTCCAGTCAACCCACCTGTCCCGTGTGCAACCACAATTTCCCGCAGTCCAACATCCAGGAGCATGTCAATCAGTGCCTGCGACAGAGCCGCCGAAATGGCCAGGTCAACGGAGAGCGGCACTCCAGTGAGGATTCAGAGGACAGTGAGGAATACGAGGAGTACGAGTGGGCAGGTCAAAAGCGCATCCGAGTTTCCACACTTGTTCAGGGAGGCTATTCTGCCTTGGGTCTCGGCCAGACGATCAAGTACAATGGAAGTCAGCAGGCGCAGGAGGAAGAGGACGAGGATCTCAATGTGGACGAAGATGATACGCACATCTATGGCCCGACGCAGTACGGAGAGGGTGATGTGATTCCGCTGGTCACGGAGGACATGGAGGGAAATGTCTCTGAGGCGGAGGTGACCAGCTATGTGCGTCGACTAATCTCATCCAGCGATGGGCCCAAGGCCAATCATTCCAGCGAAGCCACTGAACAAGAGACTGCCACAACCAGTAGCGTCCAGGCACCACCAACCAGCAGCAGGGAAGAGCCATCTACGTCGCGGTCTACGAGATCCGCTTCCCAGAATCAACAGCAGGTCATCGAATCGCTGAAGGCCAAGCTGCGGCTCTACGAGAAGCAGGCGCAGGGCAAATACAAGTGCCTGATCTGCATCGATGACTATAAGAATCCCGCCATCTCCGTGTCCTGCTGGCATGTCCACTGCGAACAGTGTTGGCTGCAGACTCTGGGCGCTCGAAAGCTGTGCCCGCAGTGTAATTCTATCACCACGCCGAAGGACCTGCGACGCATTTACCTGTAGACTACCTCTACAGTCAACTTGTTACCCCCGCTGCCAAATTGCTTGCGCCACGAACTCGGCTTTGCTACCAACGCAGCAGTAGTTGATAACCATATTATACATACTATTTATAAAGACAACATATACCGACTACATTACGTGACATTACAATAAGCTTAACATGTAACTATTACAATAAATTACAGAAAAAAATTAAATGACAGCTTTGAATTTTATTGTTCCCGAAGTACTCTTTGAAAATAAAGTTTGTGACCAAAATATATTTATTCCAGTGTACCGGTTTGTTTTGCTTATAAGTTATCGATAACAAAAACAACCCGTGCTTTTGACCATTCGAATTTCGTGTTGTTTTGCTCACGCGTTCATCTTTAATTATTTCGCCCTGTTCTCTGTCCAATTTCCTTACCATGTCCGGCTCCGGTAATTTTCGACTTGAAATAACTAAATTAAAAATTAATCCTTTTACCGTTCCAGGAGCCAACCCCTTTGCCCAGTTCCAGGAATCGTTTACCAAAGACGGCAAGATCTACAAGTATTTTGATCTGCCCTCCATCGACAAGAAATATGGTGATTAATCCTCGCTTTTATCTTTGGCATTATCTTTATTAATATGGCTCGCCTTTACAGATTCATTGCCCTTTTCCATTCGGGTTCTGTTGGAGTCTGCGGTTCGCAACTGCGACAATTTCCATGTGCTGGAGAAGGATGTGCAGAGTATACTGAACTGGACACCTGCCCTGAAGCAAGAAACCAGCGATGTTGAGGTGTCCTTCAAGCCAGCGCGGGTTATATTGCAGGTGAGCGTTGGGGATGCATCTATATAAGTTTCTTGTAAAGGGATTATCTTATTTTAGGACTTTACTGGCGTACCTGCTGTCGTGGACTTCGCTGCCATGCGGGATGCAGTTCGCCAGCTGGGCGGCAATCCTGAGAAGATCAATCCCATCTGCCCCGCTGACCTGGTCGTCGACCACTCCATACAGGTTGATTTTGTCCGCTCATCAGATGCATTGACGAAGAACGAATCGCTGGAGTTCCAGCGCAACAAGGAACGGTTCACCTTTCTCAAGTGGGGAGCGCGTGCCTTTGACAATATGCTGATTGTGCCCCCTGGTTCCGGTATCGTTCACCAGGTCAATTTAGAGTATTTGGCTCGTGTGGTTTTTGAAACCGACGACGCCGATGGCTCTAAGATCCTGTATCCGGACAGTGTCGTTGGAACTGACTCGCACACCACTATGATCAATGGGTTGGGTGTGCTTGGCTGGGGCGTTGGTGGTATCGAGGCGGAGGCCGTGATGTTGGGCCAATCCATTTCCATGCTGCTGCCCGAGGTGATTGGCTATAAGTTGGTGGGAAAACTGGGGCCCCTGGCCACCTCCACCGATTTGGTGCTGACCATCACGAAGCACTTGCGTCAGTTGGGCGTCGTTGGAAAGTTTGTCGAGTTCTATGGTCCCGGCGTAGCAGAGCTGAGCATTGCGGACCGAGCCACCATCAGCAACATGTGCCCGGAATATGGTGCAACTGTGGGTTATTTTCCGATCGATGAGAACACGCTGAGTTACATGCGGCAGACAAGTGAGTTTTTAAGTTCACTTAATTTGGTTTTATATTATTTGTTTATTGCTTTATTTCTTACAGATCGCTCGGAGGAGAAAATCGACATCATCAGGCAGTACTTGAAGGCCACTCGGCAGCTGCGTGACTATTCCCTTGAGGCTCAGGATCCCCAGTTTACAGAGGTAGGTGATTTATGCATACAGAAGATAAATCTCACATTATAACTTATTTAAATTCCTGCAGTCTGCAACTCTGGATCTTTCGACGGTGGTCACTTCGGTTTCGGGGCCCAAGAGGCCACACGATCGTGTCTCCGTTTCTAGCATGTGCGAAGATTTCAAGTCGTGCCTAACCAGCCCAGTGGGATTCAAGGGGTTCGCCGTGCCGCCGAGCGCTTTGGCTGCCAGTGGTGAATTCCAGTGGGACGATGGCAAGAGCTACAAGATAGGACATGGATCGGTTGTGATTGCGGCCATTACTTCCTGCACGAACACCTCGAATCCCTCGGTGATGCTGGGTGCCGGTCTTTTGGCCAAGAATGCTGTGGAAAAGGGCTTAAGTATCCTCCCATACATCAAGACCTCATTGTCTCCTGGATCTGGTGTGGTCACCTATTATCTGCGAGAATCCGGCGTGATTCCCTACTTGGAGCAGTTGGGCTTCGAAATTGTTGGTTATGGTTGCATGACGTGCATTGGTAACTCAGGTCCGCTCGACGAGAACCTGGTGAACACGATTGAGAAGAACGGCCTAGTCTGCTGTGGAGTTCTGTCGGGAAATCGCAACTTCGAAGGACGTATCCATCCCAATACCAGGGCGAATTATCTAGCCAGTCCACTGCTGGTAATTGCCTACGCGATTGCTGGACGGGTGGACATTGACTTTGAAAAGGAACCAGTAGGTGTGGATGCCAATGGCAAAGAGGTGTTCCTTCGCGATATTTGGCCAACACGCAGCGAGATCCAGGAGGTGGAGCACAAGTACGTCATTCCGGCCATGTTTCAAGAGGTTTACAGTAAGTATTGCTGTTCTTGAAATATACAACGCATTTAATTCTTCCCTTTTATAGGCAAAATCCAGTTGGGCTCTAAGGATTGGCAAACGCTGAAGGTGTCTGAAGCCAAATTGTATCCCTGGTGTGCCCTTTCGACCTACATCAAACGCCCGCCGTTCTTCGAGGGGATGACCAGGGAGCTGCCTGAGCTGAAAAGCATAGAAAAGGCTCGTTGTCTGCTGTTGCTGGGCGATTCAGTGACCACCGACCACATTTCACCGGCCGGATCTATTGCTCGGAAGTCTCCTGCGGCGCGGTTTTTATCAGAACGCGGTCTGACACCTCGGGATTTCAATTCCTACGGTTCCAGACGTGGCAATGATGCGGTAATGGCACGCGGAACTTTCGCCAACATCCGCCTAGTCAACAAGTTGGCCTCTAAAACCGGGCCCATCACCTTGCACGTTCCTAGTGGCGAAGAGATGGATATTTTTGATTCGGCGGTGCGATATGCGAGTGAGGGAACTCCTCTGGTTCTAATCGTGGGCAAGGATTACGGCAGTGGAAGCTCTCGGGATTGGGCTGCCAAAGGACCTTTTTTGCTGGGCATTAAGGCGGTAATTGCCGAGTCGTACGAACGCATTCACCGCTCCAATCTGGTGGGCATGGGCATTATTCCGCTGCAGTTCCTGCCGGGACAGAGCGCCGACTCCCTGAATCTGACTGGCCGAGAAGCGTTCGACATTGCTCTGCCTGAAAGCGTACTAAAGCCTGGACAGAGGATCCAGGTAGAGGCTAATGGCAAAGTCTTTGAGACTATATTGCGCTTTGACACCGATGTGGACATTACTTACTACAAAAACGGTGGCATTCTGAACTATATGATCCGCAAAATGCTGGATTAGTGATTGCATTTGATAGCTCTTATATTCCATGTGCATTTCTGACTAAACGTTTTTTGTAACTGTGTGATGGGAAATAAAATTTGATATTTTATTTGATAGATAATCTTATCTTTTATCTTTATTTGGTCACTTTTTATACACTCAAGCTTGCTAGTTTTTTTTTTTTAAATATCCCGCTAATTTTTTTTTATCGATACACCGTCTACAAACTTAAATCAGTTATCACTCCGGCGTAAATCGTCTTCAAGACAGAAATAAAACGTCATTTGCGTTACATTTTTTGACAGTTCGAAATATTTTCAGAGGATTTAGATTTTCTTGACTATAAGTTCCCCTGCAAAACCCCTAACGAAATCTAGCTATTTTCCCGCTAAAGAGCTAGCCCAACTGGAGGCAGCTGAGAGAAAACTTGAGAGAGACAAGAATTCGACGGAATGGTGTTACCAGACGGAAAACTCTGCGATGAGGTAAAAATACCAGAAATACCCAGTGGAATCGAATTAAAATTGCTGCTTCTTTTTTGTCCGTCCCGTGGACTTTTCTCCAGAGGATTTGGTTCCAATTCGCAAAAGAAAAACACAAATAAGGCAACAGATAGCGCGATTAACTATTGTTTTCTAGACAGTGCGTCATAGTTTGTTCGAAAAACCGCGTAAAAACGCAACAACGCAGCAGGAAAGTCGCGCCTCCGCCGTCTCCGCCTCACCAATAAAAAAAACGAAAAAAGATCTCGGATCGCACAGGGTTTTTCTACATTTTGGATTAGTGGGTGCTAGGGAGTGATTTAGCCGACCTATAGAGAGTGCCCCACTGGCGTCGCGTCGCTTTGGATTATGTCATTTGTTTACGGGGAATCGCCGCAGGCAAAGTAGTCAATGTTGCATCCGAAAGAGGCAGCGAAAACCTGTAAAAATGTAGACTGTGTGCGTGTGTGTGTGTGTGGGCCAGTGCCAGTGCTAGTGTAGTGTCCGTGTCCGTGAGTGATTGTGTGTGTGCGGATAATGGACGTTTAGTTTTTAGTCGTGGCCGCATAAATAAATAGCTATATATATAGAGATATAGCGATAGGATCGTGTAGGATATCTGTGCATGGGCTATGGCCGCCTTTAATCCCGGCGCCACAAGCAGCAGTGCCGCCGATGTCTTGAGCGCCACCACAGCAACGGCCACTTTTCTGGTGCCCACCACTGCAGCCGTCTCGCATCCTGGCGCCCATCCTGCCCAGCTGCAGTTGGACCAATTCGGCGGCTACGTGGGCACGCCCGCCCTGCATCACCACCATCAGCAGACCAACTCGTCGTACACCTTTGTGCAGATCAAGCGGGAACCGTGTCAGGTGTCCGAGATCAGCTCCAACAATTGCCACCAGCCACAGCAACAGCAGCAACAACAGCAGCAGTTGCAGCACCAGGCTCTGTCCTCCGCCTCGGTGACCGCGTCCTCCAAGACCATGTCCTCCTCCACTCTGACCACGCTGGTAAAAATAGAAGCGCCCTCGTCAAAGGTCTCGGAATTGGAGAAGTCCTCAGGTGGGTCAAGCGCTAGCAGTGGTCTGGAGATCTTTCCACAATAACATGTAACTCTCAATCCGGCAGGCAACTCCGTGCCGATTGGCATCGCCGTGGCCAGGAAACGGCCACAGGAAGCCCTGGTGCCGGCCATAAACACCCCCGCCACGCTGCCCCTGCAGCCTCCACTCAACAAGGACTTGAACTGCTTTGGCATACGCGTCGCTGACCTCGGTAAGTGCCCATCTACACAGTGAAAAACGCAGAGTTGAACTATGTATAAAGCTAGATTCGACTAAAATTTAATGGAAATTTCAGTTTACCAAAAGATATTTGGGGTACTGTTAAGAAATTTAAGAGGTTTTATAATAGTATCAAAAAAAAAGAAAGAAATTTCTGGAAAACAATGCTAAGATATATTCTATTTTTGTTGTATACACAGAGTATCTGAATCCAAAGTTTGAGTTGCGCTTCTGGTGATTTAATATTTATAGAAAACTTAAATTGGAAAGAACTTTTACCTGATCCAATAAGTCATTTCAAATCCTAAGCTTTATCCCCATATCATATTAATTTTTCCTCCCGTGTATTTTCTGGGCATCTAATTTAATTGAGGGACCAGATTTGAGCTGCCCTAATGAACGCGGCGTTCGCGTTTTGCGCTCCCAAGGGGCAAACGTTATATGATGCCTATAATGCCAGGACATGGACGTCGTTCAATTATGCCACTAATAAGATTGCCAGCAAACGTTGAGCGTTGTGCGGAATTCCTTTAGTGAGTGAAAGCGGAGGGTGTAAACACCCCGGTCCCAGTTGAGAGGGCAGGAATCATATGATGGCCGCCTGTTGTGCGGCTGTCGTTGTTGTGACAGCCACCGAATCGACTCGAGTCGCCCGAAAGCGACTCTTCTTCCCTTGTGCCTCCCTTGCAGGCAGAGGAAGCCGGTGGTAAATCATACGAACTTCTAAAGCGGAAATAAAACGAAAGTGAAACACATTGCGATTCGAGAAGGGCGGCTTTGCCGTTGGCCGACTTCAAATTGCTCTTTGGATAGGCACATTAAATATGTTTATGCACTTCGGGGGTGTTTTGACATCAAAACACAGTCAGATTCTATTTTCGGGATTACTTCCATGGCTTGCTAATGGCAAAATAATCAGCCGAAGCCATCGGACTGGATTATTTTTACGATCTAGAGGTATCAAAACTTCTACATTTACTTGAGGGCTTGCATAATCGGGAAAATATTAACAGATGGGACATAATTTTTATCAAATTTTAAAATAGAACCCCGAAGGAATTTGTATATTAAGTCTATGAAGAAACAGACTTTTATTTCTTGAAGAACTCGTATTTAGATACACTTATCTTTTATAAAATGCCTGGAAGTAAAACTGTCATCTATAGAATACATTGCAAATCTACTTTTTGGAAATTTTTTATTTTTATCGCTAAATAGGAAAAATCCGAAACTAGGCAAAGTCCGATTTGAAATTTGTTGATTTCTTATATAACTTTTAAATTTTGAAGCTTACAATTTTGTTGTCCGTACCAGTTTACACATAGCGATGTTTGCTCCGCCAAAAAACCTTTAAAAGTTGGTTAAAGTACCCGGATTACTTTTGGTTCGGCGGAGAGCGAAGGGCATCGGGGAGTTCGGTTTCGTTATCACGCTCCACCGACGACGAAGCTGGAGCTTCAGTTGAGTGGTTGGCGGACGGAGGAACATCAGAGCGAGAATCTAAAGACAGATTACTCATGGACGGTATGCACGGGTGGGTGTTTTTTTTTTACCCGGCAAGTTGGCGGTGGAGAGGTTTGGCTTAGAAGTAGTCAGGCATCGGGAGGACGGAGGATGGAGTACGGAGGGTAGACAACCAGGAAGGGCCACAAGGGATGCTAGATGCTCGACTGGTTTTCTGTTTGCGGGGATGAGGAACTGTGACGAGCAGGAAACTGCGAGTGAGACCAGGAGAGATTCGTTCTCCGCAACCGTGAACGCGACCAGGACCAAGCAATATGACACGCCGAAATGGATTGGGTACACGGCAACCATATGGCAGAGTCGCCTCGCCGCGGCTTTAGTTCTTATTATTTTTCCCTGCCGTCAAGTCAATGGCTATTTATAACCGTTTGGCTGGGCTGCTCTCCGTTCCGCAGCCCGAAACAAATCACTTGTCAAAAAGATGTAGCTCTAATTGCGTTTCGGAGATGGGACATGGGCCGCAATACTTGTCATTCATTGCGTCTCCGCAGTGGTGGTGGGTTTTCTCGCTTTCTTTCCTTCAAATACATCTGAAACCTTAACGTAATGCAATTACAAGAGCATCACGTTCGGTTTAATCAAATTTTTGTAAAATTATCCAGCCGCAATTCCCGGGGTGGGTTAGTAGTAGTAGTAGTTGGCAGTAGTCATCGTGGTTGAGCGATTGGGATGTGTGAAAAGGTGGGTGGTTGTGGGCGTACGGTCACCAAATGCATAGTTCAAGGACACTGCAATATTTCACGTATACATACACAGCTGCGCTTACAACTAAAGTTACATGGCAGGCCCGAAACTTTATTAAACAAACGAACGTCGAACGAAGAGGTTGTGGCCTGCTGCCTAAAAGTCCTTTGCCATCGAAAAGAAAATGCGCCAAAAATTAGAGGATTTATTTTTTCTGTTTTTTGCATTTTGCAGGTGCCACCAGTTGCGGCAACTTGTACTTTACGGGCAACGGCGACCTGATGACCACCGGCACCGCCACCGCCGAGGAACTGGCTCTCAGTGCAGCAGGTGTGAACCGAGCTCCCTCCACCTTTTGGCAGTATCCAAGTGAGTTCAAGAATTCAAGACAAAAGAAAAAAGAAAGATGCATGCCACACAGATCCCCGGAGGAAACAACATCACACTCTGTCTCCTGTCTCTATTTTGGTTCTCTCTCTCTTTTTTTCCGTTGCGTTTTCGTAGATGCATTACCCATTGAATCAGTGATTTCCATGTCGCCCGCCACGGTGGGCCTGCAGTACTCGCGGGAGGCCAGTCGCGGCCAGGTGGTCCTGCTGCCGGCCGGCCCCACAGCGCTCGGTAAGTGAAGTCAGCTCTCGAGGATCACACACCTCACACTTCTCACAATTCGCACTCCGCACTCCGCATGCCAGCACCCTCCTTGGTGTCCTAGGTTAATGATTTGATTTCGAAACTCGATTGATTGATTCGCCAAAACAAAACTAATTCATGCTTTTAAACTGCGCTTCTCTCCCGCCCCCGACAACTCCAAACTCCAAAACTCCAACTCCAACTCCAAATCCCGATTCAAAACTCCGATTCCGATTACCGACTCCGACTTGGATTCCGATCCGACTAAACTGAATCGCTACCACGCCCATGCACAGCAGGCATATCAAATTTTCCCCTCTTAACGCCCACAGATCCGTTCCAGCAGGCAGCCGCCGCGGCGGCCTTCGTCTGGCCCTCGGCCTACATCCCTCAGGCTCCGGCTCCTGGCGGCCATCCTGCCGCTGCTGCTGCCGCCGCCGCCGCAGCTGCCTCGCTGCAGCCGTCGCCGAATCTGTCCAGCCTGCCGAACTTCATCTTCCCCTCGATGGGCGGCCACCAGGCGCTGAGCACCACGCCGTCGTATGCCTCCCTGCAGCTTTACCTTGCCGCTGCGGCCACGGCGACGGGCAGCTCGACGATGTGCCAGCACAGCAACCAGCAGACGAGCACCACCACCACGAACTCCACCATCAATCTGAGCCTGGCGGCCGGTTCGGGGGTCACGCCGAGCGGAAATGCGGCCAGCAGCCTGAGCTCCAGCAGCAGTTTGAGTGCGAGCAGCTCGAGGTTTCTCAGCCTGGCCACTGGACAGCCGGGAATACCGTCGCTGCTCTCCCTGCCGCCGCCGCCGGGAATGAAGGAGGAGTACTCGATGCCGCTGTCCTTGCCACCGTTGGTGCCGCTGGAAGCGGCGCGGGATAAGGAGCAGGCCCTCAACCTGATGCGCCTGCCCACGCCGCCGACGTCGGCCACAATGGAACCGTCTTCCCTGGGCCATGCAACGCCCCACCATCTCTTCCAGTCGGGCGCCATGGCAACGCCCACGCCGGCACTGCTCAACCTTTCGATGCATGGCAACGGCGGCGAGCTGTCCGCCGCAACGCCTCTGCCGGCGGTTTGTGATGAAGTCGCCCTCAACTACAAGCTGCACGCACCGCTGACGCCGCAGACACCGCCTCGCCTGGCCGAGATTTCCGTGTCGGGAGCGACGCCACTCTTGCCGCAGATGCAGGATGTCAATATACAGACGGATACGCCCGTTTGCAGCGAGGATGAGAGTATCCCGGGACCAGTGAAGCCGCAGGATAACGGAGTGGACGCCCCGCAGCCAGCACCTTCCCTAATTCAACCGCTGGAGCTGACGAAGCCCAGTGAAGCCAGCCATACCCAGCCGACCGAGTGCCATACCCAGACCGAACCCAGTGACATACCCAGTGCCAGCCAGGAGGAGTCAGCGGAGCAGACTCCCCCGGAACCCGTAGAAACCATGTCGCAGGCCACGCAGGCCGATCAGCCAGCAGCGCCCGAGGACCTCACCGGTCTGGAGCTGCTCTCGAACATCAGCACCAACAGCAAGCCCCTGGTGAGAGTTAAACAGGAGCCGGTGGAGCATGTGGAGCAGTTCCCACCACCACAACTACCACCACCGCCGCAGCAGCAGCAGCAGCAGCCAGTGGAACTGATGCCGCCAGAGCCTGTGCCGCCCATGCTGGAAATGGAGCCCTCATCCGCACCAGAACCTCTCGGCGGACTCAAGCTGCTGTGCGCCCTGGCCGAGCAGCGCATCCAGGAGGAGGTGGTGCAGGGCAGCAGTCTGTTTGCCACGCCCTCGTCGCGAACGCCTACGCCTACGCCAACGTCGCAGATAATGGGAACGACAGCGGCTGTGACGACGCCACCGGTCTTTGAGGCCAAGTCCTGCTTCGGATTCGGACAGTCGCAGGCTCCCGTCTTCCCCTCCTCCACCTCCTCCTTCCAGATGCCATTGAGCTCGCCCGGCTTCCCCTCGATGCAGGGCATCGAGCTGCCATCCACGTCCGCGGGCGCCGTGGCCGAGCTGACGCCCGTGAAGCGCAAGAAGCACAAACATTCCAAGTCCTCGGGCAGCGACAGTCGCAAGTCGGCGCGCTGCAGCAAGAAGAGCAAGAAGAAACGCCGCCACAGCAGCAGCCGGCAGCTGTCCGCTCCCGCGGAGGAGGAAGTCGACCTGCAGGACGAACAGCTGCAGGCGGAGCTGCGCAGCGCCCTGCACGCCATGGATCCCAGCTATGCGCAGCGCTTCGGCCAGGAGGTTTTCAGCATGATGGACAACAGCATGCGAATGCGACTGGCGGACGTGACGCGGCAGTATCGCAAGAAGAAGCGGAAGCTCGAGGAGATTTCGAAGCACAAGAAAAAGAAGAAGTGCTCCAAGCAGCAGCTGCAACTGCAACAGCAGCAGGCCATCCAGCATGCGGTGCAGCCGCCACCTGCTCTGCAACAGCCACAGATGACGCTGTCCAGTGTTCTGGGGTAAATGGATTCCTCATAAACTTTTTAAACTTTACTTTAATGCGTGTTATTTTTTGGTTTTCAGAACCTCATCACCGCTGCGCGACTACAAATTCCCGAAGTTTTCGAGCAGCAACCTTCAGGCGTCCAGTTTCCTGCGTTTCCCGGACAAGACGCACTCGTTTCCCCCACCGCCGTCCCTGCAGCCGCCAGAACCGGAGCAAAGTCCCTTGCCCAGCAGCAATTCACCGAGTACCTCGTCGTTTGTCCGCCTGGAGCCCAGTGCGTTGGATGCGGCCGCGGCCACTGCCCCAACTACCTCTGCGACTTCCGCCTCCTGCTCGCCATCCACCAAACAGACGGCGGCGGCTTCTGCGGTGCGGAAGCAGCGAAAGATGAAAGCGACCAGCAGTGGAGTCGCTGGAGAGCAGACAACGGCCACGGAGGCGAAGCGACGGGTCAGCGGCATCGATCGCGAACTGCAGCTGACCAGCGAACATCTGTATCGCGATGAGACGCGAGTGCTGACCGACATGGGAGGGCTCTTCTATGCGGGCGTGATGAAGCCACTGCGTCCGCCGGACGTGTACTCCATCACTTTGGACGGCGAGCGCGGCAACAAGTCGCATGTCATGTCCCGCGAGGATATACTCAAGGATACGGTGTGTAAAATTTTATACTAAAATTAAGCTTTACTTAATGAATTATAAATTCCAGATCCTCGAGAAGGCGCCGAAGAGTGTGGAAAGTGTGCCCGTGGGCACGCGTCTGTGTGCCTATTGGAGTCAGCAGTATAGATGCCTCTATCCGGGTCGTGCCATCGAATCCGAGCAAGTGGAGGATGGGGCGGCCAGCAGTGCAACGCATTCGGCCACGTCTCCGCCGGATTTTGTGAGCGTGGAGTTCGACGACGGAGACAGCGGCAGGATCCGCTTGCAGAACATCCGCCTGCTGCTCAGCGATTATCCCATAGCAGGTGTGTGTTTTACTTCGAACTTTAGTGGGTGTAAAGCTGCGGCACGAAGCAATCAATATTTGCCTGTGGCCACGACAGTTTCACTCAGCCAGCCCTCTGTCCTATCATTAGTTTTCTTGTGTGCGTGCGCTCCCTTATTTACTTCTTTGTTGTTTTCGTTCGCTCCTGCCCAAAATCTCCCATCCACCACCACCTTGGAACAGAGTACAACGATAATCCCCTCTACTCAGTAGGCAAGCAGAAGCGAAGCGCTCTGCGCGGTGGTGAAAGTGGCCCCGGAGGAGTCACGCAGGATCATCTGAGTGTGCCCGGCTGTGAGGATTCGCACAGCCATCACAGCCTGGGGATGAGTAGCGATAACACCACCTCGCTGGCCGCCACAATGGAGCTCTTTACGCAGCGCAGCGAAAAGAAGCGGCTGAAGAAGAGCCTCAAGAAGATGTCGAAGGCTCAGAATGGCATTAATTCGGCGACGGTTGCGAATGGAGCAGCAGATCCTGCTGCAGCCGGCGAGGGTGTCAGTGCAGAGGACGCCGCTCGGAAGCACCACAAGCACAAGAAGCGCAAGAAGCACAAGAAGCATCACCGCAAGAATGGCAGCGAGGAGCCGGAGCAACAGGTTGTTCAGCAGGACTTTTCTGCGGCAGCACAGGAAGCAACAGAGGCTCCGTCCGCAGAGATTTCCTCAGCACCAGCGCCCACTGCGAATCGCGTTAAGGTGGAGGTCAAGGTCAAGACCGAGCAGTTGGAAATGGAAGAGGAGACCGCATCCAATCTGATGTCAGAGATATCCGATGAGGTAATAAATTCAACCTTTTACTAAAACCCTTTTTAAATGAAAACAATTTAACTTTTGGTCGCCCCTTTCGATTTAGACCCAACATAAATAAATCCTATTTATTTACAAAAATGGTAATTGCTAATAATCCTTTTTGGCTATTCAATGTTTACCATTTGTTCATTTTTTTGTGAACCCTTCAACTAATATTTGCTTTTTTAAATCTGCGTTATTTGATTAGGAAACAATTGTAGCCGTGTGCAATGCGAAGGGTTTCTCATAATTGAAGGGTTGAAATAATCCCATTCTGTACTTGCAGGCCAAGGGCGACGATTTGGTTGAGCATAACAACTCCAAGGGAAGCAGCAAGATAGCCGCCTTCCTGCCAGAACGGCAGCTTTGGGGTTGGTATGGTACCGCCTATCGCAAGGCGGGCGTCAAGGGACGCGCCAGAAAGCAATTTTACAAAACAATCAAAAGGGGAAAGGAGACTATCACGGTGAGTGCTCCTCACTCATATTTCAATAACGTAAAATATTTAATTTTCGTTCGATTGTTCGCCGGATTTAAGGTCGGGGACAGTGCAGTATTTCTATCGACGGGCAGACCAGATCGACCCTATATCGGGCGCATTGAGTCCATGTGGGAAACGAGCACGGGCAACAAGGTGGTGCGAGTGGCGTGGTTCTATCATCCGGAGGAGACGACCGGCTGTCCAATGTTGAAATTTCCGGTAAGCTATAACCTGGAAATCCCGCGTAAATATCCACTAACAATTATTGTTTATAGGGTGCTCTTTTTGAATCGCCGCACGAGGATGAGAACGATGTGCAGACCATTTCGCATCGGTGCGAGGTGCTGCAGTTTGGCAGCTACTTCGACAAGTTCGGTGCCGATTCGAAGCAATATCAATCCATATACGATAACAATGATACATATTATTTAGCCGGGCACTATAACCCAAGGTTACAAGTGCTAAAACTACAAGACGATATTCCAACTCTCGAAGAGCTGCAGGATACAAATACTACTACTACTACAGAAACTACTACCGAGGATTAAGCGACAAGTGGATAGGCGTGGTTAGGCATAGTGCATACAGATCTATATATATACAATATATATACATTATACATATATTTTACTATACGTGACCAGATGGAGCAGATATATACCTATATGTATACAAATATTATTTCTATATATTTTAAATGTATTACGTATTTCGAGAACTCAAAAAAAAAAACCATTAACAAAAAAAGCAAAAAACAAACAAAAAACAAAAAGGACACTGGCGAGAGATAAAACGAGAGAGAGAACAAGGAACTAAGCAACAACCACTAAATTAATGTGTAATGTGTAGTTACGAGAAGCGCAAGCAATTTTAAGTCTAATTTTGTAAAAACAAAACAAACAAACAAACTGAAATGGCGCGTTGATGACAACAATGTTGATTCACTTAAAGTTCAGCGAATGTTTACAAACGAAATGTGTGCTTCTGACATCCCCTTTGACCCTTCGAACACAACACATAACATAACATAACATACAAACTAAACAACCAACCAACCACAAACAAACAAACAAACGAACACAGTCCACATTTAGAGCTATAGCTACAGATATTGGATACACTTGTTAATTGACGTGTATACCTACATGTTTCAGATGAAATTTAAAACGTGTTTTAAAGATTTTAAGCAGGCAACATGCAGCAACTACTACTATAAATGTAACAATTCAATGTGATAGCAAAACAAAACCAGATGTTGATGTGTACAGAGGAGAGAATAAGTATAGATGATAAATAAGAAATCAAGCAGATTGTGTGTGTTGAATATTTACAGTTCGTTTATTCAAGAAGAACAGCAACGTATAAAATCAAACCTATCTTTAATTACATCAATAAACTTGCCGGATATATTGAAATTGCACTCTTTTTTAGGTTAAAGCTGGGGATGCTAGATATTCCTGGATTTTTAATTCAAAACACCACCTCTGTATAGAATCTTATTTCCCAAACACTCGACACAAACATAAATACTTTACATATTTAAAACATGTGGAGTATCCAGGCCTTGGTGGTGCATCTCCTGCTCCTCGGCTCCATACTGTCTATATACTTTCAGTCCACCGTTTTGTCGGGCTTAAAACCACTGAGTACATTTCGTGAGTTGGGATTGGAACCGCCGGCTGATCGAATTGTGGTTTTCGTGGTCGATGGCCTGAGGGCGCAATCTGTTTTGAAGGATAACTGCAGTCAAGTTCCGGATCTTAGGGAGCTGTTTCATCAAGGTTTAGTGGGCGTGTCGCGTGCCTATGCGCCAACGGTTACTCGACCCGGTCACATCGCAATCTTCGCCGGCTTCAATGAAGATCCCGCAGCGGCGCTCACCAACTTCCAATGGAATCCCTCAACCTTCGACACTGTCTTCAATCGCAGCAGGAACGCCATTGGATGGACTCAGGATGTGGTTGCCAAGGTGTTCACCCACTTGCCAACGGGAGGTGCTCCACTGCGCTTTGAAGTCTTCACCAGATCGGACATTTCGGGCAGACTTAAGTTGGATGATTGGATCTTCACCAGGGTGCGCAAGTTTCTGAGCAATGATGAGAACGTTGAACCATTACGAAATGCCACTTCGGTGGTGTTCTTTGTTTACCTGGCCGATATGGACCATGCTGGACACGCCTTTACGCCCTACGGTGAAAGGTATAAGCAGAAGTTAAATTTCACCCAACGAGGAATACGGGAGACCTACGAACTCTTCGAAAGAGTTTTTAATGATAGTAGAACTGCTTATTTGATGACCTCGGATCATGGAATGAATGACGAGGGTAAATCTATATATTCGATTAATCTTGTTTTAAATTATTTATTATAAAACCCAACAGGTCATCATGGTGGTGGAGGAGAGGGCGAGGTGGACACCCCATTCTTTCTCTGGGGAGCTGGTGTCAATCGAGTGGCTCCCGATCCCGGCCAGAACTTCACTGCCAATGATGAGGGGCTTATTCTGCCGTTGTACCAAGTAGAGCAGACACAGTTGGCACCATTAATGTCCGCCTTGATTGGATTGCCTCCACCCATGAACAACATGGCCCTGATGCCACAGGGATTTATGAACACCAGCCTTCTCTATGAACTCTCCGCTTTCCATTTGAATGCCATGCAGCTCCTGGCTCAAGCTAAAATCCTGATAAACCGCCACGAAGAAGGGATTCTCTATCCGTTGCTGCCCAAATTCGAGACTCTGGACTCGGCGGATATTGATCAGTACTCGCTAACTATAAAATACAAGGTGGCCCAGGGACACTTAAGAGATGCCTTGAAGATAAGTCGGAAGATAGCTAAGGAGGCTCAAAGGTGTTTGGAGTACTATCATAGTTACTATCATCTTCCACTGCTGGTGGCCACCACCGCCTCCTACCTGGTGTGGTTCTACCTTCTGCTGGTGCAACTCACTCGGGAATCCAAAGGAGATCCAAGTTCGGCAAGAAGAGGATTTGTGACATGGACATCTTTGCTGATGTTTTTGGGAGGATTGGTCCTTCTGGAATTGATGATATTGCAGTTGGTTCCTTACCTGACTGCCTTTTATCTCTTGCTGCCCTTCGGAATCCTCATCCTGGCTCTGGCCGAACGTCCCTGGGAAGGTGGCTGGTTTATCTGCCAGTTTCCAATCCTCCATCTGGTTGGGATTATCGTTCCCGGTGGCTTACTGATTTTGATGGCCTTTCACAACAGTCACATTGGATTGCTATACTTTCTGATAGTCTGCCTAAATAACCGAAGAGCTTTCTGCAGACCCTCCTTAAAATTCCTTTTCTGGCTCGTCCTGGTAATCCTGCTAAGTGGAATTCTTCTCATAAAGCAAAACTCAGGTTTGGACTTTATAACCGATTTGATTCGAGTTTATCTGAGCAAGAGCCATGTGTTGTACTTCAGCATGGTGTTATCTGTGATTCGAGAACTGATTCTCTGCCATCATCACGCCAAACATGTTTGGATCATTAACATTGCAGCTCTACTGGCTGCAGCGTATGGAATCTATCAGTGGAATGCAGATGAGACCGTTTTCACCTATGTTTATGTCGCCTGTTGGTCCTATCTTGCCTATGCCTTCATATCGATTCCTTACAGTGGAAAAAAGGCACTGAAACGTCGTCTACAGTTGATTATCTTCAATATGCTTACGGTACATATAATGCTTACTATATCAATGGCCTCACTTTTTGTCCAGATTATGGTGACTGAGTTTGTTCTGGGCCTGGAACTTTATGAAGAGAGCAATAAATCCATTGATAAAAAAGATGAAAATGCGGATGAGGAAATGGAAATGGAACTGGATGAGGATCCACAGGAGAATCAAACTGAAAGACCTGTAACTTCAGTGGAGCACTTGAGGCTTTCCTATCGCTATGCGGCACTAATTCTGCTGTACTTCTATGTATCCTTCTTCGGAACTGGTCATTGGTTCTTCAACTTTAAATTTGAATCTACTACCTCAAGATTGTTCTTCCCTCAATTCCAACTTCAACTGATTGCGGCCTTTATTTTGCTCAAGATATTCATACCATCGATTATCGTTATATCAAGCATTTATGCATTGGTATCCTTTGGCCGCAGGAATGCTCGGTCCATCTTTATATGCCTTTTCCTGATGAACGATTCAATGAGCTTGTACTTCTGCTACTTTGTCAACAACCGAGGTTCCTGGGAGAAGGTGCGTGAATCGTTGGATCACCTTTTGGTGACCCACGTCTTCATCATTCTGTTGCTCGTGTGCTCCTGGATTGCCAAAGTTTTTCTGAGGAAGACTCAAGATGACAAACCACCGAGTACAGCCGAAGCTCAGAATCTCGACAATGCTGCATCCCAAATTCAAGATAGTCAGGTGTAAATAATTCCGGATATTGCTAATGGTTCAGTCGAAAATCTAAGATTTACTTCAAAAATTACGCATACGACTGGTTGATCGACCCTTGTAATAAAACTTAGAGCAGCAGCACTTTAATTATACTTTAGTCAAAAACCTTTGAAAGAAAAATGTATTTTTCTTTTTATATAATTGCCAGCTTTTTATGAGCAGCAAAAAGTTTCAGCAAAACAAAGTAATTATTATATCACTTCCGCCATCCAAGTTATAATGAAGCTCCCGAGGCAAAGAAGGCAACTGAAGCGTTACAAGTTGCGACATCGTTAGAGTAACATTTGTTTTGGGCAACCCACACCCGACCTTCCAAGCCGTTTACATAAAGAGCAGCCAGATGGATGCGTGTCTGTCGATTGTGTTCAATGGGTTGGCAGTGGGAGGGGGGATACGGAACACCTTCCTTGGCTCCAATCGCTGTGGGATGCGTGCGTTGCCAGGCTGCGGGGGTCACGAGACCTGGGAATCGATCCAACAGACGGAAAATTTGCATTCGCCAGGCGTTGGGAAATAGGAAAGACGCGGGTCGACGGATGCGGGTCGTGGATGCGTGCCTGGGAGACACAATAATTAAAAAGCGATTTGTCTAGAAGTCAGTAGTCGGGTTAGGAAATCGGCCGGGGAGCAGGAGCACGGGTGCACGGGGGTTCCGCCGCCGCCGGCGGACAGGCCCCACCGAAAAAATGAGCACCACCCCGAAGTGGTACTGCCGCAACAAATCCCAGCCGATGCACACGTTCGCGGAAATCGGCAAATTGGGCCTGGAGCTGCGTCGGATTACCAAACGCATTGTGATCGATGTCAATTCGGCGATATTCAGTGAACATGTAAGTGACTCTAGCTACCCGAAGTGATTGGGATGATTATGAAACCCCTTTTTTAAGGACACCATTTTGGAGGAGTGCGAGCGGGTGGTGGAGCAGTACTGGAACCTCAAGGATGAAACCAAAAACGCTGACTTCCAGTCGCTCTCGAAGAAGATCAAGAGGAGTCCCTACAACCAGCTGCTGATGAAGAAGTTCCATTTGATAATGGACCTCAATGATCGAAGGTTTTGCCAGCTTACCTTTGTGTTAAAAAGAACGGTGGGTTAGGGATAACCTTATCCAAAATTTGTAATGATTTACAATCCCTTTCAGTTGAGCTTCCTTCTTCGCAAATCCATGCAGTCAGAGATGTGGTTGAATTGGGCTTTGCACATCACTCAATTATACAACAAGTGCCGCAAAGTGGAAAAGCCTGTGGTTCCGGTGGAAACGGATAACCAACCAGGTGAAGAAGAACTGGAGGAGGAACCCAAGTTGAGTGGCAAGAGAAAGGAGGAGATGCCCGCCAATGTTTGCAGCAATATGTATCCTGCTCTGCTTATGGCTCTTAAATCCATTGATTTTAATTATGTTCTGCAGGTTTGAGTCCTCTTTACACTCATTTAAAACTTCTGTATAAACTACTTATTTTTATAGCTGGTGGCCCAAACTCGAGTGGAGCAGAATGCTTTGGATCTAGTATTTGGACTATTCAACATGGGCGAACAGGATGCCTGGCGGGAGCAGCAGAATCTGGAGTCCACCTCCTCCAGCTTGGAGATTCTTAGGACCCTCAACATTTCCTTTGCCGCCGGTGATTACCAACCGTATTGTGACTCCGCCCAGGACTACAAGTCAATGCAGATGCAAATGGCGGACGCGAGTCTTCAAGGGCAGGATAATGACCATCAGAGCCTGCGGTGCAAGCACACGGAGAGTTTCCTGCAAAAGGAGCGGATTTTTATAGCCCAACTGATAGCTAAAGCCACTGAAATAAGTCCGACCATTTTCGGTGAGTTTTAATATGATTTCATACAGTTTCCACAAATTTGATGATTCCTATCTCTAATAGATAATGGCAAAAAAGGACCTGTAGATATAAATGTGTATATTGTCAAGGGTTTGCGACTCCTTTGGTCCTATGTCGGGATTATTTTGGATCACATATTGCTCTGGTGGATAGATAATCCAGTGTCCTGCTATCGCCTTACCCATATTGACTCCATTCGCAGTTGGCTTTATCATCAGAGTGTTAACGGTTAGTGAAATTCAGTCTAAATTAATACAGGTTAATTTTATTTGGATTTTTTCGTAGATATTCCCGAACCCGTTTACTCAACTCTACGTGGCATTGGCGAAATCCTTACAGGATTTGTGTGCAACAACATTTGGGATCAGCTTTTTCGACTTACTCTGATCTCTTCCAACAACACGAATCGCTTGGTTGATGTGGTGGCTGAACAATATCGAGATTGTCCTAAAAATGTAATATATTTATTTTGTTAAATACTCAATTTTGTTTAAGATTTTCTATCTAGGAATTTGGAACTCCAACGGGAACTGTTTGGATTAGTATTTTTGCCAACTTGGTAAATTTGAGCAATCAATACTTTTCAAATATGGAGGCGCATAATAACTCCAGTTTGCTGCCAGTGGCTGAGCAGATACCCATACTACACAGGCTTGGTAATATTAAAATTATGACTGGGTTATAGCATTTTCTGATTTATTTACCCATTTTCAGACCATTCTGTGCACTCGATGCGACTTTGGGTCACCGAACAGGCAAAGCTTCTTTGTTGCGAATGGAAAATGGACCGATTCTTCCAGATTTTGGAGCACGATGTAAAGCTCTGCCTGAATGTCTTTGTAACCTTTCAACTGCCGAAACTCACTGCCGACCTGAGTGATATTTTAATGCTGGTTTGCGTGGCCCTGCGAACCAAACTCATCGCTGAAGTCAATGCCAATATAGACAAGCTAAAGGTGGGTCCTTAATAAGTGCTTATAATAATATATTTGAAATCTAAATTTAATTCACCAGAAAACCACCGACGAGTGTGTTCAGATCCTGTCAGCTGTTTGCCGGGTCCTCAGCCTGGCCAACTTTACTCTTTGCTTTCCCGCCGCCAATTTCTGGCAACGCGAGGTGTACAACAACGAGGAGAAGAGCCTGTACGTGGGCTATGTGCTGGACGAGATCTACCTGCCCACCATACGTGCCACCAAGGACATTGTCATCCTCAAGCTGATCCTGAAACTGATCTGCGAGGCCTGGCTGGATTTTATCTACCAGAAAAGAATCCGTTTCAGCGTAAATGGAGCTGTGCGATTGCTGAATGATTTCGATGATGTGCGGGAGTGGATCCTGGCCTGCACTTTGTTGGATGAAGAGCAGTTGGATAAGTTGAGCAACCACGAAGTCCTTCGGATGTGCAAGGGTGTGGGCAAGATACTGCTTCGCAAGCCGGAGGATGTGATCTCCATCACCCAGTCACCAAAATTCGACAAAAAGGCGCGTAAGTTGCTTAACTCTTCAATGAGTTTGAATCCTTTTTTGGCAAGAATTTCTTTTGATTATTTAGAGGACGCTGCCGCCCAGGACACTCAGCTGCCCTCGGAGATGTTTGTCTCCAATCAGAAGCACTGGTTGCAACTGAGAGCCAGTGGAGGAAATGGTTTTCCCTTCCTGAAACTTTGTTGTGGCGATGCCGCCATGTAATCGAGCTTCTTAAAGGGGTACAAATGTTTATTGAGCCGCTAAAATGCTTTACAAAAGTGAGGGTCTATAATATATATAAATTAGAAAAAGGGCCACTATGGTTATGTTTTTCTTTCGAATTTCTTTTGGAAGTTTCCCTTAGGCGGGCACCTTGCGACTGATGATCTTTATCAGCTCATCCACACGCTCGCTTTTGCCGGCGAATTGTTTTGGATGCGGTCCAATCATTTGAATGATCATCGGCACGTCTTGCGAGACCTGAAAGGAAATGGTAAAATATGCGAATCTATGACAGCTGTCAATTTGGGCCAAATTGAATGTAGGTCAATACCTCGAGGAAACGAGCGAGCGCTTTCAGTGTGCGGAAAATCTGATCTTCATTGGGACTGCTCTGGAAGAACTGAAGAATGGCCATGGCCAGTTCCACAGCAATGTCATCGAAAACCTATAAAAGATTTAGTCCTTTAACCCCTGTTTTTATGGAGTATTATTCTGATCCTACCACAGTCTTCACTTCCTTAATAGCAATGTTGTACAGGATCATGCTGCCAATGTTTTTCAGCTGCGGGCAATTGGATAGGATGCAATGAACAGCCACTTTGGTGGTCACTCGGATATTGGAGATGGTCTGGCCATTGTATTCCCACTCGGAGATGTACAGCAGCCATTCGGAGGGACCCAGGTTCTCAAAGAGGTTGCACATCTACAGTAAACAAAATTAAATAATCTAAAACATTTTTTAATTCATTTATGAGACTCACAAACATGGCCCAAGCTTGTTGCTCCTCGGGCGTCTGCTTGTCAATATCCTGCGCGTAGTTCATCAAAGTGTGATCCCTGCGATCCTGGTGCAGAATAATAATCACATCATCCTTGAGTGCAGCAAAGGCCAGGGTGCGAATCAAGTGTATCCGTGTGTCTGGTGAAAAGGCCTGATTGTCACGCAGGACTCGCTGCACGAAGACCAGGAAGTTATCGCCCAGCGCCCAGGAGCCATCGTCCTCGATCAAATACTGATGCAGCTCCTCCATGGCCACCTCCTCCTCCTTGTAGATTTTGCCATCCAGCAGTTTCACTAAGCTCTCTAGTTCAGTCTTTATCTGTTTATCAAAAAAAGGAAATGTTATAGATATACTTGAGATAATGTGTGTACCGAAATGATTATTTTCAAAGGGAAGCCAATTTTAGAACGTTACGTTAATATTTCTGGAAATTATTTAAAATGGCAACTATTTGCAATTGTTTACAAACAAATCGTAAATTTTTTAGTTGTGAATGTAGCAAATGCTTGTCATATTATAATTTATGAGATCTTAAAGCATTTAAAGATTTCTAATTTTTTTTGTAACATTTTCAACTGAAAGATTAGAGCTTGGTACATTGTGAACAAATATAGTAGGTAACAAATAGATTTGTAGCTTTGTGTGTAGGCGATATTTCCATTAGTAGCTTGTAATTTCCATGCCTTGTGGACTTACGTCAATGTCTTTGAGGACCAGCGCCGGTTCGCGTGGGATTTCCTTCTCCTCCGTGGACTTGGAGCGCTCCTTGCCATTCTGGGACTGCTGTTGTTGGGCTGCGGGCTCTGACATCTCTGGTCTATAAATAGGCGGGTGAGGAAATTAATAAAATTAATTTCATACTTAACAAGAAAGGAAGCTAGCTTCGGCAAGCCGAAGCTTATATACCCTTGCAGTTACTAAATATGTCGAACAAAATACATAAAAGCTAAAAAGCATCGAAGCTATGACGATTTTTCTATTAATTTTCCATATTGTTCATATGACAGCTATATGATATAGTCGTCCGATTTTAATGAAATTTAATTTGTAATTCAAGACCTATTAAAAAACTCTATATTCCAAAAATCATTATTGTCTGATGAAAAACAACGAGGTTATAATTATATTTCCGTTATTTCTATATAGATTTTTCGATCTTACCTATGGCAGCTAAATGATATAGTACTCCGATTTTTATGAAATTTTTTTCTCAACTTAAGAGTATTTAAAAAACCCTATGTTCCAAAAATCATGCTCATGGGATAAAAAACAACGATGTTATCAATTTATTTCCATTAATTCTATATATATTTTTTGATCTCTCCTATGGCAGCTATACGATAGAGTTGTCCGATTTTGATAAAATTTAATCCGAAATTCAAAAGCAGTTAGAAAACGCCATCTGGAAGGAATCAAGTCAAAAACAACGGTGTAAAAATTTTTTATTTTATTCTCTTGTATGGGAGCTATCCGATATAGTCGCCCGATCCGGCTCGTTCCGACATATATACTGCGTGCAACAACTACACAACTTTTGGGAAAGTTTCAGCCAGATAGCTTTAAAACTGAGAGACTAGTTTACATAGAAACCGACAGGAGGACAGACGGACAGACAGACAGACAGACAGACAGACAGACGGACAGACGGACAGACGTACAGACGGATTTCGATTCAGATCGTGATGCTGATCAAGAATATATATACTTTATGGGGTCTGAGGTGTCAACTTCACTGCGTTGCAAACTTCTGACTGAAATTATAATACCCTTTGCTCTGCAAGGGTATAAAAATAAATGAGCGTGGATGCGGCCACAACAAACTTGGGCTGCAGCAGCAGCGGCCATCGAAAGGGTCATAAAATTGCAACACTTTTCACTTTTTATTCGGAATTATTCTTTTCCGATCTGCTCACGATAATGCTGTAATTTTCAGCACAAATTGCCGCTCGAGCGTGCTGAAATGTTTACAATTTGGGCACAAGAAATATGTGGGGAATTCAATGTTTCATATAAACAAAGAAGCGGAAAATCATTTGCTGATTCTTTCGGCTAATTAACAGAAAAGAAAAGAACTGAAATAAAGGGAAAAGCGGTAGCCGGCGACAATTGGAAGAGAGACAGGACAGAGGAAAAGTTGTCAAACCGATGTGTGACAGTAAAACAGAGGAAAACTCAAAATAGCCGTGGTATTTTTAGGCTTTTACTTTACGTAGACAAAAACAAGGTACAGAAGATTCTCACTGGCAACACGAAATTGCATGCAATGTGATATAAACGATTTTCCAAGCTGATTTTCCGGCCCCGGCTGACAGATATTGTTCCTCATAATTAAATTAAATGCTAGGTATGTTCATTAATTTGCTTAATTTATAGATTTCCAAATTACTCACATGCTATTTTAGTAGATGTGACACAGAAATTCCTTCACTTTCGACACCAATTCGTGGGAATGCCGAAAACAAAAATCAAAACTCAACTAGGGCACAAATTATATCTCTTTTGTCGGCGATGAGTTTTGTTTACTCAAAATTCCGAAGATGAATATTTTGTTATTTATTTTCCAGATCATGCAACTCTAAAAGAACTTTTCATCGAATTCCGGAGATCGAGAGGCACGCGAACCGTTTCAACGGAGAATCGACTCGAAATTGCCACTGTTTGTTCGGAAAAGTCCCGTGAAAGTGTGAGGAAAAGTTTCGGAAAATGCACACTTGCTCGCAGAGACGACCATACGATCTGTGAGTGTGTTTTTTCGGATATTTCGGATCGGGTCTTTATAAATAGACACTCGACTCAGTTCGCTCATGAGCAAAATGTAGCAGATGCAAATGCACAGACCGAAATAAGTGAAAGGTTCTAAAAAATGCTTTAAAATCTCACTCTTTAAGCCTGTCCAGCTTTATTTTAAATTAAGTTTGCAGTGGTTTTTATTACCATCTGCAAGGGCAAGGACCATCCTTCAAACGTCAGTGCAATATTGCTGTGAGGGGGCGAACCCGAATGGGAAAGGTCGGGAAAAACACAAAAAGCTATTAAGTGGCAACCAAAATACATTCCAGGCCCAGTCGGAGGTCCTGTCGCATTCTGAAAGCAACAAGTCTCACATTGCGTAGCCGAGATGTTGACCAAGGCCCAAGCTGCGGCAACTTTCATTTGGACTTCGAGTGCTAAGCGCGTCGGTTGCTAAGTGGCTCCTTTTCAAAACTATAAACGCATCCTTTTTCGCCATGAGAACTTCTATTAAAATCGTTCTGAGGCTATTGGCGCTCTTAGTTTGTTTCTTATATTGCCAGGCTTCGCTGGAAAGGGAAAACATTGAAGGCAATCATATGGCAAATGTGAGTTATGATTGTTTTGACTTATTCCTAATGACCTCGAACAAGAACGGAAGGCTATGGTGAAATTGTGTGATACTGTGGCGACACATACGTAAAACTCAGTTGAAAGTTGGAAACACAGAAAGTTGTGAGCTTTATTGATAACGAGCGCCTAAAAGCCTTTCAAAGCAATTTCAAAATTATGTTTAATGTATAACCCACCAAATACATATACAAAATTGATAATTTCCATTAAAATCTGGTTAAGTGCTTAAAAAATGTATTTCAGAATAAAACTTTAACTAACAAATTTGTTTAGATTTAAATTAATTATTATTTTTGTTAGAAGCAGGGCCGTAGCTAGCATGGGGCAGGTGGGGCGGTGCCCCAGGGCCCCCGAAGGGAAGGGGCCCCGCCGGGGCTTCCTTTTTAGTTCTGAAAAAGCCTTACCATGCCTTTCGGACTTTCTGAATGGGCTTTAAATGGATCACAATAATCTAACAAAATAAAAAAATTCTAAATTTTTTACAGTTTTATTAGATAATGTACAAAACTACATGTTTTCGCTTTATTTCAACATACATATCTCAGTATCTCATTTGGTAAATACCATTAAAAACGCCGCTTTCTCGCTTTGCAAGCCGCAAATTCGTCGATCGCTTGGCTGAAATCAATCTTTCTTATGAATAAAATTTGACAAAAGACTCCCGTATAGGGGGCCCCAAATTTACTTGTTGCCCCAGGGCCCCCGAGGCTCTAGCTACGGCCCTGGTTAGAAGCACTCAAAGTTGAAAGCTTAACTGATAACGAGCGAACAAAAAGCCTTTCAAAGCAATTTCAAAATTATGTTTAATGTATAATCTACCAAATACATATACAACATTGATAATCTACATTTAAATCTTGTTTTTAAGAAGAAATAAGTGGTGTTGTTAAAAAAATGTATTCCAGAATAAAACTTTAGTTTATAAATTTGCTTCGATTTTAAATGAATTATTATTTTTTTTAGCACAAACTAAGTGGCGTTATCCAGTGGAAGTATGAGAAGCGACCGTTTTGTAATGCTTTTACAGGTAATAAAAGTGTATTAACTACTTAAGTTAACAAGTTTTAAGCCAGTAAATATTACAGGATGTGGACGCAAACGTACTTATCCCTCTTATCCACCTTTTTCGCTATTTAAACGCAATGATATTGAAGATAAGCCCTATAACAATGAATACTTGTCTGAAGGTTTAAGTGATTTGATTGATATCAATGCCGAACCAGCTGTGGAAAATGTCCAAAAGCAGATAATGTCCCAGGCGAAAATCTTCGAGGCAATCAAAGAAGCCAGCAAGGAAATCTTCAGGCAGAAGAATAAACAGAAAATGTTGCAGAATGAAAAGGAAATGCAACAATTGGAGGATGAGAGGGACAACAAATAAATCGGATAAGTCGGAACATCGGTTGCCTGGATATAAATTGACTGGATCGTTACCACACTGGTTTTGTTACTGTACATAATATCTTTATCTATGACTCTTGAATTGCGAAAGATTAAACACCATTGGCATGAAATCAAATAAAATTGTTGACCACATTTTAAGCATTTTTCTCTTCTTATATTTTGATTTGCTTTCGTTTTATTTTCATAATTGTTCTTAAAGGTTACAAAAACATTTATTATGACTCCTAACCATGCAATGCATTTTGGCCTTCTGCTTTTATTAAACATTCTTTATGGCCAGAATCAAATAAGGGTCCCTAACGATTTTGCCGTCTATTGCTTACGCAATTTGTTTGATTGCATCAAACAATTTTAGAAAAATATATATAAAATATATGGGAAAATAAAGTTAAAGGCCCTTAAATTAAACAGTTCTTAAAAGAACTTATCTTTGCTATCTATATATGTATGTTTTGATCGCCTTAGTTAAAACAAATTTCTCCAACTAAAATTGCACTATTTATTTTTGAATTTACTACAATGAATATATTATTTTTTTTGTTAACCGAGGTTATTATTTTTTATGAAATTAGCGGTGTAGCTATTAGCGGCTTATTACCACTTAACTAATGTATTTCATCAGTTTGAAAAATTAATCCAATTTGGGGACCCTCTTGGACAAACGCACTCGAACTCCGTCTTTGGCTACCAGGGCAACGCCGCTGTTTTCGAACTCCAATTCGCGTTTGCTCATCACCTCAACGTTGAAGTTCTGAAGGATTTTAATGATGGCCAGCTTGGTATTAACACGACCCATTCGCTGGGCAATGCAAATCCTGGGACCCTCACCAAAAGGCATGAAGGCAGTGGGATTGTAGTTGCGGCTCTCCTCCGAGAAACGATCTGGATCATATTTCTCGGGATCCGGGAAGTATTCTGCGTCGCGATGAATACCAAACAGAGAGATCACCACCGGTGTTCCCTTGGGAATGACGTCATTGGTATCCGGAACAGGGTAATCCTGGGTGCATTCTCGGTTCAGGAAGGGAAGACCCGGATATTTGCGGGTGGCTTCCTGCAAGCACAGCTCCAAGAACTTCATCTTGTGCAGGGCATCGTAGGTGATCTTTCCATTGTTCTTGGCCAGTGTCTCGTCCACTTCATCCTGGAGGCGCTTCAGCAACTCTGGGTATTGAGCCAACTCAAATATGGTACATGCTGCGGCCGATCCCGTGGTTTCCTGACCAGCAATGAAGAAAATGAAGGCTTGCGCGGTGATGGCCTCTAGCGAAATAGCCTTAATATGACCTGAAAATTTGTTCTTGCTCAGTTTATGCATTATTTACGTTTATATGTTTCCTTACCATCGGGAGTCTTCTGTATGCTAAAGGACTTCTCGTCATTTTCCTCTATCTTGCCCGTATTCCTCAACTGAATTAGCAATTGCAGCAAATCCTTTCGAACAATGCCGTGTTTTTCCCGGTACTCAACAGTCTCTTTTACTATCTCAAGCATGGCCACTACAACTGGATTTTTAAAACCCACTCTGAACAAGAACTTTGCAATGCTAGAGAAAAATCATTACTATAGGTTATATTTTATTCCTACATTTTATAAAAAATTACTTACCTTGGCACCAAGAATATCATCATATTAAACAAAGCCATAAAGCGATTATTTGTTCTTGCAATAGTTACCAAGTTTCGGAATTTGTTGTCGGGATTTTCGAAGCTATTCACTTCCAAACCAAAAATGGTCGAAGCAATTATGTCGATGGCATAGTCATGCATTACTTTCTTGAGATCCACCTCCTTGGAACCTTGTTCTGGGAGCTCCTTCTGGAGATAAGCCACCATTTTGTCGCCAATATCTTCGGACGTAGTGTACATGGCCTTCAGCTTGCCAGAGGTGAAACATGGCGATAACATGTGCCTCATTGACCGCCAACTTTGGCCTCTCAAAGAAAATATGTTGGCCGACAGTGGGTCTTTCTCCTCATCTACATAAACACCGCGATCGTGGAAGCTGGCGAAATCCTGTGCCAAAACTCGACGAGCTAGTTCGGCATCCCGGACTAAAACAGCCGGACGGAAGAGCAAGTAAATGCCCAAGACTCGTTCCCTACTCTTCTTATAGACGTCGTATATGGCCAAGCCCATGCACTTCTCCTGCCTCCAAACGCTGTCCAAACATCCGAACGGAATCCCGGAGTGTCTGTCATTTGGAAATCCGCGACGTTCCCAAAAACTATAATGGTGTTTCAGGTAGAACCACGCCAATGTCAAAAGCGACAAGACCAGCAAAACCAGCGGAAACATGGTTAACCGATTGAACTTTTCACTGAACTTAACGGTTCTCAAAGTAGGTCCACATTGATCTGGCGAATAATGCGTTGGCTCCATTTATAGGTCCGAATTTCAACGTTTAATTCTCTTCCACATCAACGTTTAGATAATAAATTCTCTTTTTATTATTGTTTATGTCGCAGAAAGTAAAGACCTCTCAAAAGTACCAAAGAGAACACGACATCTGATAATTCGTTTACATGACAACCGGTTAAAGTTTGCGGAATTAATTAAATATACATTAATTATGAAAAGAAAAAAAAAATAAAAATAAAATTGTTTTATAAAATATTAAAAATAAAAAAAAAATTTTTTTTTTTTTTATTTTTTTTATAATAAAAAGAAAAAAAAAATTTAAAAATTTTTTTTTTAAAAAAAAAAATAAAAAAAAAATTAAAAAAAAAAAAAACCCTTTTTTTAAAAAAAAAAAATAAAAAAAAAAAAAATTTTTTTTTTTTTTTTTTTTTTTTTTTTAAAATTTTTTTTTTTATAAAATTATTTTTTTTTTAAAAAAAAATTTAAATTAAAAAAAAAAAAAATTAAACTACTATGAAATAATTCCTAAAGGAGGTCATGAAGCTCCTAATTCAATAGCTGGAGATAATCTTCTATGAAAAAATGCTCAAAAAAAACTTACAAAAAATAAAACTTCTGATAAAATAAATAAAATTATTCCTCATCGTAATCCAATAGTTACAGCGTAAGTATGTAATCCTTGATATGTTCCTTCACGAGAAACATCTCGTCATCATTGATAAACTGTTAAAATAGTAATATGTTAATAAAAAAAAAAAGAAAAAAAAAAAAAAAAAAAAAAAAAAAAAAAAAAAAAAAAAACTTTTGTATCCTTTATTTTTTTGACCTCTTGTATGGGAGCTATCCGATATAGTCGGCCGATCCGGCTCGTTCCGACTTATATACTGCGTGCAATAACTACACAACTTTTGGAAAAGTTTCAACACGATAGCTTTAAAACTGAGAGACTAGTTTACATAGAAACCGACAGGAGGACAGACGGACAGACGGACAGACGGACAGACGGACAGACGTACATACATATTTCGATTCAGATGGTGATGCTGATCAAGAATATATATACTTTATGGGGTCTAAGGTGTCTCCTTCACTGCGTTGCAAACTTCTGACTGAAATTATAATACCCTTTTGCTCTGCAAGGGTATAATTATACATATTAATCAAATTAATAATAAATTTTTAAGCCAAAATATAACTTTAAATATTAAATAAATAAAAATTATAAATTATTTTTTATTTTTCATAACAAAATAAATAATTAATATTAGTTAATAAAAATTAATAATTTTTATTTTTTAAAAATTATTAATTTTTAATACATTTTTACAAAAATTTTTTATTAAAATTTATTTATAAATATTCATATTTTATTAGTTCTAATAAAAAAAATGTTTTTTAATGTTAATTTTTTAATAATTTAAAAAAAAGATATAAAAAAAAAACATTTTTAATTTATAAACTGAATCATTTATTATGTATATTATATATATATTCAAAATTTTATTTTATTTTTTGTTTTTAAAAAATTTAAAAAAAATAAATATATTTTTTTTAATGTAAAATTTTATTTTTTTTGCATTTTTTTTTTAATTAAAATTTAAAATTTTTTTTTTTTTTTAATTTATTTTAATTACTAAATCTGAAATATTTAATATATTATTAATTATTTAATTATTAAAAAAATATTTTTTTTCAATTAAAATGTCCAAAAGCAGATAATGTCCCAGGCGAAAATCTTCGAGGCAATCAAAGAAGCCAGCAAGGAAATCTTCAGGCAGAAGAATAAACAGAAAATGTTGCAGAATGAAAAGGAAATGCAACAATTGGAGGTTGAGAGGGACAACAAATAAATTGGATAAGTCGGTACATCGGTTGACTAGAAATATATTGACCGGATCGTTACCATTCTGGTTTTATTACTGTACATAATATCTTTATCTATGACTCTTGAATTGCGAAAGATTAAACACCATTGGCATGAAATCAATAAAAAATGTTGACCACATTTTAAGCATTTTTCTCCTTTCTTTTTGATTTATATTTATTTTAATTTCATAGTAATTTTTTAATAAACAATAATTATAAACATTTAATATGACTCCCAACTATGCAATGCATTTCGACCTTCTGCCTTTAATAACCAGTCTTTATGGCCAAAAAAATATATCATTTGTTGGCCTGTCGTATCTATTCATGGCATTAGTAATCGGTAATCGCAGTGGGTTTCCCTATCTTTTGTTAGCGATAAGGGTCCCTAACAATTTCTCCGTCTATAGCTAAAGCAATTTGTTCGATTGCATAAACAATGTTAAAAATATATCTATTAAATAGAAGGAAAAATTAAGTAAAAGTCTTTAAATTTAAAGGTTCCTAAAAAAAACCTATTATAGCTATCTATATTAATTTTGATCGCCTTAGTTACAAATATTTTCTACAACTAAAATTGCACAATTTATTTTTGAATTTACTACAATGAACATATTATAAAAGGTAACGATTTTTTTTTGTTGACCGAGGTTATCTTTTATGTAATGAGCGATAATGCTAATAGCGGATTAACTGTTATCAAAATAATCAGAGTGGATTTATTACCACTTAACTGTTGTATTTCATCAGTTTTAATCCAATTTGGGGACTCTCTTGGACAAACGCACTCGAACTCCGTCTTTGGCTATCAGGGCAATGCCGCTTTTTTCGAACTCCAATTCGCGTTTGCTCATCACCTCAACGTTGAAGTTCTGCAGGATCTTTATGATGGCCAGCTTGGAATTAACACGACCCATTCGCTGGGCAATGCAAATCCTGGGACCCTCACCAAAAGGCATGAAGGCAGTGGGATTGTAGTTGCGACTCTCCTCCGAGAAACGATCTGGATCATATTTCTCGGGATCCGGGAAGTATTCTGGGTCATGATGAATACCATACAGCGATATTACCACCGGTGTTCCCTTGGGAATGACGTCATTGGTGTCGGGTACAGTGTAATCCTGGGTGCATTCTCGGTTCAGGATGGGAAGACCCGGATATTTGCGCATGGTTTCCTGCAGGCACAGCTCCAAAAACTCCATCTTGTGCAGGGCGTCGTAGCTGATTATTCCATTGTTTTTGGCCAGTGTCTCGTCCACTTCATCCTGGAGACGTTTTAGCAAATCTGGGTATTGAGCCAACTCAAAGATGGTACATGCTGCGGTCGATCCTGTAGTTTCCTGACCAGCAATGTAGAAAATGAAGGCCTGGGCTGTGATGGCCTCAAGCGAAATAGTCTTTATATGACCTGAAAATACAATTTTGCTTAGTTTTTTTGCATTATTTAACTTTATATGATTCATTACCATCGGGTGTCTTCTGTATGCTGAAGGACTTCTCGTCATTTTCCTCTATCTTGCCCGTATTCCTCAACTGAATTAGCAATTGCAGCAAATCCTTTCGAACAATGCCGTGTTTTTCGCGGTACTCAACAGTCTCTTTGACAATCTCCAGCATGGCCAGTCCAACTGGATTTTTAAAACCCACTCTGAACAGGAACTTTGCAATGCTATAGAAAATTCATTACTATAGGTTACATTTTATACACACATTTTATGATAAATTACTAACCTTGGCACCAGGAATAACATCATACCAAACAAAGCGTTAAAGCGACTATTTGCTCTTGCAAGAGTAACCAAGTTTCGGAATTTGTTGTCGGGATTTTCGAAGCTATTCACATCCAAACCAAAAATAGTCGAAGCAATTATATCGATGGCATAGTTCTGCATCACTTTCTTGAGATCCACCTCCTTGAAACCTTGTTCTGGGAGCTCCTTCTGGAGATAAGCCACCATTTTGTCACCAATATCCTCGGATGTGCTATACATGGCCTTCAGTTTGCCCGAGGTGAAACACGGTGATAACATATGCCTCATTGATCGCCAACTTTGGCCTCTCAAAGCAAATATACTGGCCGACAGTGGGTCTTTCTCCTCATCTACATAAATTCCGCGATCGTGGAAGCTGGCGAAATCCTGTGCCAAAACTCGACGAGCCAGTTCGGCATCCCGGACTAAAACAGCCGGACGGAAGAGCAAGTAAATGCCCAACACTCGTTCCTTGCTCTTCTTATAGACGTCGTATATGGCCAAGCCCATGCACTTCTCCTGCCTCCAAACGCTGTCCAAACATCCGAACGGAATCCCGGAGTGCCTGTCATTTGGAAATCCGCGACGTTCCCAAAAACTGTAGTGGTGTTTCAGGTAGTACCACGCCAATGTCAATAGAGACAAGGCAAGCAAAACCAGTGAAAACATGGTTAACTGACTGAACTTTTAAAGACTGAACGATACTCAAAGCAGGTCTATATTCAACTGGCGAATAATGCGTTGGGTTCCATTTATAGGTCCGAATTTCAACGTATTATTCTCTTCCACATCAACGTTCTGTTTAGATAATAAATTCTGATAGAGCAGTCTGAATTCTCTTATTATTATTGTTTATGTCGCAGAAAGTAAAGATCTCTTAAAAGCACCAAAGAGAACACGACAACTGATAATTTGTTTATATCACAACCGGTTAAATTTTACTGAATTAATTTAAATGAACATTGATTATGAAAACTATTTTAAAGGCTTAAATGAGCATTGGCTTAGTTAATAAATAAAATTAAAAATCTATTTTTTTAATAAAGTTTATAATAAAATGACTGAATGCATACCAAACTATTCGTAATTGATAAATTAATCTATAGAAAGCCGCCCACTTCTCGCCAATCAGCAGAGAAATCGTTGTGAAATTAAAGAGAGACTACTAGTTTTTTTTATTTGTTACTGGCTTCCCAGACAAAGAAGCTTGTAATGCGTTCAAAATTTATGTTTTTATTAATGATTACGATTTTAAAAAGAGCTTAAAGGCCTCAAAACAAATTTACAAATATCTCTTATGAGTTCTCTTAAAGTACTATACTCTATTGAACCGAATACAGTGTTACTGTTACTCTTTATAAATTATTATTGCATCATTCAAGTGTTAGACCATAGATTAAAAATTACTTTCTATAACTAAATTAGTTTCTTGCATATCTAACATATTTTACGATATGTTTATCATATTTATGTTATCTTTAATTTAAATAATTTTTCGAGTTTTAAAGTGATAGGATTGTTTTCCCCTTCGACCAAGTAACCGTCTGTACTTAATAATATTTTATTCCTTTACCTATGTTAGATACCTTTATCAATATTAAGAGTTACATTGGCTGTTCGATGATTTCCCTGGGTTGAGTTATTAGACATCACTCGCACTGAAGTAGCTCCTCTATTTATTCCTGTTCTGTGCAGCTCATTTGGTTGCTCCGATTCGGACCAGGGTTTAAAGTTAAAGTTATATCCCTCCAAATCCTGGCAGTTCACCTGAGGATTACCTTTATCCCGAAGTCTCTGCATTACATGCTCCCGAATTTGGGTAATACCATCTGAATTTCGACATATGATGGCTGCCAGACTGGTTTTGTAAATCTCTCTAAGTTGAGCTGTTAAAAAAGAAATCCAAAAACTACAGTATTTATGGTAGAAATGTACATTTGATGAACTTTTACCTTTGGTAAATTTTTGCGGACCCATTTTCCTTTCATACCAGTGGGAGTCTCCCATTTTTAAGCGTATGAATTGATCAGATACCATACAACTTAGGAGAGGACCAAAGATAGCTCCTCCCAAAGGTGGTTCACTTAGTGCACCTGTGTACACATCCACATCCTGTGGGGATCTAAGGAAATAGTATATTATTTTCCAGTTCACCCGTAAGAATCTCATCTTAATTAACTCATATATCTGCCTTATAGAATCCAATGTGGCGTTATCCACAGCCTGGGCCATTTGCTCCCACGTGTCCACTGGAGGCAAACGACAATGCCGTCTGAAGACCGGATACGAAGGTATTCCATGATCCCGACCCCTCTGAATGTTTAAGGATACCAAATCCAAACCGCAAAGAGGCACCCTATCCTCGGCGGTTCCCTCAAAAAAGTTTTTGGGTAACTTCTAGCGAAAAGAAACGATCCACTTGCATTACGGGAGTATTGGCCGCCGTCATTAAAGCGTGATCAATTCCATGTTCCGCCCAGAGGGAAAAAGGATTAAAGAGCATCTTGTGCAGTTCGATGGACTCAGCACTACTATTATCCTTGGAGACATTGAACAATCCTGGCAGAAGGGTGTGTGCAAATCGAAAAGCAGCCGCTGCAAAGCAATTGGCAATGCTGGGATCCACTTCTGGGTCATAAGTATCCGGGGCATTTAGATTATCCTTGGAGGGCAGCAAACCCTTCACCTCACTGAGATTCCTTCCAAGCAACACTGGCAGAAATTCATTGTAGGTGATGTGTGCCATCTGGGCACCCAGAATCTTTCTGGCCTCCTGGTACAAACGCTCATCCTCCCAGTGAGGATTATGCTCCTGCAGCTGTTTAGCCAAATAATTGTGGTGTCTAGCCCAAAGGAGATGCATTGAGGTGAGCAGCAGGTTCTCATTGGCCCGATCGTCTCCAGATTCAAAGCAGTATTTCCCCTGGCGGGTCATCTGTACTCGATTGCAGCCATCCGAAGGATTTGAAGAGATGGGGAGGAGTGGCCGACCATCCTCCATGATGTACATCCGAAGTGATCCATTGATGAAGCTGCGTAATTGATTTTGCCGCTGCTCCAGATTTCCGTAGACCACGGAGGCATCGATAAAAGCCGTCGCCTGATTAAGCTGCATCCTTGGACCAAATCTTCCCGTGGGAGCAGGAGCAGATCTCACGAAATTCATGCAACTGATGTTGTACTGTTTGTAGTAAGGATCATCGGGCAGGATAGCCACGGGAAAGCACTCCGGATGCTGTTCACGAGTGGCAGCCACACAGCAATCGATGGATTCTCCCTCTTGCGAAGTTGTCAACGAGGTGGCCGTAATGTCGTGGTCCATGAATTGGCCAAAAACCGCCAGCATCACGGTAAAATTCGAATCTGTTTCGTAACTGGAGCGATGAATCTTCAAGGACACCTGACGAGCCGGCGGCAGGCGACCATGATGACTAATCCGCGGAGCAGCAATACCATCTGCATAATCCGGAGAGACCATCCGGCGATAAGGAACCATCGAAGCTCCATAAGTCCGCGGATGCTTCTTGTTGTTGCAAACCCCAGTGGATCTCCTAAAGCGAGCATTGAAATCGCAATCCAAGCGGAGCACCGTTGGATCAGGAAGGACTATCTTTGGTCCCCAGCCGATATTGCTGCGTCCAGGCTGCTTGGTATAGTTGAAACGCTTGGCTATATCCAAGGTTGCCTGGTTTTCCACATAGCCACGTCGTGCCAGCTTCCTCGCCTCTGGATTTGTGCTCAGCGATCTGTAGTGTCGAAAGGCCGGCGTGTTCACCTCGTTGGGCAGCAGACCCTCCTCCAGTATTTCTCGATCCCCCAAAGCCTTGATCCCAGCGCTTACCGCCTGGGCGCCATCATGGTGACCCAGTGCCGCCTGCTCCAAGGCCCAACTGGCTGCCGGCTCGTCTGGAAGCGGTCTGTTTGGCGGCAGCTCTCCTTCCGATCCATTTACCACGAAGAAGAAACTGGGACCCCCATCGCGACCGCTAAGGGAATCGCTGAACACGAGGGCCAGGCAAAGGGCGGTGAGTACAATCGCTCTGCGGGCGGGAAAGTGAAATTACTTTGTGGTTGGCACAGTGCGGTTAAGCGACGACTAAACGTTCACGGTGGGTTCATGATCAGGTATTGAATAACCTAATGGCGTGGGTTGGCAAATTGATTTCTCACTGTTTGAAATTTTCTCTACGAAGTTAAGCGGTGAAATTAAAAGGAACGTTTTTACTTGCAGCTTAAATAAAAAGCAAGAAAAATATCTTTATTATAAATTTTCCTGCACGGTTAGATATTCCCAACAAAAAAAAGAACCAGAATCACTTTGAGAGCCTTGCACCAATATACTCTGGTTAATAATATCAATTGGAGATATTGTCTACAATTTGATTTTGCCGAAACACACTCACATAAAAGTAATACCCATGCAGCACTGAAACTGCCGCATCTTGTTGCGGCGCGAACGCGGAGAAACACCACCGGGAAAAACGCGGTCGGGTCCTTGATACGGCGGCAGGACGACATATCCGGAGCCACCGGCAGCGGCGGTGGTAAGCGGAGTTGTTTCGTCGGTCATGATCAGAGCTAAACTGATGCGCAGTGGCGGCAAATGCAGCCAACAGAGCTGTGGGCCAGGGCGACTCTAGAGTTGCCCGAACACTTGGCGGGCTTCCGGCTCTCCGCTCGCCACACTTCAGATACTTTCGCCGGCAGCGACTCGCCTGGGACAAAGCAACTTAGTTTATAATATTTTATAATGCCAGCGTTTGAGCGTCGCAACAACACAACACAGCTGGCAACTGTCCACCGACCAAGAAAGAACACCAGCCACCATCTTGTATTCTTAAAGTAAACTTTAATAAACGACATGTGAGTTGCACGCTTAGATTTCCATATCTTCCGGCTGCCGGAACATGTCGGCCACATATTCGTAGGTCAGTTTTAGCAGATACTGGAATGGTTTCTGCTGCGGCAAATCACCGAGCTCCACGCTCTCTAGGAAATCCTCCATGGGCGGCAGGAAGTTCTCGGATTCGTGGTCCATCAGCTGCGAAAGTTCGATGATCTTGAAGAAGAGGAGTTTCTGTATGTAATCCACTGCATTGTTGGGATCGTAATCCGTCCAGTTGTCGCGCTTAATGGCTGCGCACCAGATCTTGTGTCTCATGTCGTATGGCTGGTCCACGTAACTCAGAAGCTCCAGAGATTTACGGAACTCCGCTTCGGTGGCAGTGTCATTCTCTTCGGCAATGTTAAGCTGTGGATAATTAGTAGTTGTAATAAAGATTATCAGTCGATAAATTAACTGTCTTACGTTAATAATCTCCTCTGCTTTAAGAACCTTTTGTTCGGTAGAGTCGAAGCCAAAACTTTGCAATATGTCATGGCTCAATTGCGACTGATATTCGATCAGCGTTAGATCTGCATTGATCTTCTCAACCTGGGCAGTTAAATCGGAATCGGCTGCTGCGAAAGCTGCCAATTTTGCTAGCGACAACATAGACTTTTTGCGCGCCACAAACTCCGTTTCGCACTGGGCTAATTCGTAGAGCACCTTGGCCGCCCGCTCGAAGTCGCCGTTGAATATTAACTGGATCCAGCCCAGGGACGGATGGTCGCGCATGAACTGAGCCAACGCCGTCTGGTTGCCCTTGAAGCGTTCGAAGACCTCGCCGTGCCGGTTCTGGCGCAAGTGCCAATTGATAGCGAACTGTGAGAAGTCATATTCCTCATACTTGCGGGTGTAATCGTCCAGCCGATCTTTGTCCTGCGTCTCATCGCAGATGAGCACTAAACATTGAAAGTCCAGGTACTTTTCGGCGAGCTTTGCGGCGTACTCGTACTGACGATCTTTGACTGAAAATTTGGAAAAGAGGTTTAGAGTAAAAACTAACATTTATAGCAGATTTATTTCATACTCAGTACTGAGATGAGTTCCCTGCGCTGGGCTTCAAACTGCTGCTGCAGCACATTGAACTTCTCCGTATCTCGAACGCTTTCCAAGTAGGTCCTTCTTCCATCAAGTACCAGATCCACCAGCTCAAATATTTGCTGATACAAGTGCTGCTTCAACTCAGTCTCGCTAACGCAGTGGCCTCCGTACCGAACGCTGATATCGATCAGCCGGGTTAAAGTGTCCCGGACACCTGCGCTTCCCGCCATCGCAGTCCATGGAAGATTTTCGTAGGAGGTTAGCTTGTCATTGCTCAGTCTGAAGCTACTGGCATGCTGCTCCCGATGCCTAAACACTTGACCCAGAGTGTCCAGAACAATTGAGTTTATGTCGTTGATAAAGTGGGCCACTGATATGGTGGTCTGGCTCTGAGCAGCAATTCTTTCGTCGGCAATATCAGCCAAGGCCTCGAATACGTTTTGGAACTTGGACAGCTTCACATAGAATATATCCTGATTGGTAAGGCTGCCTTGGGGTTTCTCATCCCACAACGCAACGGTGGCCTCGATGGCCTCTTCAATTAGCTTGGGCATCTTAGTCTGCAATGAACGTAGAGCCATGGCAGCCACTATCTTTTCACTGATGTCGGAGAGAATAAAGCTGGTGGGCTTTAGCATATGACTTCCGCAGGGTATGGCATTAAGCTGGAAAGGACAGGTTTGTTTTTAGTATGCAAAAATTTTAGACTTTTTGGTTTATACCTTTTCCCAAACTCCACTGGAATGCAAGAAGGTGACGAAATGCTGGAAAGCAATTATCTTATCCCTTAATTGATTGATAATCTGCATCGAACGTGAACTGCCAATAGCATGCCGGTTGCTATCGTGATCACCGAGAGCTTCCTCCCAACGCGGATCTGAAATCGGAATATCTTCCGCCAAATCTTCGGCAATTGTAATAACAATTCTATCCAACTTGAAGGCATCTATCGGTGCCCCATTTGGATCGGCTTCATTCACGCTGCGCATTAGTTCGCCGACAATTGTTTTAACCATGTTGTTGTTTCGCTTTAAGTGGTACAGGAATGCCGCCTTCAGTTGGCCCACCTCATCGCAAAGTTCATTGTATATCTCATCCGGATCCAGTTCGAATAGGTGTAGGTTATTTGTGCTGCCAGTCAAAGTTGTCTGCTCAGGAGCACCGAAACTGGCATTGAAAGAGTTGGGGGCGAACAAGTCGGGGGTGTTGCAGGAGCTCATGTTCATCATTTCGGTACCGTCAAAATCACCTGGAGTGATGGAAACTAAACCATGGGTGCGGCTAAAGAACAACGGCAGTTGACTGCAGATTGCAGCACTCAAAATGCGATCATCATGGAGGTGGAACTCAATCTTCTCGGCTTCCAGCTCCGCTGTTGGCACGGAATTGGATAAGTGCAGGGGGTACACCACCTTGGGAGTGTACAAATAAAGGTGACTGCTGCCCACCACGAAGCGCAGACTGAGGCAATCTTCTTCAGTTTTGGCATTGAAAAACTTGTTGATCTTAAGCGGTGTAAAGGACTCCATAAGCATACTTTCCGGTTGTGGACTTGCAGTTACTAAAATGGTATGTTTTTATAATAATGAAAACATATTTAAGTAAGTTCTTACTCAGAGCATAGCACATTTGTGGAGCATGAGCAGAGTTCACAGCTCCAGCCAGAATGTACGCCTTTTCCTTCACCAAATGAAAGTCTAGCAAATGCAGATCGATCTCTACATTATCAGCGGGCAGTCGCACATTCCAGAACTTGGTTTTAAATTCATCACGAATCCTGCGCACCACTTCCCCATCCTCGTACAGAAGGTTTTCGGCATTTCCCTTGTTAGATAGACTCCACCGCTGAATTGCACGGTCGGAAAGCACGGCTACGACTGTTTCTCCAGTTTCAGAATTGCTTTCGCAGCACATACCAACCAAAGCCTAGAGATGAAAAGCTTTAAAAGATGTACATCAATCGGTATGAGAAAATACTTTACCTGATCCTTTTCACCACCTGTGTTCATGCCAATCAAAATCGAAGCAAACTTCTTACCAAAGCCACCAAGGAAACTAGTGGCGGGCTTAATGGTCTTATGGTGTAGCGTGTAACGACCGTTGGTGAGTCCGACCCTCAGGAAAACCAAATTGCAGGTGGTAGTAACTGCTAGATAGCCCTGCTGTGTGGGCAGATTGAGGAGCTGGACAAACTCCTGGCCAGTTAGGATGGATAGATCCACAGAATTACCGTCATGCGCGATTGATGACCAGTAGCGAACTTCTCCCGTGGCAGAGACAGCAATGCAGGAGGCCATTTGCTGACCTTCTGTTTGGAAAACGCTTATCAAGTCGCTCTTATGGCCCAGATCGCTGTAGGGCAGGGTCAACTCCCGGCACTGGGCCAATCCACCTCCCCGTCTGGTTGGTTTGCCCAGGCGAGGTGGCGAAGCGGATCTGGTCGTATCTTTGTATTGCCAAATTAAGAGACGTCTGCCTTGGACAACCTGGACGAAAATAAACTTCATAGTTTATGGACTTGATAGATATGGTTTCCCAATCTCTTACCCAAGCCCAACCATTTTGAGTCACTTTGGCGGTGACCGTTCCCGCTCCCGATCCGGCAAAGGTAAGCGCCTCGTTGACAACCACGGGCAATGGACAGCCAAAACTCTCCACCACATTGTAGTCGGAGCGTATGCCCGGAATAGACTGAGTGGATCGCACGGACAAACTAAGCCGGCTTAAAAACATAAAAATATATGAAAATAGACTTAGTAAGTATGTGTGGAGCATTTACCTGTTGGTCAGAGCAGTCTTTTTGAGATTTCCGGGCAACTGGGCAAGACTGGCGTTGCCGCCAAAAAAAGATTTTCGCGTGCTGTCTGCCGGAGCCGCTGGCATGCTATATCTTCGCAAACCCGGAGAGGACTCTCGCGATATGCCATAAATCTGTTTCTGTAGGTTTCTCTCCATTTTATATTTCGCTTAAATCACTTACAAACAATAAATAAACAACAATTTTCGCGACAAAATACCGCCGGCATGGGTGCGTATCGATAGGCGATGACGAGTGGCGCTGTAACGAAGTCACAGCCAAAAAGTATCGATCATCGGTAATTGTTTACAAGTGCGGTGCACGGTAAATACAGCTTAAAAAAATAAAGTAAAATATGGAAACGATGTGTTTTTTTCTAAAACTTCGAAATCCGTTGGCGGAGAGTGAAAATTTTGCACCGTTTTTTTGTTATTAACAATTAAAGTTGCGATTTGTAGTACAAATTCGGATCTGAGTGACCGTATTTGCATGTGATGTGCCGATTATTGCATTCGTCTGGTGGCTGATTATTGCAAATACGGTCACTCAGATCCGAATTTGTACTACAAATCGCAACTTTAATTGTTAATAACAAAAAAACGGTGCAAAATTTTCACTCTCCGCCAACGGATTTCGAAGTTTTAGAAAAAAACACATCGTTTCCATATTTTACTTTATTTTTTTAAGCTGTATTTACCGTGCACCGCACTTGTAAACAATTACCATTGCCATCTCTATTAGAAGATGGTACACGATGCCATCGCCAAGCCAAAACTGGCTGACAATTACACGAATTTTCGTAAACAAACCGAAAATACTCTCATAGATGGCCACCTGGACACAAAATGAGCCTACGGGTGTTTCCAAACGTAGGCGATGGAATCTTGAAGGTAAATTTATTGAATCAGGTCATTGAAATATTTAACTCAAATGGATAAATACTCTCTTACAGATCGTGCCTCATTGAACAAACTGAAGCATCACATTGCGGAGGAGGGATGTCCACAGATGCAATATGATCTGGCCAAGGAACTACTTAACAATGCCATTGGTGAGTAATAGCGTGAAAAATTGACATTAAATAAAAAAAATTTTATTGACCCGTGTAGAACCCGATATTGACAAGGGCAATCAGAACCAGAAGGCCGTCAATTGGTTGGTAAGTGCTGCCCACAATGGACACGAGGATGCGGCAAAGTTGCTGCGCCAATGCTACAATAATGGCAGTGGGATCACGACAGAGAATGCAGACGAAGTGCGTCGCTGCCTGGCCATGACGCCAGGCGAAAGAGCTGCGAGAAAAGCAGCCCGGGAGCTTTTTGCCTGCCTTTCAAATGGCAACGAGCACATCACCCCCAAACAGCTGGAGCGCAAGATGCGCCGCATATACAATTTGCAACGTAAACGGCGTCGACGAGACGACGATCCCTCGAGCAGCGAGGGAGAGCCAGAAACAGAGTGCGAGCCCCTGGAGGATGTTTCCACAACTGGCCTTGCCAATGTAGAGCGACGACGCCTCATAACTGAAGCTCACCTGGTTTCGGCTGCTTCCAACTACAGTGCCGGGCAGATGCCCAGTGTAAATGAGGCCCTCACATTATCTGTGCCGGATCCGAGGAGCTTGGACCATGTACCTTGCTTCTACCGCATGATTTTCCACCCGCTCATCTTCTTCACCCTCTTCTACCACCGGCTGCTCAACCTGATTGTGTCCATACCCAACGTCATCCCGCTGAGCGTACGCTGCAGCTTGCTTGTGGCTCTCTCCTGGTGGAGCACACGAAGCATGCTGCCCCTGGTCAGCTATTACTTCAGCCTGGGCATCATGATTTGGTCCACCTGTAAGATGCTGAAGACAAAGCAGCAGTTCGTGGACTTTCGCATCTGGTCTGGACTTTTTCTCAGCTACGGTGATCACAACATCGAGGCGGACATTGCAGAGCAGCGCTTTTTGCGCAACAATATGAAGCCGTACCTGTATTATTTTTGTGCCTTTATCTGCAACCTGATCGTGTATCCGCTGGTGACCGACGCCTGGCTCCCGCACTCGGAACTAACTATTGTCTCTGGAGCCTTCACCTTCCTAACGATGGGCGTGTCCATGTACGCCTCCTCCCACCTACTGCCTGATTGGCTAGTGATAGTTTCCTTTGCCGTAAATGTGCTTGCCAAGTACCCCTACGAAATGGACGAAGTTGTGTCGACTCGGTGGCGTTTTCTGGATCTACGCGTTCCCACTTTTTCGTCCTTTGTCATCGGAAACGGGATTGAGTTCTGTTTGAACTGCCGCACTGCCTTGTATCTCTTTATTCCCGTCCTGTTGGTGATGATGGCCAAGCGCTCCCGCTGGCATGGAGTATACACCTACCTCATCCCGCACTGCGTGACGCTCAGTTGGCTGCAGGTGTGCATCGCCACCTCGCAGAGCGCCACCATGTTTGGTGTGATGCGCGCTGCTTTAGGGTTGGCCGGAATCGTATTGTTCCTGCCACTATTCGGAATCGTAGCTCTTCTCGTGCCAGTCTTCGTGGCCATTGATAGCTTGGGCTTGGCCAGTGAGCAGCTGCGCTGGGGCAGCACTGCCATTGCCTGCGGATTGGTAGTGGTGTTATCCTGTGTCCTGGCCCTGAATCGAGCCACCCAGAAGTACATTACCATGCTGCAAGTAAGTAAAGTGATTTAAAAAAAAACCATTTTGTTATTAAAAACTTTGCTTTCAGCTTATTATGGCAGTCACTACGGCTTGCTTGTTGGTCTTTCCCTACATGACTTCCAGTTTCAAGGATACGCCCCGTTTTAATGCTATGCCTAGAGTGGGGCTGCACGCCCTCTCCGAAACGGATACGTTGCAGTGGGATCGCTTTCACGCTCTTTGTGCCCAACCTGTCTACGAGCAGCCGAATAAGATAAAGGCGCAGCTCCGTTGCTCCCATCTGAATGGCATGCCGGTGACTTGGGAGGGCACCATCAAAAAAGTGGAAATCTCACGGGTGACCAACATGTTAGAGGATTTGATTGTTAACTACTTGCCGCCGTGGCTTGGAAAGCTGCTACGCTGTGTGCATGGCGACAACATATCACAGCACTTCAAGTGCGATCCCAAGTTGGATAGCCAGTGCGATGAATGGAGGAGCGTTATAAAGACATTAAAGATGCAGAGCGGAAGTTGCACACTACAGCGTTGGAACCGCTACGAGTACGAGCTGCTGGTGAAAGTGGGCACTAAGAAAACTAGCAGTCTGCTGGGTCGTTCCACCTCCACCGATGTGATCCTGCGAGCTCATCATGACTTCGGAAACTTCACCCGGCTTTTGAGCGCAGGTGATGTGGTTCTCTTCTATGGAAACCTGCGCAATTCTCAACATTTGGCGGACAGCGTGCAGGTGCAACTAAAGACCATCGAGTGTGTGAATTGCCAGTCCCCGGATTTAGGCACAGCGAGCATCGAACGTGTAGTGGCCGCTTCTCCCATGGATGCCCGTCTTCAAGATCTTATGAGGGGCATCAAGTATTTGTTAAACGCTTTGTTGAATCCATTAATTACGTTTAAGTAAAAAGAAGACGAAGAAGATATGTGAGTTTCTTGAAATTTGCTCACTTTTATTTATTGATCCCGATAATGTTTGCATTTTAGGATCTGGGGGATATTCCCCTCGTGTTGATTATATTTAGGTAAGCCATTAAAGTAGCCAAATTAACGAACAATACAGTGGAGCCAAGAATTTTGTTAGATAATACGATTATATACAAAAGAATATTAATTGTTAATATTGTATTTAGTTTTTACGAGCCCATATTTTATATTACAGCAAACTCATCGCTAGTTTTATTTCTCTATATCTACTGGTTCGTCCTCGTCGTCGCAAACGTCTTCATTCAGATATCCTTTTTCTTGTTGAACATCATTGGTGAATATCGGATTTGTTTCCTTGTGATTTACTTTGTTGAATTCATGGCAGTAAGTTCTTCTTGCGATTTTTGGCGGAGAACTATCTTCCACGTGCTCTCTATCTATTTTTGTTTGAAAAATGGAGCTCTTCAAGCATTCGATTTCCGGATCCGATTCCTTCTCGAGATAATGATGTAGCTCACACGGCTCCGCGCAGATGAACTTTTCGGGTGCATTAATCAGGAACTGCACTCCGTCGAGCAAGAGCTTCCGGTGAGTGGCATCGTCCACTCCCAGCATTACAAGATCACTGGCTACGATGAGCTTACAGTTGGCAATACTGTCGTAGCCCCGCTCCAGGAATCTTCCAATGTACTTCTCCATGGTCAGCAGTACTAGCCATTCGCGTACAGCTCGTCGGCACATTTTTGTCTTTGGAATTTGGTTTAAAATTTGTCGGAAATATCCTTTAATTTTTTTAAGTTTAAAGAGTTGTCAATTTTGACAGTCAAGAAAAAGATACCGTTAAAAAATTGATCGATTGCAATACCTGTTTTGAATTTATGTATTCAATATTTTGATTAAAAGCAAAAGTTTGAATTAAATGTGTTTCCTTTTTTTTTTAAATATAATTTGTTTTTTTTTTTTTTTTTGGATATCTAAAATGAATCTAAATCTAAAATAAAAATATGTATTTTAAATTACTCAAATAAATTAAATGCGAAGAACTTCGGCACCCCTTCCGATACATCGATAGGCGCTTTTAAGGGCCGATCGATTGCCGTCCATCGCTAACTTTGTTTCTCTCACATTTCGGTGCAAAGTGTATTTAAGTGGCCAGGCGCTCGCTGCTCGAGAACACACGCGTTTCACCCACCTGAGAGGGCTGCTCTTGTCATTGGCAGTCGCGGAGCTAAGCAAATAGAATACCAAAAAAGGAATACACCTGTCACCATGATACCGACCATAACGAAGAAGTACCAGAACGTGGTGATTAGCACGGGCAACATCATCACGGAACTCGGGCAGCGCAAGTCGAACGAGGAGCTCTATGATGGGCTAAAGATAACGCTGCTCGGCGATCCAAGTGTGGAGCGCGTGGTGGTGGAAAAGGAGATCGACGAGCTGCACGGCCGGGTGCAGCGAGCCACCCAGGAGCTGACCACCCGGCTGACGGAGAACGGACGGAACGAAATTAGCATCGGTGCTAAGATATTCCTCAATCGCCACTCCACGGAGTTTGTGAACCAGGCGGTGGAGGCGCTACTCAACATACTTAGTGTGACGCACGTGGACAATGTGGTGTTGGCCTACCACCCGAACGCGGTTGCCAGCGCAACGCCGGTGACCACAACAGCAGCAGGCGGAGTTCCGGCCAAGTCGCCCTGCTCAGAGGGCTCCACCGCCGGTAGGACCAGCAACTGGAGCCAGCGAAACGGCGACGGCGGCGTGGCAGAGCTTAAAAAACTGTACCAATCGTTAGAGCAGTACGCACTCAAGCAGCAAATCACCCAGCTTGGCATTGCCGATCTGGATGCGTCGGCCCTAGAGGAGTTGCACAAAAGCGCCCAGGTGGCGCCCACAATCGCCCAGGTCAACCTGTCCACCTGCTGCGTGGTGCCACCGGAACTGCAGGAGTTCTGCGCCGCCCACGACATCCAGCTGAACACGCACAGCGATCCCGAGCTGCTGCTGCCCGAAGAACAGTTCGCCGAACTAGCACCGGGCTACACAATCGACTGGTCGCTGCGGTACCAAGTGCACGTCCGCTGCCGAGGCGTCCTCACCGCCAAGGGATACATTGTGGGAGCCTCGCGGTCCAGCGATTAGTTTAAGTAACACACCCCGTAAACCAGATGCTAGGCTATAGTTTTAATGTTTGTAATGTATGCTCATATACAGTGGTGTACTTATTGTTTGTTATACAAAACCCCAACTGAGGATTTCGAAGCCGACCGATTGATTTTACTGTAAACGATTTTTCAATACTTATTCTGAATATAAAGCGTTTCAAAAACGGCAAACAACTGCAGTCTGTGTCTCTTGCTTCCAGCAGCCTGGGGGTCAGCGATTCGAGACCCCAACCGGTTTGAATGCCTCGGTTACAAATTAAGTATACGTCCAGCTGGTGTAATTTATATGCTCGGTTCGCAGACAAGTGCTCTATGCGATTTCCTTGTAGTGGCTTGTTATTTGCCCCGCTAATCGCTGTCTAGGCCTCTGCTTCTGGTGGACTCAAATCTAATTAAAGGCAGACGCGTCTCGCCCGACGACCCAACCAGATCACGTGGCTGACCGGCCGCTCGCCTGTCGATACGAAAAAAATAAAATAAAATAAAAAGGCTCGATGTTGATTAGAATATTGTATACGGCAGATATATTAAATATATAACTGCCGATTTAGATGGTATCAGCGATGGCAAGGTGCAACAACTACTGGCCATAAATCCACCAATAATAAATGGAAATACTAAACAAAAAATGTGAAATCTGTCCAGAGGAAACAAACTAATCAGTTGGGAAAATTTACAGCGGCCATATACATACATATGTACATACGTTCTGAAGTGCTTAACGTTTGAGATTGGAATGGAGGCAAAATAGGCGTGCAGAGCCGTAAGTGGGGCATTTAATTGACAAGTGGAGGAAGTTGGTGGACGAATGGTTTATTAATGAGCGTGGCCAGAAAGGTGGGTGCCAAATGAGAACATGTAATTTGGGGGCAAAGTTCAAGGACTATGTGCCCTATTTGAATCTATGACTTAATAAAAGAACTTGAAAAGATACATACATAAGATACTCGCACAAATGGATAGGTGCGCTGTGCGAAAGGAAAAGCAAACATTAAACGCAATTATCGTGCTGTTTCTCCCATTAGAATGACTTGTATGTTTAAAAAGTCCCCAATAGAAAGAGAGGGAGAGTGCCCAGAGATAGCTGGAGCTGACTCAATATAACTTGTTTGCCGATCTTTACAGCTCCGGGCTCGTTTCGTCACTAAATGGGTATCTATACATGCGGGCCAGCGACGATGACGCATCGGCCTCCAAAATAAACATTAGCAACATGTTGCCTAAACATTTGAAACATGGAAAAGAAGGCTCTGGAACACAATCAAACCTACAGGCATTATCTTGGTAACTGGTGAAATATTGTAGCTATTGCGGGCGTTATCAGCTCGTTATCATTATTAGTAACTTTTTGTGCCATTTTTGTAAGACAAATCGCATCCAAGTGCAGTGTCGCTTGATAAGCGCTTGATCAGCCAACGCCACACAGGGCGTATACGTAACCGGGCGATTATAAATCACTTTCAGTACTAGATGTTGTGACCCATCTTTATGTTCCGCCTGACTTCGTCCGAATGATTTTGCACTTTCTGTTGTATATCATTAATTTATCTAGAGTCCAGAACATTCCAAACACCTCCACATGCAAAACAATCCGTCGGAATTACACCATAACAATTGTTGAGTCTTTATTAGGTTAATTGAATATTCTTTGAATGCTTCGTACTCACATTATCCTTACCAACGCTCCCTATTTGGAGTGTTTTGTATATTTGTATAGGCCATTAACACACCGATAAACGTACTCAGGTAGTCGATAATGAATGCACTGACATTGGGCTGAGTTTATACTTGATAAGTTTCATCTTCTATATATCTAATTACAGGAATTGTCTGCGTTGATGTGTTTTTCATGTTCATGTATGCGGAAAGACTACAACATTTATCGTTCAATGCTTTTGGTTACATTTACATTTCGCATTTTTGTAGGCCATTAACAATTAGCTATAACTACAATTAGATTGCATCGTAAAAACTAATCTCACTGGATCGCAATTCAAAATAATACTCTGTATAATTTCGCTCCATTCGAAAACCAAACGCTCTTTTTTTCCTACTGGGGACGGACGCTGTGTCTGACAATTGAAATCGTTTAATTGGCATTCCGAAATAACAAACTGAAACAACTGGCCACTCAGTTTGGAACTTGTTTACATTCGTTGTTCGTTCGACCATTTTTTGGGGACCATTCGAATCGAGGCGATTGTTGGCTGTAAGACAATTCTGAAACCGGGCGGTGAACGCAAAAGGGTTTGGGTATTGATCTTCTTTGGTCAAAACTTAGCTACATTCGTTGCTGTTCGTCGAGCCCTAGGACTGGTAAACCATAGAGTAAAAAATGTATCAAAATCGTCTGTTTCGCCATCTCAAAAACAAGAGTAAACGTACAAAAATCGTTTTTGTTGGTCGTAGACATCTTAAATAGTTCGATATCTCTATTATGGACTCTGTGTTGCACATTCTTTTAAAGTAAGTGTTCTCGTCTAGTTTCTCATAAGATTCAAAAATGTTTTCTTTACCCGACCTGCCACTCCAATCTAAATTCGTCTTGTCGTCCAATGGAAATAAACTAATTGGGACATCATGAGCTTGACAATGAAAACTGTTTCTTTGTCTACCGGTTCACAACAAATACGCGTATTTCGAGAATTTCCTATAATTTACTTATCGTATTTCCTATTGAGAGAGTACAGAGTAGAGTAGTTATTAATAGACACATACGGCTCTGCACATTGAGATAGCCTTGTTAATAGTATGGTTTCTAAGTGGGCCAACAGTTGAGTAGATTGCGGAAATGGGACTATCAAGTATTTGGGAGCTCGTCGAGCCAATTGCTGAGTAGAGTTGATAGGGTCCGGACTTGGAGTTCACATTGCTACGTTTAATAATACAATCATTTTAATTTCAATTTGCAGTTGCCTATTATTTTTTTCAACATTCAGTTGTGCCAATATATTTTTAAAAAATATTTTCAATTTTTGTTATCATTTTTTTTGTGGTGATTTTCATTGTTTACATACTAAGCAATTAATTACAGCTAACGTATTGGTTAAATCCAATGGAATTGCAATTTTCAAGAACACACACACATCAAAGACATCAAGAGTGACACTTAAAATGCATATTGACATCTGTTCTTTGAGTTTCGTCGCCGGTTTGGTTTGGCTTTTGTGTTCCGTATTTACCGAATTAACATTTAGATCAAAAAATGTGCCCCTAAAAATGCCACAAAAATACAATCAAAACATTTGTTTACTAAACTACAAAATACATACAATAAAATACATTGATGCACGCATAATATTTATATAACATACATACTACATATGTACGAGCGTAACCTTCTTTACTCTAGAACAACTAACAACAATCTGTTTTTGTTTAGTCCGATTCGTGTGTGTGTGTGGTTGTTTTTGTGTTTGGTTGGGTAATGTTGAATTAATAACTACTCAAAATATAATACCATTTCAAATACAATTTCATCAGTTTGCCGTTGCAGCATACATAAGTAATTCAGTCTAATTCGGGAGTTGGTCAACGATCTTTGCGCTGGTGGGGGGTGGGGGGAGTGGTTAGGAATTGTGAATGGAAATATCCAAAATCTGAAACACATCAAAATTTACAAGACTTGGAACGAAGGATAGCGAAATGTGGGATGTCAGGTAAATCTCGAAAGCTTTAAAAACAAATTGTGTACAAACAAAGGCCTACTTTCGGCCACCTAAATCTTAAGTTTTTAAATCTCTAGAGATCTCTATGCTACCCATGACCTTATCAAGTGCTTCACACCTTCGTTACATCCCCAGCTTAAGTTTGATTTGATTCCGAATATTCAAATCAAGTGGGACTTCCGGTTGGAGTGTTCTATTGCGGCTAGAAGTTCGTGTTTCTTCCGGACATACAGTCGTCCCTTCTTCCAGGGATTCTGCAACTGTAGGGGCTTAAAGTCATCTCGCAGGCAGCGTTCCCGTGCTCCAATAACCGCCACCAGGCAAAAGTTCTCCAGCACCTCAGGTCCGTAGATGGGTCCATTGTTTCCCTTGAGCACAACGGCCATGTTGAGCTGCTTCACCACCAGGTTGATCACTTCGCGGGCGGTCGTCTTTGGAGTGACGTGAAGCTTCAGGCTGGTTCCACTTGCCAATCCCGTGTTGTAGGCGGTGTACACCTGAATAATCCCCGGTGTCTGTTCTGCATTGAGGCTGGAACAGCTGGCGGAGTCTTCTTCGCTGCTCTGCCGCGACAAGCTCTTCATGGAGGATGCCTTCGAGGTACTGGCCACCGGCTCCTCGCCACCCACAGCTCTCAGCTCAGCTAGAGTGCTTTTCAAGAAAGGTCCACCCTCTCGTAGGTTGGCACTGGAAGCTGCCTTTGCCGATGGCTTCAGCGGCTTGTGCTCCAAGTCCGTGGCGAAGGCTCCATTACCGCTCCTCAAGGAAACACTCGATCCAGTCAGATAAGGAGCAGAGCTTGAGCTGTGCACCGTGATCAAGGGATTGGTGTGGGAACCAATATTCGAGCTCGTTCGCTTGCGCTGGGCAGCCACCGCCTGCGAGTGACGCAGTGCATCCGCCAAAGTGTCATCGGAACGTGAAGGCGGGATTGCAAACACGCTGCTTGTGCTGTTTCCATCGGAGGCTGAATCCACGGCGGAGTAGAAGCTGCGAGATGTGTAGTTGGAGCTCATGGAGTCGCCACTGTTCTTCCTGAACGAGACTTCCGAGCAAATGGAGCCGGCATATTCGCTGGTGGTGGAAACTTGCAGAAGTTGCTGTTGCTGCTGGAGTTGCTGCTGCTGTTGCAATTGCTGCTGGGTTTGCTGCTGTGTAGGAACTGGTTTGGTGGCAGGTTCCATTGGCGTAATAGCACTGAACTCCAGATTCTGCTCCGATTTCGAGTGCTCCGGCTTGCCCTGTGCCGGATCTTCGCTGGTTCCCGGACCTGGCCAACTGCCTCTTCCCTGTCCCGTCTTCGAGAACTTGCTCTCGCGGATGGGGAGCTGCAGCAGTTGTTTGCTGGCAGAACCTGCCGCCGACGCTGCTCCGGATTCTTCTTGTCTCTGTTGGGAGAAGTCCAGAATTTCTCGCATCGCCAGCGAAGGTTGTGCGTTTTTGTTTCGAGCATACGCCACCACGTCCATTAGCCAGCGGACGCTCTTCCACACGATCGTCAGACTCGAACTGAGCTCCTGTAGCGTGGCCAAACGGTCCTTGGCCACCTGGAGTTCACTGCTCGAGAAGGCCTCTCTTAATGAATGCGTGGCCAAAGCAGTGTCCAATTCGAGGATGCAGGATAGGCGGGCGTACTTCTGGATGATTGCCGGCTGATAGGTTCGCAGGTGAATCATCTCAAATGCCTGGATGCTCAGGCTGGCCAGATCGTCTCTCTGCAGCAGCAACTCCGACTGGCCGGGCACGGCACACGATGACTCCGCGGATGGACAGACCACTAGGAAACTAATGTCCGGACTGTGCTCGATCACCTCCACATCATACAGACGGTGAGTGGTTGCATCCGGTCCCTTGATGTTCATGCTGGCGAAGAGCTTGTGCATTGCGTTGGTGAGATCGTACAGGAACAGTCGCTGAACCTCGGTGGTGGCTGCTCCTCCGGAAGCGGAATCCCCGCCCTGAGAGCTGAAGTCCAGCGGCAGGCGAAGAGGATCGCTGCTGCAACGGTGCAGAACCTGCCATTCCTCTGCCGTGATGTGGCTGTTTTCACGCACTTTGCAGTGGGGCAAGACATTCGGCGTTTTCACGGGCACCACCACCTGGATTTGGTCCATGGAGGCCTGCATCTTCAGGTATCCCAAATATAATCCCGGTTCCAAGCGCTGTAGTGCCGCCTGTTGGTAGTGCAATTGATCGCCAATCGAGGAGATGAGCTGCTCGTTGATGGTGTAATCCTCATGCAGAGCTCCCAGTTTCTTCTGCAATTTACTGACTGGCAACCATCGCGAGTTTAGAATGGAAACGGCCTTCTGGCTCTTTACGGACTGCACACAGGTCAGCACAACAGTTCCCTGGGCATCTTTTAGTGGCTTATAGTACAGCTGACCCAAATCCGTGATCCCCAATGCCGATTGCATCTGACAGACGGCCGAAAGAAGCTTGGTGCGGAAATGAACGGCGGATGTGAGGTTGCGCTCCATATCCGAACGCAGTGATCTCACGTCCTCCCAGGTGCAGGCCACCTTCATCAACCAGTAGTAGTCCATGTGCAGAGCACTCGGATAGGTTTCATCCACCTCGATGACCGGAGGAAAGTCCTCGCTCGTGACCAGCACTTTATCATCGCAGTGGACAATGCAAGAGAAGTAAATGCCGCTGTTTTGGGAAATAAATAAATATTTAAAAAAAGTTCCTAGTATATTTAATAACCTGTAGATTACTCACCGTCTCAGAGTCTTTTGAAACTTGGAGGTCACCGAGAATAGCTGCTTAATGGTAGTCTTCTTTTTGGGATTGCGCCGCTGGGCGCTCGCGGGATCCAAGGTCAGTTCGGAGACATCGGCAGGTCTAGCCAAACGCACGGCGGTGAACAGATTGTCCAGGATACGATGGCGGCCCACAAATCGATCCTCCCGATTCTCCAAGTCCCGCCAAGCTGGTAAAGATATGTTAGTTAAATTGTGTTAATTATAACAAGAGTTCAAACTTACTTGAGGGAACTACGCTGGCGGGCACCGAGGTTCTATATGCACCCCATCCCTTGACGTTTCCACATGAGGCTCGCAGGAAATACCGACGACCTTGGGTAAGTCCCGATATGTGGCATTGGGCGCCCATCGTTCCATGAAAGCTAATCCACTCCAGCAGCTCACTTTCGCCCACAACATTGTTAAAATCCGCGCGGGTTGACCATTGAACTGCGAGGAATTAAAATCAATTTTAGAACTACAGGTTTTAAGTCCTTACTCTAATTGAAAAATTAAAATGGGAAATCTAAAATCTACATTCTAAAACGACTATGTATTTGGCTTTCCAAACCCACAAAAAACTCTCCAAAAGTTCACTGACACTTGAAATGGCAAGGGAATGAGCAGACAAGCAGCGGGAATTAAATGGAGATCCACTTCCCAACCGTTGCTTTGCGACCTGACCACAATCACAAGCCCCATCCCATTGTACTGCCGACTGACGCAGCCACTTGAAGCCCTGCGGTTTACCTCTGAATTTCGTGCCGATGGCCCCTTCAAATGGCTCTAGGATTTGGACGCTAATAGAATTGTCGCCGGTGACATCCACGACCACGGAAGCGGGCGCATCTGGTGGCCTGGCCTGATCCCAACCGAGCTGCAGGCGGCGGAGTCCCTTCACCCGGCGTTCCCAGATTCCGATTTGTTTCTCAACTTCGCTGCCCGTGCATCCGGTAACCGAGGCGCTTGAATTGCCTGCAGGGAATAGATTCAAATGCTGATTAAGTGCGTCCTCAATGCGACTCGATGACCACTCACCAATAATAATACTCGAGATGGAGGGACGCGATGCAAAGATGGGTGGGCACAGACCCTCCGGTCCGCTTAAGTCGTGAATCCGCGACTCGGCATCCTTGAGCAAACCATTTAGTTTGGTGCCGATGGTGTCCACGGAAACTGAAATGAAGATTGAGATTGATCGTTGAAAAGAACAGTCAAAAGACAATCAAAAGGCACTTACACTGCGAGCCCTCCATGGCGCCATGTTGGAGCAACATTCTGGTCATGGAGCGATTATTGCTTAGAACGGCCAAATCCAGTGCAGACAGTCCGTCGTTATTGATGCTAGGATATTATGAATAATTTATATTATGTTTGAATTAAGGGGGGAAATACAATTAGAAGGCCTGAAATGAGGGCTATCTTTGGGAGTGGATTGCAAGAAGGGTATTAAATGAATCTTAGTGATTCTTTTTGCATGTTATTAGGTAATTATTGAGCAATAAAAGTCAGTCAAGTTTTTTGAAAAATATTGTAATTTAGCCCATTTATGATCAATAATGTAGAGTCGTGTTTTTAGGGAAGGACTTTGCGCCGTGCAGTCTCCAGGTCCAGGATCACGACTTAAACAAAAAACAGCAACTGGGCTTTAAACTTAAAGGTACCGCGCACACCATGAATTAAACCATATTTTAAAAAAATTATTTTTCCATTAAAAAATTTTAGGTTAAAAAAAAATTTAAAAAAAAACGATTTTTTTTGACTTTGATTGTAAAAAAAACATGTTATAACAAACAAATATGAAAAACCGTTATATTCATGGTGTGGAGAATTTAATATCAAACATAATGCAAAAAACCGCATTCGATTAAAATAGAATCTCTGAGCTATACATTGCACGGCGACTTTGAAAACACGACTTTTCAGGAGAAGCGTTTAAAGTTTACTTTTGTGCATGTCCGCCATATGACACACCCTCACTAAATTGCGTATAACTCTGAAAATAAGTACCGGACGGCTTTATGCTTTTAAAGGCTTATTCCCAGATATATTTGGAGTACATTAAGCCAAAAAAAAAATTTTCGAAAAAAAAAAATTCTAATTGTATTTCCCCCCTTAAAATAGAATACTAAATCCATACCTGTTTACATCCACGTCCGTTGACTCTAGAATAGTGCGCGCCTTTTCCAAATGACCATGTTCCACTGCTGAGAAAAGAGCTGTGAATAAACAAAGCAGAAAATAAAATGAGTGGTTTGTAGAAACCCCTTTTTAGAAAATAATAACCAGCTTTTGAATATTAGCAATTAGTTAGGTGGCGATGCGTGCCAAGTAGAGGAAACTGTTTCGTGAACCATACCATGCAAGTGCAGATTGCTCTGCGTCAGTTTGTCCAGCTGGGCTTGGGCCAACTTAAGCTGTTTCTTTGACATTTTACTGGCCCTCGGATGCGGAGTGTTTCCCGGGATTTTACTGCGCAGCTGCACAGGTTGACGATGCACCGAGAGCTGACCATTCGCCGAGGCGTTCTCATCTCCTAGCGGCGGTGAATCCAATTCTGAGGAACCCGTCTCATCGTGGTCATCCCGCAACTTGGCATTCTTGGGCTGTGAGTGCCGCGAAATGCACAACTGCGATCCGGCATTGGATTGCGCCTCGGTTCGCGAGTGGGGCAAAAGGAATTCCATTTCCTTGAGATCCTGGGAGCTGCAGGAGATAGCTGTCCGTATCTTGGCTACCGTCGCATGCTGCGTCAACTGCTCCGACCAGCGGCTGGTGGACAGCAATGGAGCTGGATAGTATGTGGGATAGTCGTCCTGGTTATTGTTATTGCCGGCCCTCGGATTGGCCACCTTTTCCCGCAGCCTGACACTATCGATGTCGCCGTCACGTTTATCTTGCGGCAATATGTTGTCTGTGTATCGTGTGTGATTTGTGTTGAATACAAATAAACAAAGGGGAAATCAAATTAAATGCAAAAATGAAAATCAAATAAAGGATAAATAGAAATTAAACGCAAATGTGTGTTCGTGTGTGCAAATATTTACAATGGCAAATGACCACCACGTTTTTTGTTTTTTTGTGTGCGAGTGGATATGTAATTTAATTACAATAATCGTCGTCGCTGCTCGCGATTAATTAAATATTAAATATAAATGGCGTTCTCTCCTATTCATCGCCACTATTATTCTATGCAATTGGGGATGCCGTTGCCGATGACCAAAGCCAATTAAATAAATTATGCGCAAACCGTTGAGAATGCAAGCTATGTGTGTTGGTTGGTTGGTTGAGTGTGTGTTTTAGAGCGTGTGTAGCGGAGTGTGTGTTAGGTGAGGTCTCCGTGAAGCAGCCAACCCACCTGGACCCTGGATTAACGAGCCCACCCACGAGGCAAGCCACCCACCAATTTTCCGTCAATTGACTTTAATTCGCTGCCATATAGAGCAGATATATATGGGTTGTGTGAGCGAGCATTTATGATGATATGGCGTGGCTCTGTTATTTTAGTTCTCTCTTTTTTTTTAATTACCCCTCATGGGGGCTTCTCGTGTGTGTATATGTAGGTATATACGGGTTAAGGGCAGAGAACTACCGATCTCTTACCATCGATGGCGTAGTGGCTATGCCGACGTTGCTGTTGCCCCGCTGGCGATGATGATGACGATGACGACGAGGTGGCGGTGCCTCGATGTGGGGACACTTTCAATTGACAGAACCTGGTCAGCTCGTTGAGCGTGTGAAACGATTTCTGGCGGACGAAGACCGCCGGAGACCGCAGACAACTGCTCATCGGGAGCTTCTGCGGCGTATTGGGGACCTTAGTGCTATCGCCGTGGTAGCATCTGCAAGATCACACAACATTTACGACCCGATTTGGTCATGAATTAAGCCAGTTTATGTTGTCTTCACACATGTGTGCAGCCTGCTATACATTAGTATATATCTACATATTTATGCACACTCAAGGAATGAATATTCATCCTTATCTCGAATCTCCCACCCGTTTTACGAGTTTCGCAGACGGTTGTAAACAAATGGAATGCATGGCAAAGACAAATGCAAACGAGTTACTAAGAAAAATCGCTTTGTGATGTAATGATAAAGGCACGGTGATATCTGGCCTGGGAAACCCTACCCTTGAGATAGACCCACAGCTGGCTTCCATTTCATGTATGACACACACGATTTGGAATAGTTCAATGACCCACTTGCATAGCAATAAAAATCTCAAATCAAAACTTGATAGGTGTGCAATAAAAGAGTTTGGCAAAACGCAAACAAAGTCGTCAAAACATAACTGGGAAGCACATAAACTTCACTGGAATCACTTTTTAGTCGCTTCATAAGCTGGCACACAGAATGGGGGATTTATTGCTTAGAAGGAAATGCTTAAGAGGGGAGTTTCCTTTGTTCGCATGAATCGCACTTTAAATTCTTTCACTCTGCTTTTCCTTTTTAAGGATAGCAACATTTTTGTCTGTCTTTTTTATGGGACTCTAGAATAGTTAAAAAACAACATCTTTGTTCCATAATCTCACTCTCTTCTCACAGGAAAAAACAACTTGATAACCTTTTTATTTGTTGGATTTAAGAGGCAACAAAACAGGTAAAACGCTAGCCTTAGCAAAACATAGACAACCTTCCATCGAAGCTTTTTTCTTCATGGTGTTTTTGATTTCCTTATGGGAGGCAGAGCTTAGATTTTTGTCACACAAAATTTGTAAAGCGTGGATTTATTTTTAGTTCCCACACTTTTTAATCTCTCCTTTTAAATTTACAAATCACCTTTGAACATAGCACACCACATATGCAAGGGTTTAAAGAAAAGGATTTCAAAAGGACACCTACGACTATTCAGGTAGGGCATCGGCTTCCGAATTGTGGCCGTGCGCATGCGAGTAGTTCCATAGATGCCCTGCTGGGCATGTCGAGTTATGTCCTCCAGCACGGCACTGGATTCCTCACCACTTAAAGTCCGCTCCAGATCGGAGTCGAGGGTGGCTTTGGGAGCCCTCTGTCGGCAGTAACTTTCCGGAATCTGGAGTAACTTACAAGCCTTCCGAGGCAGCGCTGCTCCCACAGGCAATGTGGACATGAGCCGCTCAATACCCAACTCGCCATTATCACAGGAATCGGTGTCAGTTTCCCTTTTCAGTGGCACAAATTCGTTCTTGCCCTTCACTTTGGTGGTCAGAACTGCCACCGCATCCAGATCGCCCAACATGCGCAGTGCCTTTGCCGCCTTGCTCTTGTCCAAAGTGGCCGATCCTCGAGAGCTGCGATTGCGCATGTGCAGCTGGGTGCGCAGCTTGAAAGGAGACTGCATCGGCAGGGCGGGACTGTGCAGCTTGTTTTTCAACCGCCGCAGGGAGGAGCGGACCGAGTGAGAGCGACGCAAGGCGGGCAGAGAGTCACCACTCTCATTATCCTTCCGTGGCGTCACAGTATCTGCTGCTACTGCCGCCGCCGCCTCCTGCCGATCCTTCAACTTGGCATACGAACTGAGAGCCCTGCGACGCTCCATTGGTCACAGGAACTGGTTCACTTTCTGTACTTTTTTGTTTTGGTTTTTTATTATGTTATTTTCCCTGAATTAGTTATCACGAAAAAAGAGGCATGTCCTCCGTGTGGCGAGTTTTTCCGCTTTTCAATCGGTTGGGATTTTATGCCAGGATTGGATTTTCCGTTGTGCGCGTCGCGTGTTTCAAACTCGAACTGAGAGCTGTTTCGGGATGTGATTCAGATGCAAATAAAAACTCCCAGGCTCTCTGGATCTCGTATTCTCCCTATTTTCATACATCTCTCATTTAGGATCTCTCACCGAACAATCGAGTACAGAAAAATAGCACTATAACAGCATAAATTAAGAATTTGAATCAGCAGTCATTCTGTTTTAAATAACTATTTCTTAAATATTAAAAAAATCCGGGGAATAACAAATTGAGATTTTCAGGAAATTAAAAAAAAAGGAACATTGCTTTACAACCATCTGACAAAACTAATCTATGCGATAAGATAATTTAAAATAATTTATGACTTCATTTTTCGGATTCATAGCTAGGTTGCTTTAGTAAATTTACAAATATCACAAATTAATTGAACGCAAACAAAAATCCCATTAATCATAATAATGAATGCTTCGATTTTGCTGTTGATAAGCTACAGTACTATTATTTTTCCCGTAGCTGTGTATCTGAAATACTTCCTATCTATCTAAAGGGTCGCTAGGTAGCTGTTCTCTTCGTGTTCTCTTTTTCTCCCTTACTCAGTTCCCACTGCTCTACCTACCCTACCTAAATGTTATTTTCAGGAAATATCAATCTACTTGATCCCTGTTTACTGGGCTTCGCGCTTTTGGTTTAAATTTAGACGGGTCGCGTTTACATTTACCTGCCTTTAAACTCGCTTAAGCTGCCGCATTCCCGAAAAATACCTAAGGATGCTTTTGTTTTGTGTGTGTGAGGTTGTGCGGGTGTTGTAAAATCAATTATCGGGTATTTCAAGCATCGTTCGGCAAAGAAAATCAGCTGGGGTCCTTGGAGGACACATACAGCAGCTCTTGCGGCTGCTGACTTCGCTTCGATTCCTGGCCCTGATTTATCGACGTCTGTCGCCGGGCTGCTATAGGTGTTGTCGTCGCCCCGAGCAATGAAGACAAATGGAATAAATGAAATTTACGGCGCGTCTAGGAGTCGACGAGAGCCAGTCCCTGATTAGCCTCACAAAATGCTCCAGGGCGCCGAAATGGAAAACTAATTGGAACACCGAAAACGAAAGACGGCTCTGGGACTCAAGTGTGCCCTCAATCGAACCGAAACTGGTTTCATTTTTCAAATTGCTGTTATTTACGTGTGTGTTTTGTTTGATTTTTATTTGTTTGCTAATTTTAGACATTGTACCATGTGTCACACGCTGGTTTTGGTCCACCTGTCAACAGCCACTTAGTTCCTCGGAAACACTGGGAATTAGTCCGTCTCGAATATCATCTATTAATATTTAAACGTTTGGGCGAGGTCAGTGACGAAGGGCGTTACGGTGAGTCAACACAGACACAGATTTAGATTGAGACTGAAAATCTGGTTTAGCAAACATATCAACAATTGATTCACCCACAAACTGAAAGCTAATGCGCTGCCTATGCATGTGACTGTTATATTACACCGCAGTTATCTCTCACACGTCTCTGTAATTTCTGCTTATCTGCCTTCGAAATATAATT